TTGAATTGTGTTCACCGAGCTTTTGGAAGGTTTGTGGTGGGCTGTTCTGGGAGAAGCTGGAGGGGTAGGCAGGGCCAGGAGCCAGAGCTCAAAAGGCTTGGTAGGCTGGGATTAAAAATGTGGATCTGAGTGTGGTGGGAGGCCACTCGAGGGATTTAATTACGAAGATGTCAGAGGATGATTTATGGTTTAAAAATACTACCCTTGGCAACTGTGTTGCCAGTGGATTGGAAGGAGGCAAGAGAAGAAAAGGGTCACCAGCCCGATGTCTATTTCAGAAGTTGAGGTAAGAGGTGATAGTGACTTTGGAGTAGGATGGTATTGGTCGACTTGTAGTTTTATTTAATCCATTAGCAAAAAGGGACTGATTGGTGAATTAGATATGGGACATGAGGGAAAGGAAGAGTCAAGGCTGATTTCTAAGTCTCTGGCCTAAGCAACTGGGAGGACTTGGTATCACTTATTGAGATGAAGACGAGAGGAGGAGTACTTTTCACTGTCATATTTGGGGTGAGGCAGGGAGCTATGGTGAAGGGAATGAGGTGGAAACAAGGGTTCGTGTTACTTCGATGATGCCTATAAGGCATCTGAATGAACAGGCCAAATGGGTTGTTGAATATATGACTTGACTCAGTAGAAAACTTGGAGAATCCTTGGCATACAGCTGGCATTTCTGAGTCATGGAAGAAGGGGAGAGAGGACAGAGAAAATATGAAGCCAGCGAACATCCATATTTCCACATAAAGAGGGCAAGCCTGGGAGGAGGCCCAGGGAGGGACTCAAGGGGAGCAGCAGCAAGGGAGGAAAAACTAGAAGAACGCAGCGGTCTAGCGATGAAGAGAAGAATCTTCTAGAGGAAGGTAACAGCTGGTTATGTTGAATACTGCTGTGAGATGGACACGATTAAGAACAAACTGTGTCCACTGTTTGGAGCAATATGGAAGTTACTGATCACACTGACAAGGGAAGTTTATGATGTGCCCTGCAGACAGAGGCCCAGAGTAGATTGAGGGGAGATGATTAAGAGGAGATAGAGATGGCTGTTTAAGCAATTATTTTAAGAAGTTAATTGAGCTGAGAAATAGATGGTTAGCTAATCAAGAGTTAGAGGAAAATAATGTTTTTTTCCTCACATTCTTAAGAGGGGGCGCACTGGAGTGTTTATGCTCATGGGATCGGTCTGGCAAAGAGAGGGAACCTGATGCTACAATAGAGACAGGATATAACTGCAGCGGCAAATTGCTGGATGCAAAAAAAATGTGAGATGAAGAGCAAATGTGAAGCATCTGGCTTGGAGAAGAGGAGGCAGAAAGAGTTGACATAGCTATTAAAGAGGTGGTTGAATGTGGCAGTAGGGGGACGAAGGAGTATCCATAATTAATTGTAACTAATTAGTGAAGCAAGAGCATCAGCTAAAATGGAGATGGGAAAATGGGACGCTGTAAGTCTCAAGAAAAAGTAGCAAATATTGGAGTCACTGTGGAGAATGGGAAGGTGAACTTATAATAGTGAACATGAAATCCCCTAAACTTATATTAAACAAGGTGAATTTGAATGCAGTTTTGCTTGGAAAAAGAGTGATTAAAACTTAACTTTTTTTAAACAGCCTATAAAGTTAAAAAAAAACTTATTAACACATGTTCACAGTAGGAAATTAGTTTAATGATTACTTATAATCTTAGTATTCAGAGATAATCATTGTAATATATCTTTTCATTTATTATGCATGCAAATACATTTATAGAAAGAAATATAAAGTCTTATTTTCATAAGTAATGCTATTATACACGATTTTACTTTATCAAGCTTTTTAGCTATTGCTCTGAGAAAGATGAAAGCTATTGGAGTGATAACTTTGTTATATTGCAAATATTTTCTATAATCATATTTTAATGTTTGTGTTGATTTTCTAATTTTTACATAGATACAACTATAACAGAAAATTTATAGCCATGTTAAAAAGGTGCTCTTTCAGGGGTTTATTCCAATTATTTTTCTACTATTTAAAATGAAAGAATAAATTATTAACCTACCAGATTAAATGTGATGAAGGAATCTAATTTTTAGAATACTTTTAATCATTCTTTTTTTAAATATATTTTATTAATTATGCCATTACAGTTGTTCTATCTCCCCCCTTCATTCCCCTCCACCCTGCACACCCCTCCCCCACCATTCCCCCCCTTTAGTTTATGACCACATGTCTCAAGTTCTTTAGATGCTGTGTTTTCCATACTATTCTTCCCCCCCATCTATTTTCTACCTACTATCTATGCTACTTATTCTCTGTACCTTCTCCCCCTTTCTCCTTCTCCCACTCCCCTGTTGCTAACCCTCCATGTGATCTTCATTTCTATGGTTCTGCTCCTGATCTAGCTGTCCTCTTACTTTGCTTTTGTTTTAGGTGTGGTTCTTAATAACTGTGAGTTTGCTGTCCTTTCACTGTTCATCTTTTTTATCTTTTTTTCTTAGATTAGTCCCTTTAACATTTCATATAATATGGGCTTGGCGATGATGAACTTCTTGAATTTGATCTTATCTGAGAAGCACTTTATTTGTCCTTCCATTCTAAATGAAAGCTTTGCTGGATAGATCAATCTTGGATGTAGGTCTTTGGATTTCAGGACTTGGAATACTTCTTTCCAGCCCCTTCTTGCCTGTAAGGTCTCTTGAGAAATCCGCTGACAGTCTGATGGGAACTCCTTTGTAGGTGACTGTCCCTTATCTCTTGCTGCTTCTAGGATTCTCTCCTTCATTTTCATCTTGGCTAATGTCATGATGATGTGCCTTGGTGTGTTCCTCCTTGGGTCCAGCTTCTTTGGAACTCTCTGAGCTTCCTGGACTTCCTGGAAGTCTACTGCTTTTGCCAGATTGGAAAGTTCTCCTTTTATTATTTGTTCAAATAAGTTTTCCACTGGTGGCTGTGCCTTTCCCCCTTCTGGTACCCCTATAATTCAGATGTTGGAATGTTTAAAGATGTCCTGAAGGTTTCTAAGCCTCTCCTCATTTTTTTGAATTCTTGTTTCTTCATCCTTTTCTGTTTGGTCACTTTTTTCCTCCTTCTGGTCCACTCCTTTGATTTGAGTCCCAGTTTCCTTTCCATTACTATTGGTTTCCTGTGTATTTCCATTCACTTCAATTAGTTTAGCCTTCATATGTTCCTCTAATTTGTGACTAAAATCAACCAGTTCTGGGAGCATCCTGATCACCAGTGTTTTGAACTGTGCATCTGAAAGTTTAGCTATTTCTTCATCGCTTAGATTTATTGGCTCTGAGGCTCTGAGTTGTTCTTGAGCCATGTTTTGATCTGTTCATGCCTATTACGTATAAGGAGTGGAGCCTTAGTTGTTCACCAGGGCGGGGCCACCCAGGTCACTGGTTTGTGATGCTGTATGTGGGGGCGGGGTCAGAGAGGACAACGGCAGTTCCCTCTGCCACTTCCTGCCACTGGGGCCTGCACCTCCGTCTCACTCCTCGCTCCTTTACCGGTTTATCTGCACGCAAATGTGTGACCACGATCAGTCCTCAGTGGGTCCACCACCTTGCACCCTCAGTGGGTCCACCTGCTTCTCCACACCTGGGATCCGCCCACAGCTGCTGGCACACCTGGGTAGTGAGCCTGGGTAGGTCCAATGGATCTTTCCTGCCAGACCCCGCTCTGCTGCTGGCTCTGCCCCTCTTACTGGTTTGGCTGAAGGGTTCATTATTGTCAGACTTCTGTGTAGTTCAATTTTCTGTGGTTTGGCTGCGTTTTGTTGCTAAAATTTTGTTGTTTTTAAACTTAGTTGTGCGAGAAGGTGCAGTGCTTCCACCTACGCCTCCATCTTGGCGGAAGTCCGAATACTTTTAATCATTTTTAAATTGCATATCCTATAATACAACCTTGTAATGGTAGTGCTTACAAGTGATTTCCTTAAAATTTTCTTTGAGAAGTATTTAAAACTATGCTATTTTTTCAACAAGATTTTTTAAAGAGTGAAAATTACCCATTATCATATCACCAGAGAAAATAAGTTGTACTTTACTTACTTGAAATTATATTGTGTGTAAACTTTTTTCCATCCGTATTTTCTTACTTTTTAAATTTTCTAAAAAATGTTTACACTTTGGAATTTTAAAAAAATTCTCATCCAGGAATATTATATTATTGATTTGAGAGAGAGAGAGAGAGAGACATCAGTGAGTTGCCTCCTGTGTACACCCCAACAAGAATGGAACTTGCCACTAGCTATGTGTCCTGACTGGGAATCAAACCCACGACCTTTAGGTGTACAGGGCGATGCTTTAACCAACTGAGCCACCTGGCCAGGGCCACATTTTAAAGTTTTTGAAATACCCTTTGTAAACATGACTTTGATGGCTGCCTTATGATTTGCACTATTATTGGATATTTAAGAATGTTTCCAGTTTTTAACTGCCTTTTATATGTGTGATTATAAATAGCACCATAGTTAACAATATTGGCATTTGATATTTCATTGAATTTGGTTTTAGTGTATTTACTATAAAAGCACTACATGTCCATTGTAGAAAGCTTTAAAAATACAGACAAAAATTATTATCCAGAGAACCACTGTTGGACATATACCAAATCATCATTCCCTCAACTGCCGTTTTTCAGTACCTTTCATACAGCAGGCGCTGCTTCAGATGCAGAACCTGCTCTGCAGAGCTAACATGCTAGTGTACACTTAGTGATATGTCATGTCAGTCTCCTACATGCATAAATGTGTGTTTTAAAAAGGGACTGTACAACTTGAAAGTTGCATTGTAATCTAATTTTTTCCTGTAACATTAAGAACTTACTTCCATGCTACTGAACTGTCTTTCACAATATCATCTTTAATGGCTGTAGGAGAATTATTTCTTTGGATATAGCATATTTTATTCATCTACTATAGTCAGACATTTCCTTTTTCAATTCCTGTCTGCTCTTAACATCCATGCAATGCATATTTTGCTTCTTTTTGATAGGATAACTGACATGACCTCCACAAGACATGAAGGCACAGGCAGTGTGTGCCGTCTGTCTTCGTCAGCCTTGTAACATCTCTAAGCGGATCTCAGGGTAAGTTCCTTTATAACACACCCGAGCATTAGCTATTTGTATCATTAGAATGGAGTGCAAGCACACAGTGTCAGGGGCTGTTGCCTCTGAAGCCATAACATTGTGAACTTTTCTGAAAGATCAGTTAATGAGAAATGAGGAAGAGACTGGAAGTTTGCATGAAGATCAAACACCATATTTTCTCTTGTCTTTTCTGATTAAGACTCTTTCTGTTATCTGCTACCGGATAGAAAATCACTAGAAGGGCAAGTTTGATTGATTGGTTGATTGATTTTTTTTTTTTTTAAGTGTAAGCTTAGTACTTATTCAACACTTAACGGAAGGCATTATCAGGTTTGCTAGGTCCTGTGACAGGAATTTTTAATTAACTGATAAAATATTAGAGGTGTTTAGTAGAACAGTTAGGGAAGTCAAGAAAACCACTGCTTTTCCATCCCATCTTTCCATGCCTTTCTCTCCATACAAAACCACATCCCTCCAACACTTTGCACAGAAGTAAACGAACTCTCCCTGAGGAAGAGAGGTAGGACATAGCCGAGTGGAAACGGCCCCAGGGGAGGAGGCAGAGGAAAAGACCTTGTGCCAGGGCCACGTGAGCACCCAGTTTCCCCCTCGTGGTTGGCCTTGGGCAAGCTACAAAGGTGCTTACTACACTGTCCATGAGAAAAGTTCCTTTTCAGTCTTACTATCACAGAATTCATACAGAGGGCACACGGTCTGCTTAACATGTGCTGTGAAATGTTCAAAGAATTTGGATGCTGCCTTCAATAATTATGAAGTGGCTAAGTATATTTTCTTAGCAAAAGTCCCTGCTTTTAATACATCCATTTGTTTTCTAAAGTTAGCTTCCAAAGTGTAGGATTAAACTCCCACATTTATGTTCAGAACAATAGTTATTAACTAGTTCCGAGTAACTCATGGGATATCCTGAGAGTGGGCCTAAAGCTGAAAGAAGTGAATCACTTCATTCCTCCTTTTGGGCTCCTCCTGCCCATGTGTTTCCTCACTTGAAACTAATGTCTGCATATTCCTAACACCTTTCCACACAGATTGTCCTCCATAGGCTCAAATATTACCTGGCCCAACCAAGGTAAGTTTGCTCTAATCTTTTAGGGCTTGCCGGCTCTAGCTAGCTGGATAAGCTAATTTGTTATGTTACAGTAGGTGTTAAAAGTGAGTGTTCTCAGGGAATAAAAATCAACAGGAGTCTTTTATTACATAATATACATAATTTCCAATAACTATAGCTGTCCAGAATCAGAGGAGAGATGAGATTATTGATCAAACTAGTGTTTCTGTGCTTTAGGCTATTGCCAATTCTCACAGCTACAATGAATCAAACAGATATTCAATTAAAATAGCAGTAACTCAAACACAGGGCTTCATGGGCGGTTTCTAGTGATTAGACTAACAAAGGTTCTTGATGATGTGTATAGGCCGCCGACCTAAGATAGCACTTCTGATAATCCTTAATAAGCATCATCACTAGTTCTCTTCATAACTGCTCTTGACTTTTATATACAATCTTCCCAGCTTTCTTCAATCACAATGAGTGAGCAAATACTCACTTGGAAGACTTGATAAAGATATAATTGTCCCTTGCTTGTTTGAAAATGGACCCAAAGTCGTAATTCACTGGAGGAATCAAGATAATGTTTACACATACTACAAAGACAGTGACCATTTGTAGAAGCAAGATCCCAGATACTGCAAACAGTGCATGCTCTTCCACCATGAAATTCACAGTGGGAATGCCACCCTACCTTTCAGAAGACTAAGCCTTCTAGATGAAGGAACTGATATGTGCTATGTGGGAACAGCAGCTAGAAGCATCCTGAAGTGCTACTAAAGGTGGGAGGGATACATGCACGTGAGGCTGATAAAACATAACAATGATATCATTCCATGTTTTTCTGAAGTGTCTTTCTTAATTTGACAGGCTATGGGCTTTCTTCTATGGCAAAACTTATAGATCTACATCATTTTTAATGAATAGTATCTTATAGTACAGACAGGCTGTAACTGATACACCCATTCCCCCACTGGAAGGTATGCAAGCATTTCTGGTGTTTTACATTACAAAAAAACTTTTGTGATGAATATTCTTATGCTTAATACAGGAAAATGATTTGGAAAAAGTATCAGACATAAGATTTTAACACATTATTTCCACCAGCAGTGGAAGAGCATCCATTTTTCCCTTAGTCTTATCAGCACTTAGTATCATCAATTGGAAAAATTTATGCCAATATGATGGCTTAAAAATTTTGGATCATTGAGTTAAATTACATTTTTCTGTTTTCTTAATGGACCTAATTTTAACATTATATACTGTTGACCCTTGGAGAACACAGGGATTAGAGTGATGACCCCCCACGCAGTTGAAAATCTGCCTAAAACTTAAGTCAGCCCTTCCCACACGTGAATTCCCAATGGCCACGTGACCCTTAAATAATGTGGGTTTGAATCATGCAGGGCAATTGAAAATATTCGCATATAAATAGAACCATGCAGTTTATAGGTACGTTGTTCAAGAGTCAACAGTATCTCTTGTCTATATTGATTGTATTTACTATTCATTTATTTATGGGGTGAAAGGGCATTTTCCAATGCTTGTTTTATCCTGCACTGTTCCTTCTCCCCGTGTCCTATGTAGTTGTTTCAGACCTGGACTCAGAAGTCGAAGAATTATATGTAAACAGTATCAAAAAGACTGAGTCAGTACCTGAAGAATATGAAATGTTGCATGAGCTCTGGTTTATAGACCTAACACACACACTTGGTTGCTCAGTGAGGCCATTTGACTTCTTTCTAATATTCTTCCTGGAGAATTGAGATTGTTAGTTGCTCTATATCCATCCACAAATCCCCTTTTTTCACTTGTAGATAACCACACACTATCTTAAGGTTCTACAGTTTTTGTGTTGCTTTTGATTTCAGTAACTGCCAAATTTTGCCCATAAAGCTTAGCTTTTTCTTTCATGGGTACTGAAACAATAAATGCTCTGCACAAATAACCTAAAAAGAAGCTAGTGATGACCATTCCTTATGTGTCCTTCTTTCACTCCCATCACTTTTGTCACACTGTAGTGAAGTATGAAGAGAGGGACGCAAACAGCTCCTTCATATGTGGCACGTTAAGTGTTTATCTTCATCCAGTTATCACACAGAAAGTGGACAATACACCTATCTCTGCCAGCACTCTGGAAGAAATTGAATCTTTCGATCCTTTATCTAATGGTAGAGTAAATATCACAGGATCCAATTTATCTTATAAATGTGCCATTGAAAATCCAATGCCGAAGCAAACATGGATGGGGAGATGGACAATGAAAAATAGGGCTGTCTGTGTGTATGTGCTAGGTCAGAGTGGGCGGGGGAACAGGGCTGATTTACAGGGAAAGAAGGGGACAGAAAAGAAAGAAAATACATCCATGGCTGTCAGAAGGCTGGGACTAGAGTCCCAGGTCTACTATTTACTAGCTGTATAGGATTTACTAGCTGTATAGCAATCTTTACTTTAAGTTAGTAAGGATTGCTAAAAATGATAAGCAATCATTTTTACTTCTGAGCATTAGTTCCTCCTTAATGAAATGGAAGTAATTCTCACCTTCCTAGGTGTTTATGAGTTGAGGGAAAACATATGGACAGTAGCAAATCTATTCATAAGTACTCCTGTATTTCTCTAGAGTTCATTCTCTATAGAGGATTTCCCACTAGCATTGTACTTCAAAAGATCAGAGCAGAAAGAATGCTTATGTATTATCAGGTCACGACCTTTGATTCTTGCCAATCTTTCAACTAAACAAAAATTAACTAATTAATATTATTGCTTCCTCTTTAGTTTCTTCATGTAGTCCCAGCCCAGCCATCTTTATGAACACCTGTATCATTTCATGGGCCGTTTTCATACTCCTTCCTCTCATTCCTTTGAACAAACCCAAACTCTGACCAATCTCTGTATCTATAATGAAGTGTTTAAGGAAAATTAAGAACAAAAGTGTACTTGGCACTGTTTACCCAATTCCAGGGGAAAATATTGTTTTTGTTAGGAGCAAAACAAGATTCTTCTGTAAATTTCCATTATGCAAGGAAAGTGGAGATTAGCTACCAATTTTTGCCTTCTGCTGAGTCTCATATTTTCAAAATGCCCACTAAGGAGACTGAAGTTAGAAGCGATTCACACCCATACATGATTTGAGTGCTAAAGGCATGGCCAGCCAATGTCCACTTTTCATCAGCCAGGCAGTGGTGGAAACATGGGAAACAACGAAAATGTTACTATTAAATTGTAAATATTTTCTATGAGAAATTGTATTTCCTCACGTTTATTCAGAACGGAGCACCAACAGGTCCTTGGGCTCTGTACTGTCATCTTGCTGAGGAGCCGTAATGTGCTAACTAGGGGTCATTGCTCTCTGACCATGAACTTAAGAACATGAATTCTTATTTTCTGGATCTGCAGCATCCAGTGTAATATATATAAAAAAACTGAGTGAGGAAGGGTACATTATTAATTCTGTTCACTGTGGTTGGGTATGACTGGAGTGAAGAATACATGCTTAAGAAAGTTGCCTGAGAGAAGAATTTTTAAAGAGTTGTAGGAAATTCCAGGAAACATAGGCATTTCAGGTTTAAAAAAATGCATTATGTGCAAAAGAACAGAGGAGTAAATATCACTGGGTTTATGAAAGTTTATGCTGTTGACTGTCAGGCTAAATTATCCAGAGATAAACCTGGAGAGGAGGGCAAAGACCGGATGAGAGGCCTACTGCTCCTTGCAAAGGAGCTTGAATGGGGTCCTGGAGGTAGCGAGGAGCTGAAGAAGGATGAGAAGCATCAGAAACCTCCTAGACTTGAATTTTAGATGGTTTACTTTGGCATATTCTCTCCCAGGTGGACTAAATAGTAGGCGAGTCTAAGGCCAGAAAGAACAGTCTAGGCCAGTCCCTAGAAGCTGGCCTGCAGAGCTATAGAACAGGAAGGACAAGATAGCGCTGATCCGGGGCAGGCTGAGAATGCCCAGCACTATCCCTGCTCTGAAAGAGCTCAGTCCAGTGGGTGATTATTTATAAACACTTCAAAATGTTCTTCTTATGTGTAAGAAATGACACTTTGTCTAGAAAGAGATTAAGAACCAATTGCGACCATAAGTAACAGACAACTAGGGAGTAGGTAGAGTGACAAGAGGGGCGTCCTAGGGAAGACCAGCACTGCTAGGTCCACGGAAGCAGAACTGACTTGACTGGTCAGTAACTGGTAGCAATGTCAATATCAGGTGCCCATGCTTGGGTGCTCACTGTCAGAATGCAGGAGTTAAAGCCCAAGCGGTATCAGCTCCCTCCCTGGTCCAAGCTTAGGCTGCCTCGAAGGCCTCAACTTAACTTTTGTGGGAGTATTGAAAATAGTGCTGGTAAACATTTTCTTTACAGAAACTCCACAATGATATTTCTAAATGCATTTCTAAGTGTTCCTCTGAAAATTCATTTGAAAATTTTATACTCATTGATGTTTCCTTTTCTGTCCTGTTGTTCGATGGCCTTTGTGAAAAGCATAAGAGAAAGCATTTTACTCTGATGTGAAGTTGCAAACTATATTTTCCTACTGAATGATAGGAAAATATCATTCCTACTATGAAGATCTCATAGTCACTTGGTCCAGAGTGGAAAGTGGCATTTCCACCAGCCTGGCTTACTTTCTGAGCATTCCCCCAAAATATAATTATCAATGAACCCTGACTTTCATGGAATGAAGAGCTAATAAACCAGAGTGATTTTCTTTTTCTTTTTGCTTTGAGGAATCTTAGTCCCTTAGACAGTGAGGAATATTTATGCAATATTTCTTCAAGCAAATACACTTGTGCTCACCTTTCAAACACTGCATATAGGTAAGTTATCAATACAAGTAGGCTTGGATAATGGGTTTAGGCTATAACAGCAGAAATTGTGAATTGCAAATAGGGAAATCAGGTTGGCATTTAAAGAATACCTTTGATTAGTATTTCTGAAAATGTTTGCTACAGGGATACCTCTGGTCAAGATGGCAAACAACCTCCTTACTTCAACCGCACAAAAGTCCTGCATTGAAAAAACAACTTCCATAAGATTTCCTTTTTAGGGTTTCAGAGCTTCAGAAATTAAGAGGGAACATACATGTTTTGTGAGCCTGTGAGCTGAGCATATTGAAATCCTGTTTACTGCTGTCTCCACTGTGGGCCTCAGGGTCCAGGAGCTGAGATTGTAGGCACAGTGGGAAGTTGGGACTGGGGCTCTGCTGGGTGCTGGGCAAGCATAGTCCATGAACCTGGTACACAGAGCCACCAAAAGACATTTGACATACTAGGTATATGCCTGACTCGGCTAATTTTTACCTCTATTGATAGCTAAATGCCAAAACTAACAATTTAAAATATTTCCAGTCGTGGAGTGTGTACCTGTGAAGTTGGCTTTCTAGGTGAGTCGGCTAGTCCCCTCACCCATAAACCATCAACCTGATATCATGGGAGACCATGTCATCTCTCTTTCTATTCTTTATTAAAGCTATTTGAGTCAGGGAAATACGGTTTAGAAATATTTCTGTCATATCATGCTAGCTGTGAGAATTAGTAGGAATAACATATTTGGAGGTTTGGTGATTTTATGTAGTGAAATAAGAAGAGAGCACTGTCCTTCGGTTACGTGGTCTTGGAACGCAGAGAACCCTCTAGGCACCAAGTGATAACTCCTCCTTTGAGAGTACTGAAGACTGAAGTGTATTTGAAGCTCCTACTTTTCTCCCAAATAGGAATGTTTTTCATGTAAAATACAGTTAAGCTTGCATCCTATTTTTTTAAAAATATTTTATTTATTTATCTTTAGAGGAGAAGGGAAGGAGAGAGAGAGAGAGAAACATCAATGTGTGGTTGCCTTTCGTGCGTCCCCTGCTGGGAACTGGCCTGCAGGGAACTGGTCTGCAACCCAGGCATGTGCCCTGACTGGGAATCGAACCGCAACTGTCTGATTCGCAGGCCCGCGCTCTGCATCCTATTTTTTTAATGTTGCTTCATGTTGGATTCATTTCAGGGTATAGTGAAATAATCAGGAAGAAATGGTCTGCAGACCGCATTTGGCCCATCTTTCTAACCAGAGCTCTAACTCTTAGTTTACACAATGTGAAGCCTCAAGACCAATCTGTCTCTGATAATATGGAAAACAAGCTTTTTAGAACCTCTCATTCCTGAGCAAACCCTGGCCAGTTGAGACTGGAGGAGGGTCAGCTTTTACCCCCCAGGAAGACATCTGCAGCGTGAGCTACCCCAGAAGGGAAGAGAACAGGGCAAATAGTACTGGCCCCTTACACATCACTCTTTCAAGGAAACGTGGTTTTCTAGTCTGAATTGCAATTTTCCACTTGCTGCCTTATCCAGGACACGTTGCAACATTTGAAAAGGAGGTCTAGACAGGAGTGCTTATTATCCCTAGAGTCTAGATCTACTAGATAATAGTTTCAGTGAATTGGAGGGAATTAAATAACTCTTGCTAAATTTTGCTGCTGAATCAATATGTGACCTTGGGCAAATCTCTTTACAGATGGGGGAACTGAAGGCCACAGATAAAGTAAGAAGAAGCAATACCTGGCAGGATTTTTGTCAGGAGGGAAATATGCATATGAAAACAATGTGGAAAGTCAATTTAATATTTCTACTTAATTGCTCCTTTACATAGGTATAGAATTTCAGAATGACACAAATTTGTGGAGAGATTAATGTTTTTTATTGTAAAACATTAAGAGTATGTTCATAAAAATGACATTCATATATAGAGCTGTTCATTTTTAAAAATAGCCATAATCTCTCCTCCGCCCCCTGAATTGGGCTTCATGCTCTAATGCTTGCTTAGCTCACAAGTTTATTGGGTTCTGACTTTGGTGACATTAGGTGTCTAAGTTTCTGCCTTCTGGGGTCCCTACTTCCTTTAATGCTAATTACAATTCTAGCACCAACAAAGATGGTGCTAGAATTGTAGTGGAATTGTAACTGTAATTGTAGATGGAAATGTTCAGGCTTCTCCAGTTGTTCATGAGGAGCTTCAGCACTATCATCCCTGTGGTCACCTGTCACCTCTCACTCAAGACCATGGCTCCTTCTTAGGTCTTCTCATCACCTCTGTGTTCCCTGTCACTCTCTCTCTAGGAAGCCGTCTTCTCCAAGTCAAGGGTGAATTACACCGTCCCCTTATCTCCCAAGGAGAACGCTGGACTGAAGGTAGTTTGTAGTCATGATTATCCCTTTGTAAAAAGGGTGCTAATTCTCTGATCACAATATAAAACAATAGAAACTTAAATGCATACTAGACTCATTGCCTCTCAGGTTTTCTCTCCCGACTCTCACCCTCACTAAACCTCAAATTCATTAAAATTATAGCTTTTAGAGGTTTCCCACGAAAGAGACATGGAGACTGGGAGGTATTGTTTATGCTCCTAAAAAACTCTCTGGTCCAGACAGGCTTGTCTTTTCCCTGTGAAAAGTGTTTTTGCTAATATGAAATTTGCCTGCCACCCGCAAGGCAGAAATAACTTGTTTTAAAAATAGTAAGCATGTTCTACCCATCCACCCACATATTTTCTTTTATTGTTTGGAAATTTTTCTTCCAGTTTATAGACTTTGTTTTGTTCAGAACCAAGTCAAAGAACAGCCCCCTGGATAATCATTCTGCCTTCAGTGATTTGGGTGCTTGCGGTGCTTCTGGTGGCACTTAGTCCTGAGGTCAAGACGATGCATCCATTTCGTCGCAGATAACATCCCATGGAGGGTCTGGTTCTGCCCCTGGGTATTCAAGTTGACGTGAGACAGCTGCATACCTACACTGCTTCTGGGCATGTAAACAGATCTGAATTTTCCAGAAAGTCACTTGTAAAACCTATCAAAATCTTTTAAAATGCTTTATGCTTCTGCCACCTAACTATTCTAATTCTAGGAATTTATTCTGAGTTTAATCATCTGAGACACACCAAACTATATTAAGCACATTCGCTGCAGCACGCTGCCGTTAACTCCACTTTTTCTACTATTTCAATATATAATCGAGGAATGAGTAAATTAATTTGGCATCACATGTTAGTTAAAGTTTTCGTTTTTACTAAAAAAGGTCTAAAAATTAAGTCTGGTAGTAAAATGATGTCCAGGATGGTTCTAATGATCTGGGATTGAAAAAATAGCTGGAAAGAAATAACCTAAAGCTTTACCAGTGGTTGCTTTGGGACGGAGGTGGCTCCTTTCCCCCACTCACCTGCCCAGGCACTTTATGGGCCTCCTCACGTCCCTGGATCTGTTTTCTCTCTCTTTGAGCTTTATGTATAGTGGCCACTGCTCAAAATAGTATTTTCTTTTATGTGTCATTTTATTTTAATTCCTTTAAAATGTTTAAAACTTTTTCTAAATTTTCTGCAACAAATTAGTGTTACTCTACTTGGGGCAATTTAAATGATATATTAAGATGCCATGGTCATAGGACTTCTTAAAAGACTTCACTTTTATCACCAGAATTAGATCTAGAAAAACCTTATTTCCATATTTTGCAGATTAGGAAACTGGAATATAAGATATTAGCATAAATGCTAACCAGGTATATGAAACAGACCTAAGCCCACCTAGGATGCTAACTCGTGGCAAAGGTAGATCCAGGCCCCAAGCAGCCCCCCCTTATGCCATAATGCCCCTGAGAAGGCTCTGAGCATCATGGGATGTTGAAAGCGATCCCATGTCTCTCTCTGGTTGCTTTCTGCCTTTCACTCCTGTGGAAGTTAGAGGATCTGACCATAGCAGAAGCCGTTGTTGAAGGTAAGATATTAAGAGTGACCATGCGCAAGAGTTTCAACAATTTTAGCCCTGTGATTGTAGTCATAGGCAGGCTAGTCCCCTCACTTGCCACTCCTATCTCTTAGGTGGCCAGAAGTAGAAAAGGTATAGATCACAGACAATACAGTTCATCCCACAAATGTAACCTTTGACTTAATATAATGACACTTGTGATTGGATCAGGTTCAAATTCTAGGAGAAAGAGTGACATACTGCTAAAGAGTGACAATTTTGTTTCTTTATTGGTAGCATGCATGGATCAGTTCCTAACAGAAGACACCCGGCACACTCAAAACTGTTGTACAAAGGGGAGCGCAGAAGACAGTGTGTTCCCCCAGAGCTGGGAGCAACTGATTCATTAACGAAACTAAACTTGAAAGGACAAGGAAAAAGAGCAGTTCCCCAAACCTGAAAGGAGACAGTTGCATACAATCTGCTGTTTTGCAAGGAGGGTGACTTTCGCTTGAAGAGCACAGCCAGGCCACGATGACCCTAAAGGGAAGGGGCTGGAAGAAGAAATACCCAGTTTTGCTCTTTCCTCCCTCTGATCTCCACCCCAACCAGAAACCGGAGAAAAGAAATGCCCTGCACATGGGACCCATGTAGGGCAGCTTCCCAGGGCAAAGGGCAGGAAGCGTACTGAGTGTGGAAGAATAGTCAGGAGGTACCAGCAAAAACAGTGTCAGACGGTTTAAAGACTTAAATGTTAGACCTGAAACCATGAAATTCCTAGAAGAAAATAGACAGCAAAATCTTGGACAGTGCTCGTAGGAATATTTTATCTGATATATCTCCCCAGGCAAGGGAAACAAAGCAAAAGTAAACAAATTGGATGACATCAAATTAAAAAGGTTTTGGAAAGCAAAGGAAATCATCAACAAAATAAAAAGACAACCCATGGAATGGGAGAACATATTCACTAGTACATCTACTAAGGGGTTAATATCCAAATTTATAAAGAACTTATAAAACTCAACACCAAAAAAACAAACAATCCAATTTAAAAAATAGGCAAAGGGCCTGGATGAGTAAACACTTCTCTCAGCAAGACATACAGATGGCCAATAGACATATGAAAATGCCACTAATCATGTCACTAATCATGAGAGAAATGCAAATTAAAACCACAATGAGATATCACCTCACACCAGTCAAAATGGCTATCATCCATAAATCAACAAACAGCAAGTGCTGGAGAGGATGTGGAGAAAAGGGAACCCTTTTGCACTGTTGGTGGGAATGCAGATCGGTGCAACCACTGTGGAAAGCAGTATGGAGATACCTCAAAAAATTAAAAATGCATCTGCCTTTTGACCCAATGATTTTACTTCTGGGAATTTATCCAGAGAAACTCAAAACACTAATTCAAAAGAACAAATTCACTTCTATGTTCATTGCAGCATTATTTACAATCACCAAGATATGGAAGCAGCCCAAGTGTCCATCAACAGATGAGTGGATAAAATAACTATGGGGCATTTATACAATGGAACATTGCTTGGCTGTAAAAAAAATAATATTTTACCCTTTGCAACACCATGGATGGACCTGGAGAACATTATGCTAAGTGAAATAAGCCAGTTAGAGAAAGACAAGTACCATATAATTTTACTCACTTGGAATCTAATGAACAAGCTGAGCTAACAAGCCAAACAGAAACAGATTCACAGATAAGAGAGCAAGCTGACAGCTCCGGGTGGGGCGGGTTTACGGGTGGAAGGACCGAAACAAAAAAAAGGAAAAGGGACTCATGGACGTGAACAACAATGTGGTGATTGTGAGGAGGTTATAAGGGGGACAAATGGTAATGAAATAAATATAATAAAAATAAATTATTAAAAAATCCCCCAAAAAACAAAAAGGGGAGTCCTAGAAAATAATGACCAATTATTCAACCATAGTTTTAATACTAAAGACTATACAAATTACAGACAGGGAGAAAAAGCAATGTCAGGGTATTGGCCACTTTTTAAAAAAAGAATGTTCTGTAGTTCTGTAGTTAGATGGGCTGAAACTGTATTTCAAGTTGTCATACTAAAAGCCACAAAGTCTCCTACCTCCAGGTCCCTGGTTGTAGTTTTATACGACTATGGTTCCAATGTTTTCCTTTTAACTACCTTTTCAATTACTCTGTTTTAAAATACCCTTAGTCTAAGACAAGTATAAATTATCCTAGATTTTAGCAAGGCCCAGAAGAAAGCCCTTTTTTGAGAAATGACATTGTCCTCCTTTTTCCTTAACCATCATTCTCAGCCTTAACCACCACATCCTCAGCTGTTATTTCACATTAACAGTCAGTAGGAATCAGGCCTACAATCCTAAAGACTTGGGAATGCCTGACTTGGGTGAATTGGCTTTATCACCACTTTGGAGCACCTGAATGAGCCATAAGAATTTACTGCTGCTTACTGAACGCATTTTAAATGCAGTTAGTTGAAAGAGAGTTAAGAAAGGATGAGTAACTGAGGTGAATCTAATAACATAATCATAGGCACACCTCATTGTATTGTGCTTTGCAGATATCATGGGTTGCTTATTTTATTTGCTTATTTACTTACTTATTTTGCAAATTCAGGGTTTGTAGCAACCCTCTGTCAAGCAAGTCTATTGGTGGCATTTTTCCCAACAGCATTTGCTCACTCATGTCTCTGTTACATTTTGGTAATTCTTCCACTATTTCAAACTGTCTCATTATTATCACATTTGTCATGGTGATCTGTGATCTTTGATGTTACTGGGGCAAGACCCTTCGCCAGGATAAAGATGGTCACTTGCTAAAAAGCTCATGATGGTTACCATTCTTTAGCAATAAAATGTTTTTAAATTAAGGCATGTACTTTATTTGTTAGATGCACTGCTACCGCACACTAATCGACTACAGAACAGTGCAAGCATAGCTTTTATATGCCTAAGGAAACCCAAAAGCTCGTCTGACTCACCTCTGCTCTGTTGTGGTGGTCGGCGACTGAGCCTGCGCTGTCTCCAAGGTGGGAATAAGGGGTAATGAGTGTTTGCAAAGGTGTTTTGTTTAATTTCGTTATTTTTTTCCTGTAGAACAAAGTTCTTTCTCTACAGATGAGAGAGCTAGTGATGACGATATTGAAGAAAACATGGTAAGACATTTCCTTTATCAAACCACTTATAAAAATACTACTGTAAAAAGAAATTGAAGTTTTAACTGATTCACATATTGTCATTCAACACTTTGATAGAAGAAAACAAGGAGGGAGGGACTGCAGGATAATATAATAGAAAAAATTACAATTAGGCTTTTCCCAATGTCTGTAATTAAACAGGCTCTACCCGCTTAAATAAGTGGTTGCTCTTCTCATCTCCTATTGTTATTTGTAGAGAACGACACTATATGGATGAGGGTACAACCACATACTTATTCTTCTGAAGGAAACATGGCATTGTATTGACTGTACAGAAAGATAAAGTGAAGGAAAACATACCCAGTTTCTGCCCAGACTCAGATTGCTGACCTTTTATAGTTTTTTCAGCCACTTACAGGCTGGGTTCATTGCAGGCCGATAATTCACTTACAATTTATGGCTGATTGTATATTTTCTTTTTGTTACATGCCTTGTATTGAGTTCCATTAATCGGAATACAAATAAGGGCTAAGAGTGGCATAAACTTGTTAAGAACTCAGGAACATCCAGCAGGGAAATTAAAGTCGATTGAGGAGACCCAGACTTCATAACTCCTTAATTTAGATCCAGTGTTACGGATCTCTGACTAGAGATGCAAACAATACCTTAAAGTCCTACCTCCCCTAAAACCATAGAAAACACCACCATTGTTAAATACATAAGATGAAGAAGGCCCTTGACATGAAAACACCCATTTGGGGTCCATTTATCTTGGTCGTAGGCTCTTTCAGAAGAGCGAGGCTGTCCAGGAAATGAAACATTTCTGGACTGTGACAACACTTCGCAGGGACCTTAATGCCCAGAAACTCCCTCTCCCCTTTCCTCACCTGGATTCGGTGATGGCTTTCCATGACCACACAGTGCTACCATTACAGAGACGTGTAAGCTTTCCCTTTCCCAGTATTACGTTCACTCTCCAAGACCTAAGTGTCATTCACTGACCACCTAATGGCATCAAGGTTATAAATGTCTGGATTCCAGTTCAACTTGGAAAACAATTGTCTCATTCATTTACTTTCTTGCTGCAGTCAGCCCAGGAGGCTGCAATGAGGTTTCCACCAAGAATTTGGAAGAAATGTTATCACTTAGAATTGATTCAAAAATCTGATGAGCTAATAATGATGGGTGAGAGAGCTCAGGTAGGAACAGAAATCACCTTAAGCAAAAAGGTGAAAAACCAGAGCCTGGAAACCCAGGGAATTGACTTGCTAAGGTATTGCACTCTAGTTTTATATGAATAACCAGCTAGATTTAGTATGCTGAGTCTTAGCATCCTGAAGAGAAAGTATCTTAGTATCTCTAAGACTGCCTACAGCAAAGGGCCCTATGGACTGGAGAACTGACATCTCTGGAGATGGGTTATAGGTCCCAACACCAGGTTTGCATAGCTGAGTGACCCCAGCTCTGAAGATAATTCGATTCACTCTTTTGGCTCAGTCATCATATTATTCATCAGTTTTCTAATAAATTTTGATTTCCATATAAATTTTTATGCAAGGAGAAATGGATAGCCCAGCTGACTTGATGATCTATTTCCCTTAATTTTAATCATCAATTTATAAGAAAGAAAAACCTAACCAGGATTTTTGTGACTTAATCAAATTTTAACCCTATAGTTTACAGAAGAAAATCAACTCTCAATTGTGTGTGAATGCTACGGGGTCCAATTTTCTCTATCAGCTGGTGTTAACTTCATAATCTCATACCTTGGGCATAGTTTTATTTCATCTTATTTGCTACAGTGTTGCAACAGGTATTTATAAACTGTGAAGTTGTAAGGATGCCATTGTAAAGAAAACCTTTAAAAAGAAACATAGGATACTCTGTGAGGAGGAGATCCTCGCAACTGCTGTGGTCCTCCTACAGTGATGATGAGGACAAATTTAGAGACCAAAGCCAACACATTGAGAATGGCAGACAAGAAAGAACTGGAGTCCTTCAACACTGTTGAAGCCCAGAATTAATCTTAGAGCCACCTGTAGAGGTCGGTGTTAGACCAGAGAGGCAAACTGATGAGAATGAGAGAAAATAGGGATTTATTATAGGGATTCAGCCTTACATAACTGGGACTCAGCTGAGGAAGTCTATGCCAGGCTGCCCCCTCTGCATCTGCTGCTGAGCTTGAAGTCGTTCTAGGTCAGCTGTGCCCAGTGGTCAGGAGGGAGAGTTGGACGTGGAGTGAGGAGAGTGATGGTCGGCTGGAATCCATGCCTGTCTGAGGGCCTCCAAAGTCCCTGCTGTGGGTGACCTGTAAGAGAAGCTGGAGCCCATTGCCATGGAGTCGCACGCACGCCTGGCCAAGACTGGGGCTGATGAGGGAGGCTGTTGGGCACTGGGAGGGCTGTGGGTCCAGGATCTGCTGCCGATCTCCGATCTCCGGCAGCTCACCAGCTCTGGCCTGGGCTAACCGCCAGCTCTCACAGTGCCTGGGGCCGTATGCTGACCTTATGAGCATAAAATAAAGAGCTGCTTTTCCACTTCTGCTTCTCAAATCTGGTAGAAATTTCTCCACACCCAACTCCAAACCAGAGCCAAACAGAGAAAGGAATTCTGGAAATGTACCTCCAGGTTAGTGAAACTGGCACCATACAAAGCCACTGTGCCACCCATCACTGCCTGGACGTCTTGTGAGCGGGGCCGTTTCAGTGTGTGAAGTCAGCCCCAGCTGTGGCCTACAGACGGGTCATTTAGGAAGGGTTCCCCTACAAGCTACAGTGCCCACCTATGACTGTCTCTAAATCACGGGGCTGGTGAGAGGTTTATCAACTCCCACCATGAGTGGCTACAATTGTCAATTTATGGATCAGGGATGAGTCCAGCAGAGTTCACTAACTTCAGTAACAACCATTTACCACTATGCTCTAGTGATCATGGACTATAACTGTCTATGGATCCCCCCCAGTGAATGTTGCTATTTAAGAGGCAGTATGAGCAAAGAACAAGTATCAATCCATTTATTAACTTCAGAATTGAAAAGCTCATTACATCTATTTAACCTTTCATGTGAAATGTTTACTTGTATTTGAGGATCAAAAGATCCTTATTAACCTTGGAAGCAAGGACACTGCCTTTAATCATTACATTTTTCTAATCACTTGTTTTAAACATATTTTAAATGTTTGTTTCAAATGCAACTTAACTTTTCGGCCATCAAGTGGAAACACACGCTTCTCCAGCCACTGTCTTTCATAAGCAAGGACTGCTTATTCTTCCCGAACCTGGAAAACAGTATCGATGTGTTCTTTGAGATTCCTGTGATTTTCCTCAGTGGAACACAGGCCCAGAACCAAGCCCAGTCCTTTCCAGAGGTGAGCTGGCCTCAGCCAACTCTTTATTAGCTTCAGAGGGAGGCAGGGAACTGGGCAATTATCTGCATTAGAGAAAACAGACACCCACCAGTAACTCAGCCCAAGGGCAGGCTCGGTCACTCAATTTTCCACCCGCCTTGCCTTGCCAGCAAAGGCACAGGCCTTTACAGAAGACGCCACGAGGGAAAGTCTCTACAGCCACATCACCAATTTGCTCCACAGCCCCAACACACAGTTCTATCAGAAAACCTTTTCCCCTGCTTTATGATAGTTGAAAGGTTTCCAGGCTTTCCTTCTGTGAATGGGAAACAATTAGTCATTGCACTGCCAAGAACGCTCTTCCTATTCATCTTTGGCCTCTTGAAAGAAGAAATTTCTGCTTTGCTCATTTTATTCTTTGTTGAAAGTAACTGTGACAAAGTCTAATACTTGACATCTGTTTTGGAGGCCCTTCAACCTCCTGCAGCTGAGTGCAATTGCAGCACATGTGAGGCATTTCCCTAAACAATTCATGATATGGGGTTGCTGGGCAGGCTCCGCACAGAAGACCTCAAATCCAATGCCATAACCTTCTCAAATTGAGGCCCGAGTTCACACCACTTAACTGGACCTCTCCGCCTAGGCCTTATCCCTGAGACCACTGTGCTGGCACCAGTGAGAGATCTCTGGCCCTGGCTGGGGTGGCTGAGTTGGTTGGAGTGTCGTCCTGTAGACCTAAAGGTCATGGGTTTGATTTCCAGTCAAGACACCTATGAGAAGGCAGCCAACTGATGTTTCTCTCTCACCTCAGTGTTTCTTTCTTTCTCTCCTTCTCTAAAAGCAGTGAAAGAATGCCCTCGGGTGAGGATAAAAGAAAAAAAGAAATCTCTGTAGTTTGCCGATGACTCACACTTCTCATTTTTAGATCCAAATATAGTCACCACACCAACTTTTAGTCCCTCCTTCCAAAGAGGTTCTTTTGACCCCCCTTAAGGTAGTATTTACTACTGGCAACAATATATACTTATTTTGTAGTGTTATGACTAATTCATTTATAATAAAAAAGAGGATCTGGCATATGCCAAATTTTAAAAAATGAAATGATGGTGCCTGTCTGTGCCAGGCAGGTGCCAAGTGCCTTACAGGCATATGCTAGGAAGGAGAATCGATATCTTTTAATTAGCTTCTCCTAGAGCCAGATCTCATTTTAAAAATTATTTGTTCATTACTGGGAAAATCCATAAGGAAGCTGAAACTACCCTGTCTGCTATAGTCTGAATGTTTGTGCCCCCCAAAATTCATATGCTGAAATCCCATCACCCATGGAGATGGTATTGGGTGGGGCTTTTGGGAACTGAATAGGTCATGAGGTTGGGACCACCTTGTAAATGGTATTAGTGGATGGAACTGGGATGGGTGGGACAGGGGAGAGCAATGGGAAAAAATTGGGACAACTATAAATAAACAACAATAAAAATAAAAATAATTTTTCATTAAAAAAAGGCCCCAGAGAGCTTCTTTCCCATTTTATGCCATGTGAGGTGTCAGTGGGAAGAGCACCATCTAAGAAGTGGCTTCACCAGATGCCGAACCTGCCAGCACCAGGTCCTGAACTCTCTAGACTCCAGACTATGAGAAATACAAGAAGCCCCCATCTCTGGTGTTCTGCTAGAGCAACCCTAAAGGACCATGACATTGACCCCACCAAGCCTACTGTTTAATGTTCTTTGTCACTCTACCACTTTGCCGGGAAAATTAGGGCAGTTTTATGGACCACAGAGATGTAGAACGTTTCTTTCTCTGTGATTTAGAACAGGAGGCTAGAAAGCAGAACTCTTGCAATTGTTCTCCACCGCCTCAGTTTTAAACCTGAGCCCCCAGGTATCCATACTGATATGGTACAAAGTATGCACTTTACTACCAGAGGCACAGTCCACCTGGAATTTCAAGCAGATCCATCTGTGCTTTTTAAACCATCTTTGCTCCCTGGGCTCCTGACTATTCCATACAAATGAATTTAGGTTCTGGCTCTCAGAGCCTGCAAGTTAACCTAGAATTAAGCATTTGAGAAGTATAAATACAGTCTGCATCCCACTCAAATGCTTAGCACTGCTATTACCTGGGCAAGTAGAATTTAATAAATATGGAAGGTTTTATTAGATTTTGTTTTTGATGTTGCTGTTTTTTAAAAGCATTTAAAGAGAAAAACAAGAAATGTCTTGTAATACTGGTCCACGCGATGCTGTGAGCCCTAAATACACCCGTTTTAAGAGTTGAACACCTGACATACCTTTTTTCCAAACTCTTTTGCTTTAATCTTGAGTTTATTGACTTGTGATTCTGCTCTCTCTGCCCTTTCCTTAGCTTCGTTCAACTCACGTTGCTGCTTCTTGTACTTGGAAAGATATTGATTGGCTTGTGCTTCCTATAAAAATAAAAAATGTAAAAAAAAAAAAGAAATCCCTGTGCCTACATAGTCATACTTTTTCTACTCTGACATAAGAAAGTTGAAAATGTGTGAAAGGAATCTAAACTTCTGCATATTAAATGGAAGAGCATATTTCGGTATGACATATAGGGATTCAGACTTCCCAGCAGGCGCAAGATCTATTTTTATAGCTGTTTCTCCCTGTAAGTGTAGTCGGCACTTTCCACATACTGGGTGTAGAACAGCTCTCTCAGATTTGGTATGTGCTAGAATAACCATGATTGTTTGTTTTGTCATTAGTTCAACATCTTATTCTACGCTGGGCAGAGGGGGCTGGCCTTTATAGTTACACGGGTGAATGGGCAATAGATATAACAGTGTTTTAGCCAAAACCATTTAAATAATCAATTTGAAACCCCTAAAGAGATATTATTAGGTATAAGCCAATTTATACAATACTTATCAATTACATTCCATGTAGCTATGCATACTAACCCAACATTGGCAGATACATATCAAGTATCTTTTTGTGCACAGTCATGTCCAGGTTCATCAGAAAAGGACTGTGAGTTGCATTAATGCTTACTCAAGGTTGCAGGGTGAGGAAGGCTCCAGGGTGATTACCTGACCAAAAAATGTGCCATCTCTACTAGATGCCATGCTCTTACATGGCTCATTTCTTACAATGTACATGTTTAGGTATAATCACGACATTGAGGGAGAGAGCTCTGGCTTCCCAGAGGGAAAAAGTAGCATAAAACTTTACTATGGGTGATGATTCTAGCTTGCAAAAAAAGAACAGACTGTAAGCTAGCTGCTTCTCTCTAACAAGCTGCACACCTAGCTCAGGACCACACGTCTCCATTAATCAAAAGCAACAGCTGGGAAATCCATGAGGCTGCAACTGCCTCAGGCACTTACCGCTGCCTCAATTTGCTGCTTGTAACTTTGCACTTTTAGCTGAAGATTATCCATCAGAGACTGCATCCTGCTCAGATTTTTCTTGTCTTCCTCTGCCTGAAATGCATAGGTACGTATGTGAAGGTGAGTTGAAGAATCTGACAGTCCGCATTGGGAGTAGCCTCAAATGAGCAAATAAAGGGTAAGGAAACTTTGTTAAAATACCACATTAGAATTATGACTTGAACATGAGTTTAACTCTACTTGTCCCAAGTTCTGAGAAATGAGTAAACACAGCTCTGAGGAATGACAGTTATTTCTCCTGATCCACAACAGAAGTTGCAGCCATCGCTAAAATGGAAGTTCAAGCCACTGGTTTCAATTTGATCATCGGTCCTCCTATCCCACTAAGCTACATCTGCCTGTGGTTTCTCAGTCACCTCTCTCCCACCAATCAAACCAAACCTCCCTTTGAACTTTCTAATTGGCCCTTGACTTTTGCGAATGGAATAGGAAAGGTGGTTTTCTAGAGTTCTGGTGTGGAAATCAGCAGAGACAGTGAGGAAAATTCCATAAGCTACGGGGATGTCCTTGTCCATTCCCATTGCTACCATGCAATCCAAACTTGAGCTGGAGAAAGGAAATCTAGTGAGATGGTGTTTCTCAGCTGTGCTCCATGGAGCCTTTGGGTATTTGGAGGAAAAAGGAGGGGACAGACAAGCAGGTAGATAAGGCTCCACCTGCCCCCTCTTTCCCATAACCTCTAAACTAGAGTATCTCCACACTGGGGCTATTAAACTTCCCCAAAGAAGAAAGTATCTCAACCTGCTAGTGATTGTGATAATGACTTAATCAAGACCTACCCGTTACTCAATTTTTTTTTCCTGGCTCTACCTTACCTATTTCATCAACACTGATTTCTTTGATGGCTTTCATTGTCTCTGCACATCCCCTCCACTGCCCTCCAAAACCCCTACCACACCAACCAGATTCATCGATTTCCCCACAGCTCCATCCTCTGTAAGTTTAGCCAATATCCCTCCACAACACAGCTCCAAGGCAGCAGACAGAAACACCCAGTCTTGCATTGAAAGAGGCCTATTTGCAGAAGGAACAGAAAATTCTAAGTCAGAGTATCAAGAGAAAATAGATCACATTCTGTGACTTGTTAGGAACTCAACATGTTAGAGCATAAGCTTGAAACAGAAGGAAATACGTGGAAACCAATACATAGAGTATTGGTTGGGTAGGACCAGGAGGAAGATGAGGATTTGAGGTGTTGGCTAAAGGGTGTGGGGTTTCTTGGGGGGGTAAGAAAATGTTCTAAAATTGAATGTGGTAACCTTCAATTCATACATCTGTGAATGCAATAAAAGTCACTGAATTATATACTTTTCAAAAAAGAGGCCTATTTGCTTATCTTAGTAGCTATAGCCTGAGGGGCAGTCTTTTAATTTAACAAACATCAAGGGGCCAGCTTCAATCCTCTCCAAAGATGAGGAGGCTGCCTGCCAGGTGCCATCTTCAAGATCTCCGCCTGCCTTGCTTCATGCAGCTGGTATCTCTGAGAAAGAAATATGTGCACATGTCTGGTGCCGTGGTGTCTATGGATGCTGTGCAGAGCACATATCCCTTGATAGCCTGGCTCTGATAGCCACAAGGTTTGTGTTCATGGGTTCAATGAGATATATCAAACAAACAAACAAACAAACAAACAAAACAGTATATAACTGGCTACCACCCCAAGCCTCAGAGGAGACAGAAGAAATGGCCATTTCCCATTTTTATTCTTAAAGAGCTATTTTGACATATTTAAAAATCTCCTTCCTGGGAGTCTAGCTTCCAATCAGCCTGCATCTAGGCACTGACTGAGATCCTCTCCTTTGGTATACTGACAGGTTGTGCACACCTTCAACTACAAGAAGCCATGAAGAACAGTGACTACTGCTTAGACAACCACAAAGGTTGTAGAGATAATCAAGAGCTAGGACAAGGTTGAATGAGAAGAATCATCTACATGATACTACTTATTCAATACTAAGAGAGGTAGCTATTTTATTTAATGCATAGAAACCAAGTCAAGGAAAATGAAATGACAAAGGAACATGTTCCACATGAAAGAACAAAATAAACTTTATTAAAACAAATGAAGGTCAATGATTATCTGATAAAGAATTCAAAATATTGTCCATAAAACTGCTCATCAATTTCAGGAGAACATGCATGAAAAAGTAAAAATTCCAACAAAGAGGAAATATAATAAAGCACTAAACAGAAAATACAGAGATGAATAATATAATAACAAAACTGAAAAATACAATAGAGGAGCTCAACAACAGCCTAGGTGAAGAAGAAGAAAGAGTTCATTTAGTCAAAGAGAGGGCAGTGGAATTCATCCCATCAGAGAAGCAAAAGGTATAAAGAGTGAAGATAGCATGAGGGACTTATAAGGCAATATTAAGCAGACCAACATTTTCATTATAGAGGTCCTAGAAGAGAAAGAGAAAGAGAAAGAGAAAGAGAAAGGGCACAGAAAACTTACTGAAGAAATAACAGCTGAAAAGTTCCCTAACCTGAGGAATGATATAAACATCCAGATGCAGGAAACCCAAAGAATTTAAAACAAGATGAACCTAAGACACATTATAGTTAAATTGTAAAAAGTTAAAGATACAAAGAGAATCTTAAAGGCAGTAAGAGAAAAACAACTCTTTACACATAAGGGCTGCCTCGGAAAGATTGTCAGCAGATTTTTCAGCAGCAACTTTCCAGGCCAGAAAGGAATGGCACAATACACTCAAAGTGGTAAAAGAAAAAAAAACAAAACCCTGCCAACAAAAAATACTCTACCTGGAAAGTTGTCCCTCAGAATTGAAGGAGAGACAAATAGTTTTCCAGACAAGCAAAAGCTGATAAAATTCAGCATCACTAGAGCAGCCTTACAAGAAACATTAAAAAGATTTCTTTAAGATGAAATGAAAGGGCATTAATTACAAACAAGAAAAGATGAAAATATAGCTTTGGTAAAGATAAATAGTCAAGTGTACAATCATCTAATGTAATGGTGATGAGTAAATCACTTATAAAAGTTAAAAGACAAAAATAGTAAAAATAACTATAACTACAAAATTTGTTATTAAATAGACAAGATAACAAAATATAAAGTGTGGTATCAAAAACAAAATGCCAGTGATAATAGTAAAATTGTAGAGCTTAAAAATGAATTAAAATATGTCATTATCAACTTAAAGTAGACTATTATAAATAAAGGTCGTTTATGCAAGACTCATGGTAACAAAGCAAAAGCTACAGTAGATACACAAAAGACAAAATGAATCTAAGTAAACCACCACAGAAAATAATCAAATCACAAACAGTGAAAGCAAGAGGAAAAAAAAGGAACAAAGAAATTACAAAACAGCCAGAAAACAATTAATAAAGTGGCAATAAGTACATACCTATGAATAATTACTTTTAATGTAAATTGACTAAGTTATCTAATCAAAAGACATAAAGTGGCTGAATGGATAAAATAGAAAACCCTTCTATCTGATGTTTGTTTACAAGAGATTCACTTCAGATATAAGAACACAGAGAGATTAAAATAGAAGGAATAGAAAAATATATTCTATGTAAATGGAAACCAAAACTGGTGGGATAGCTACACATATATCAGACAAAATAGTTTTTAAGGAAGACTGTAATAAGTGACAAAAAAAGGTCATTATATAATGATAAAGAGGTCAATTCAAGAAGAGGCGATAACATTTGTAAATATTTATGCAAATAAGATGCATCTAAATATATCAAGCATATATTAACAGAAATCCAAGTAAAAGTAAACAGCAATAAATAATAGCAGAGGACTTTTTGTAGATTTTATTTATTTATTTTTTGAGAGTGGGGGAGAGAGAATGAGAGGGAGAGAAACATTGATTGGTTGCCTCTGGCAGGTCTCTAACAGGAGACCTGGCCCACAACCCAGGCATGTGCCCTGACCAGGAATCAAACTGGGGAACTTTCATTTTGTGGGATGATGCCCAACCCATTGAGCAACACCAGTCAGGGCACAGTAAGGGACTTTAAAATACCCTTTCATCAGTGGATAAATCATACAGTCAGAAAATCATTAAGAAAACAATGGCCTTAAAGGATACATGAAACTATTAAACTGGATGGACTTAGTAGACATATACAGAACATTGCATTAAAACTAATGGAATACACATTCTTCTCAATCACACATGAAATATTCTATAGGACAGGTCATATGTTGGGCTATAAAATGAGCCTTAATAAATTTGAGAGGATTAAAATCAAGTATCTTTCACAACCACAGTGATACCAATTACAGAAAAACACTGAAAAATTCACAAATATATTATTAAACATCATGGCACTGAATAACCAGTGGGTCAAAGAAGAAACCAAAAGGGAAATTTAAAAGAATGCCTTGCAAAAAATGAAAATGGAAATACAACATACCAAAACTTAGGGGATACAGCATAAGCAGTTCTAAGAGGGAAGCTCATAGTAATAAATGCCTATATTAATAAAAAAGAAATATCTCCAATATATAACCTAATTTAAACCTCAAGAAACTAAAAAAAAAAAAGAACAAATGAAGCCCAAGTTAGTAGAAGGAAGGAAATAAAGATGAGAGTGTAAACAAATAAAATAGAAACTAAAAGGATAACAGAAAAGGTCAATGATAACTAAGTGCTTATTTTTAAAAGGATAAACAAAATTAATAAACCTTTAGCTAGACTCCCCAAGAAAAAAGGACTTAAATGAATGAAATTAAACATGAAAGAGGAGACATTACAACTAATACCACAAAAATACAAAAGGTCATAAGAAACTACTGTGAAAAATTAGAGCCAGTAAACTGGAGAATGTAGAAGAAAATCATAAATTCCTAGAACAAAGAGGATATAAAACCTATCAAGACTAAATCATGAAGAAATAGAAAAGCTGGACAGACCAATTACAAGTAAGGAGGTTAAGTTAGTAATAAAAAAACCAGCTTTACTGGTGAATTCTACCAAACATTTAAAGAATTAATACCAGTTCTTCCCAAACTCTTCCAAAAAATAGAAGTGAATACTTCCGAACTCTTTTGATGAGGCCAGCATTATCCTGATACTAAAACCAGACAAGGACACCACACACACACACACACACACACACACACACACACACACACACACACACAGAGAGAAAATTACAAGCTAACATCCCTAATGAAGATGGATGCAAAAATTCTCAACAAAATATTAGCAAATCAAATTCAATCGTATGTTAAAAGGATTAAACACTGTGGTCAAATAAAATTTATTCCAGGAATACAAGCATGGTTTATCCATCAATGTGATATACCAACATTAACAAAATGAATGATAAAATCATGATCATCTCCAGAGATGCAAAAAAGAAAAAAAAGGACCTGACAAAACTTAATATCCATTCATGACAAAAGCCTCCCAACAAAATAGCTGTAGAGGGAATGTACCTCAATACAATAAAGTCCATGTATGACGAGCCTAAAGTTGGCATCACACTCAATGGAAATAACAGAAGTTTTTTCCTTTGAAATTGGGAACAAGACAAAGATGCCCACTCTCGCCACTTTTATTCAACACAGTACTGGAAGTCCCAGCCAGAGCAATTAGGCAAGGAAAAGAAAAGGCATCCAGAACAAAGTACAAAGTAAAATTGTTTTTATTTTCAGATGAGATGATATATTATATAGAGACAATCCTAAAGATTTCACTAAAACCTGTTAGAACTAATAAACAGATTCAGTAAATTTACAGAACACAAAACAGTAAACAAATTAGTTGTTTCTGCACACTAATAGCAAGCTATTAGAAAGAGAAATTGAGAAAATAATTCTATTTAAACTTGCATCAAAAAGAAGAAAATATTTGGAATAAATTTAACCTAGAGGATGAAAAATATATATTGTTTTCTGCAAACTGTAAGACATTGGTGGAGGGAACTGACACAAAACAATGAAAAAAGTGTTCACCTCAGCAGTACATATACTAAATTTAGTATGGTGAAGAGATTAGCATGGCCCCTGCACAAGGATGACATGCAAATTTGTGAAGCGTTCCATAATTTAAAAAAATAAAATAACGATGAAAAAATATTCTATTCTCATGGATTAAAAGAATTAATATTGTTAAAATGTCCATACTATCCAAAGTAATCTTCAGAGTCAATGCAATTTCTATCATAATTTCAAAAGCACAGAAACAGAACAAATCATTCTAAAATCTGTATAAAACCATAAAAGATCCTGAATAGCCAAAGGAATCTTGAAAAAGAAAAAGTTGAAGGTACTATGCTTCCTAATTTTAAATGATATTACAAAGCTATACATACACATAGATCAGTGGAATAGAATAGAGAGTCTAGGAGAAAACCCACACATGTGTGGTCAATTAATTTATGACAAAGGAGCCAAGAATATACAAAAGTAAAAGAACAATATCTGCAATAAATGGTGTTGGGAAAACTGGACAGGCATACACAAAAGAAGAAAACTAAGCCACTATTTTACACCATACACAAAAATGAACTCAAAATGGGTTAAAGACTTGAATGTAAGGCCTGAAGCCATAAAACTCCAAGTAAGAAAACATAGGGAGTAAGCTCCTTGACATTGGTCTTGGCAATAATTTTGGGGGGGAATCTGACACCAAAAATACAGCAAAAGAAACCATCAACAAAATGAAAAAGCAACCTATAGAACAGAAAAAAATAATTGCAAATCATATCCGATAAAGGGGTAAAATTAAAATGCATAAAGAACCATACAACTGAAGCAAAAAAAAACTGATTAAAATGGGCAGAATATCTGAGGAGATATTTTTCCAAAGAACATACACAAATGGCCAATAGGTACATGATTTGTGATGTTCAGCATCACAAATCATCTGGGAATTGCAAATCACAACCACAATGAGATATCACCTCACACCTGTTAGAACGGCATTATCAGAAAGAGATAAGAATGTGGAGAAAAGGGACTTTTTGTGCACTCTTGGTGGGAATGCAAATTGGCATAACCACTGTGGAAAATAGTGTAGAGCTTCCTCAAAAAATTAAAAATAGAACTGCTATATGATAGAGATTCACTTCTCAGTATTTATTTGAAGGAAACAGAATAACTCTAAAAAGTATCTGCACCCTCATGTTCATGGCAGTATTATTTACAATAGCCAAGACATGGGAACAACCTAAGTGCCCAATGATAGGTAAATAGATAAAGAAAATGTGGCCCTGGCTGGTGTAGCTCAGTGGATTGAGCACGGGCCTGTGAACCAAAGGATCGAGGTTCGATTCCCAGTCAGGGCACATGCCTGGGTTGCAGGCCACTTCCCAGCGGGGGACCCACAAGGGGCAACCATACATTGATGTTTCTCTCCCTCTCTCCTTCCCTTCCCCTCTAAAGAAATAAATAAAATGTGAAAAAAAAAAGAAAATGTGGTATGTATTTATAATGGAATACTATTCAGCCATAAGAAAGAAGAAAAGCTGGCCATTTGCAATAACATGGATGGACCTGGAAAGCATTATGTTAGGTGAAATAAGTCAGAGAAAGGCAAATAATATGTGGTCTCACCTATATGTAAAATCTAAAAAACAGAACTTAGGGTATGAGAACAGATTGGTGGTTGCCACAGGCAATGGGGGTGGAGAAATGGCATGAGGTTGGAAAAATAGGTGAAGGTGGTCAAAAGGTACTAACTTATGGTTATAAAATGAATAAGCCCTGCAAATGTAACATGCAGCCTGGTGAGTATAGTTAGTAATACTGCAATGCATGTTTGAAAGTTGCAGAAAGTGTTGATCTTGAGTGCTCATCACAAGAAAAAACTTTGTAACTACATGTTGTGATGACTATTAACTAAACATGTTGTGATAATCATTTCACAAAGTAAACATCTATCAAATCATTATGCTGTACATCCCAAATAATACCATGTTATAAGTCAGCTTGATCTATAAACAAACAAGTATTGATAAACAAATGTATGTTCAACCAAGCTGTTTCTATTGCCTAGATTGCTCCCACCTACCTCCACCTTAAAGTAGGTCTGACCATAGATAATTAATAACTCATTTTGAGCTTACTAAGGCAGAGGTCAATATATAAGAAATAGCCTGGTTAGAAAAATAAGACAAGTCAATTTTTAAATAAAATCTCTTTTCTGTTTTCATCTGCCTATCCCTGTATTTCTCAGGATTAAGAAATGTGAAAATTCACAGAATTCTGTGTGTAGAGGAAGTTCCAAAACCAACAGAAGTTGAATAGCTTAATACCAATTTACTGAAGCCAGTAAGCGTACAGTGTGTTGAAGGAAGCCACACAGAAGAAAATTGAAAATGGCTACAAGTGGTTGCCAATGTTAACGTTCCTCCCATTTGGGAAGGCAAGCCCTAGGTTCACGTACACCTCAGCTCCGAGGCATCAAGTAACTATGGTAACTGTGGTTGTACACTGCTCAAATTGCCCCTCAAGATACTTGCTGCTCTGCTGTGAGGAGTGGTGTCCAAAACCTCCAACTGCCATGCCTTTGGGACCTGCCATGGCATTTACACTGAGATCACACACTCCCCAGCAGCCCCTACCAACAACTAGGCGCAGTGGAGTTACCAGGGTCTGGCCATTTCCGCGCTACGTGCGACTCCAGCATGGGCAATTGTTGTGTGGGAGACCTGCTGGGAGCAGCATGGCACTCATATCCAATCCTCCTCCCCCCAGCCTTTCCTTTCACAGGTGTCAGACACATATTGCGGTCTAAAGGCTTTCTCTACCTCATCCTGCTTGCCCTTCTCTTTCTTTCCCAGATGTTACCTCCCCAAAAAAATCTCTTGTGCTTCTAATTTCATTCCAGCATCTGGTTCCTGGAGGACCCACCCAAGACCAAATTTTGTTTCCTTATTCCTCCAAAAATGAAGATACCGTCTCTGTATTTAGATTTGTAAGGATTAAATAACATCTACACGCAGATCCCTGAATGTGGGAAGCAGTCCAAGGTAAAATGGAGCGGGTAGATGAAGAGTGGGGGCAGGAAAACTATCTTTACCTTTTTAACAATAGTAAGTTTCTAATATTGTATCTTGCTTTTTAGTCCATTTTTCAAGGCAGTGGAGAGAGAAAGGACATGTGAGGGGAGATAAACACTCAGTGGGGACTGGTCACAGAACTATTGTGGACAGGGTCACCTTAGATTCCCTTTCCAATGTAGTAGGGTCTTCCCAGAGGGATATTTTCTAAGAAAGAAAAACTATTTCCGTCCCTTTCAAAATGACATTTTCAATTGGTACCTATAAAGTTCTTTCACAAAACACCCTGCCTCCTCATCCTGACGGTTATTTTGATGTTAAAGGAGAGCAGACTCAATTAACTCAGCGTCCACCTTGAACGTTTCAAAACCTGGTGTGGATATTAAGAAATGTAGAGAGCTCTCAGATGTCTCTTTAAGCTTACAGAATCTAGAGTAATATTTGCATAACATAGGTACTCAATAGGTGTTATCTGATTTGATGGCAGAAAATCATTGCGTAATTGAATAGATACACTCTAAGCATTGTGCAGACAGTTGGGAGAAATTAAGAAATACACCTGCATACCAGCACCTGGGGAATACTAAGATTATTGCTATGAACAAACAAAGATCTAACACCATCAAACACAAACGCAGTCCTTGGGACAAAAAAAAATCCAAAAAAATTATAGCTTTGGTGTTTATTTCTATAATGAAGTTGTTTACAGAAGGAAACAGTATAAATAATCCATTGGAAAATAGAAGAAAAACCCAGACATTATTAACAAGGAGCATTTCATTCCCTCAACAGAGGTGGCTTCCCCTCCTCCCTTAAAGGAGAGTAGAGCACCACATCCCTCACATCCCTCACATCCCCCAGGGGTGCACTTCCTGAGCTGTGCACCCCATGGGCTCACTCCTCAGTGGCTTTGACACACCTGCATGGTCTAAGAGAAGTGTCAGACTAGCTCATCTTTGAAAAGAACCACTTAGTCAGTAAAGAAGAGCTGTGCAAGTGGCTTATTTCATCTTAATTAGCCCTAGATGATGCTTCTGAAGTGCTCTGCTTTCTTATCAACATTATCCTTCCCGGTGCAAGGGAGGAAGACTTTGATGTCTGGAACATCCACAACGCAGCCCCAGGAGCCGGAATTGGGGCAGGCAGACGTTGCTTGAGTACTGCTGGAGTTGCTGTAAATGCAGGAGCCTAGGCTGAGTTCGCCTTTTTACTGAAATAAGCTGCACTAGGCAGCAGAAAGGGCTAGAAAGAGACCTTGGGCATCTGTTGTTCAGCCACTGCAATATGTTCATCTACTCTGAGCCAGGAAGGCGTGAGGCCCCACAGTGGCAAATGAACAGTGCCTCTGCTATCTGGTTTACTCCATTTGAAGTAATAGGAAAAAAGGTTAGAAAATAAGAATAAGAATGAAAGGTTACATTGTTACTTTAGAAATATATTAATTACTGGTAGAAAGTCTACCCACTTCTTTTCCATTAGTTGCTCGAGACCCATGTCAGTCAACAGGAAAATAGTTGGAAAGCCTCGGAGGCCTCTCATTAGCCACTTGCTTTTCTCACCTGGCACCAGCGCCAAATACAGCCCTCAGTGGCCTGCAATGTTTGTGCAACCAGAAAATTGGAGTGCACGTGTCCCCAGTTTAGTCAGCGTCCCATGTAACCTTTTGGCTGAGGCTGCCAGTGTCTGCCACTCACTTCGTTTACACATTGTTCTCACTCAGGCTCTCATAGGAAGGAGTGTTTCTGAAAGTGCTGCAGGCATTATGTGTGAAAAAATAGGAACAGTATAAATAGCTTTTTATTTCTAATTGCAAATTGCTGCTCACATTTGGCTTCCTGAGAGCTCTGAAAAGGGACCGACCCAAACCACTAATAGCACAAGGGCCCTGGAAGGGTGAGTCAGTGTCTACCGCTGAGTGAGAGTGAAGATGGAGAAAGAAATGCAGGAGACATGGAAGGCCATTACTGCCTTGACGGAGCCCATTTTTCCAGGAGGGAACCCAGCCAGACAGGGGGTGCTTTCCTGGAGTACCTGGTAGGTCAGCTCTCTGATGCAGCGCTCCAGCCGGCGGGCTCCCCTCTGTGCTTCTGCATTGCGCCGGATTTCGCCCTCTAGTTCACCTTCCAGTTCAGAAATCTGCAAACAAGCATGATCTCAGACCACAGGCTGGCAGGAGGCAAGCCGGGCTGGCATTGTACTTGCCAACTGGCATGGTCACTTGAAAGAGCAAAATCATCAAGGGAAGAGATGCCCCTTGCCACCGGGACAACCTCTCTGGGAAAACGTCTTGCCAAAAGTGAGTTGGGGGAACTATGTACATTCACATAAGGACTGCTTAGGCTTGAAGGATGTGAAAGGCTAATCCACGCAGAGGTGATATACTTCCCCTCTTAGATGACAAAATTACACACACACACACACACACATACACACACACACACAAATGTATGCAAGCACATGGAGAGAGTAAACTATACTTAGAGGATTCAGCCAATATACTACTTAAGTTTACACTTCTTTTTCCATATTCAGCTGATTCTCTAATAATCAAACCCTGAGCCTATGCCACACATACGTCCCAGGGCCTCATGGCCCTGCTTTGGGGGAGAGCTGCAGTACAGACCACCAGTCTGCCTGGAGCCTTGCAGAGCCGCACCAACAAGGTTAACATAGCATCCAGTCCACAATACTCGATGCCTACTACAGACCAGACCCAAGGCTAGGGAAAATTCCTTCCCCCTATAAGTATGCATTCTAATGGGGGAAAACACAAACAAAACAAAGTAAAATGTAGACTATGTTAAATGGTAATATGTGATTTGGAGTAAAATAAATGAAGAAAGGGTTAGGGAGCTGATGGAGAAGGGTGTTGCTCACTCCTTCTCTCCTTCCACGTGTCCAGGTCTGCCTCCCTGCCTTCTTCTTGAAGCAAATGCCACCTCCTCACAGAGCCTTCCTGACCACCGTTCCCAGTGCAGAGCCCGATGCCCTGAATGTGCTGGCCTGCCCCCCCCTCCCCTTTGGCCATACTGTCCTTGTTCTTTAGCAGAGAGGTATGCAGGGGGTGGGGGAGTCAGCAGGTGTGCACATTCCTTGTGAATGAAGCCTACTGAAAACTACCTTCTGGACCCCTGTCATATGGGAATACAACACGTAGTTCTGTTGGTGGGAACATGAGACTAACACAGCTCCCCCTTTACTTTAAGTTTTTGCTGTGTTTCTTGCATGATTAAAACACCTGAGGGGAAAATCACTCTATTAAAGCAAATCCTAGACATAGTTGTACCTACACATGCTTATGTAATTCTAATAGATAATGGTATTGTGATTATGTTTGTAAGAAAATTAACATCATTCTTTAGTATCACCTGATATTTAGGAGCTCACTGCTACTGAGTTATATCGGTTCTAGGCCTTAATAGTGGACAAACAGAAATTGGAAATAATATAAAATCTTATAATCTATCATTTATGCATTTTTAAGGGGGGAAAAGGACTGTCATAAGTTCTTTGATTTTACGCCTAAATGCTTTTTCTTTATCCTAAAAATCTTTGTTCTTACATATGCTATTGAATAAATAATTATATCAGTGTTATTGCTAGTAGCAATAAGGTACTGTTATTTTGAAACTACAAAAGCTGTTTATTCACTGTTTTGTTTTGTCCTTAGGTATATTTCATGAGAGATGTACAAACAAATCACTATGTTTAAAAGTCACTGGGAACAATTGTTCTCTGTGTGTTTTATGCCCCCAACATCCTACAATTGGCTTCGTTTGCCTCCATTTGTGTTAAAATTTTAGGGATTGCTTCGTTTTCCTTCGTTTGATGTCAGCTTTTTAAAATTATGAAGCACATAAATGTTTCATATGATTTTGCAATCAAAACAATAAGGTGAAGGTGCATTCAGTTCTAACTCTCATCTCTGTATTCCCCTCCTATGAGGAGCTGTTATTATTAGTCTTTGTTTTATCCTGTCGCCACTTCTTTCTTAAAATATAAGCAAACGTGCATGTATCTTCATATCCCCCCATTCCTGAACAAGAGTGTATACACTCCACATTGCCTGTGCTTCTTATCATACAGATAGGCAAGGTGTTACAGAACTTGTCCTCATTCCTTTTTAAACAGCATGACAACGTGAATGTGGTACCGTAAGTGCACACTGGTATCGGCTGTATGCATAAACCATAAATGAGCAAAGGCAATGCTTTACTTTTTGGAGGCCCTTCCGAGTCATCAAATCCCAGTCAAATATTCTTTCCATCTGTAGCACTTGTCACATGACCTGTACATAGTCACTGAAATTGATTCAATAATTTTAAAAATCCTGTTTTCGAGATAGGTCTTTCTATTTGTTTTTAAGCTCCCCAGTGGCAGGCACTACATCATTTCTGTCAGCCCTTACTAAATCTTTACTACGTCTTTGTTGATACTTGATTTAGTTGTTTCTACTCCCCTTACTCTGACTGGTAGGAAATGGGCAGAGGAAGTAACAGGAGCAAAGGCACAGAATCAAGACTGTGAGGGTATATGTGGGCCAGGAGGCCGCCTGGCGGTAGAGAGCCCAGAGCTGGTGTGGGTGAGTGGGAGGAGATGTGTCTCACATGGCCAGAAGGGGGAAGGCAGATTCAGCACAGTCCAAAAGAAGTGGCCAAAGGTCAAACAAAAATGCGTGAACTCAGAGATCTAACCCCATTAAAGATCTGAAAACACCACAAGCAAAAATGAGGAGGGAGGGAGGGAATATCTGGTGTGATTTCTAGATTAATAAGGCCTCATCTGGGAGTTGTCAAGACTCCATGATTACCCAGGCCAACTCCTACCCTGGATTCTAGTTTCTGGATTTGCTTTCTACTCCCCATCAGGGTCATCTGTTCAGCTTCACTGAGCCTTTTGTGTAAGTCTTTCATTGTCTGCTCCATAGTCCTTCTCATCTTCTCCAGGTGGGCATTGGTGTCTTGTTCCTTCTTCAGTTCTTCTGACACATTTGCCACCTAGAAAAGAAAGAGAGACTGAGATCATCCAGTGGCCCATTGGCCTTAACATTTCTACTTTCAGCCTTCAGTTCTTCATCTAACTAGACATCATTCCTTGCCTCTGTGCACATACCCTCTTCTCACCAAACCCTCCCTAAACTCTGTGGCCCTCAAGTATGTGAAAAAATCAAGACAGCAGCAGGTACTAAAGAGATTAGGGTGATGGGTGATGAAAACAAACGAAAGATGAAGTACCATGCGAACATGATGACACAGCACCTGTACCGAAAGTAAGGTGACCCACTGAGGCAATGACTCAGAACCGAACAAAGCACCAGGACATGTCCCGAACATCGTGCACCAGGAAAAGTGCGGAGGAGTGCCTGTCAGGATCTTTTCACATCTCACATCTATGACGCTGTGATTTACAACTGCAAACAAGTTTAGGCTCCAGGAATTTGGCAGCAACAGATGTTCTGGGTGCCAATAGTCTGGCACATGGTAGGTTAATTCTTGCTTGTGAAACCCATTCTTGGCTTTGGCCGTATATACAAGGGCTTAGTGTTTTGATGCAATTATTAAGAACTGTTTCCTGAATCTCTCAGTGCATTTAATGTAAGAACACTGCCCTCCCAGTCAAAGCTTCTCTGTCTATCAGGTTCCCAACCATCTGTATAATTTAAGTGTGAGACATGTGTACAGATGGTGAGGGTGAGGAATAAATTACGGAGGCAGCTCTGGGCTCTGCCATGGGAGGTTGGGACTCGGAGCTGAACTGCTGAAGAATTCAAAGGGGGAAGGAGAAGTAGTGAATTCATTTTTCAACTTAGTGAAGAAAATCTTTGAAAAGCAAGGTTAGTCAGATAGAGTCTTCATCATGTATGACTACATAAATTTACCAAGCAGACTCAGAAGCTCTTTTTATTTCTTTCTCTCTATGTGGATTTACATAAATGTTCAGCATATTATTCTTCCCTGGGCCAAACATTTTCAAGCGTCTGCACACCTCTTTCCCATCAGAGAGCAGAAGTATCTGCCTTGTACAAAGTGGCTGAGTGACAGGCATGCTGCTCCGTTCTCCTGGATCCTGCAGTGAGCTGGTAGCTTGGATTTGGTGCAGGGTTTTGTTTAGCTCCCCGAGTGCTGCATAACTCAGGCAAATACAGGCACAAGCTCTTCCCCTCGTCTGATTTCCAAAATGACGAATGTAAAATCAAATTGGACATCCTGTCTCCCCAATTCCCATACCCTTCTCAGCAAGAGGATCAGCTTCCATTCACATCACAAGGCTAAGGCTGCTGCATATGGTTGTTTGTTTGGGCTACACGAAATCACCTGATGGGGGTGTGTGAGTGGAGGCTAAAATCAAGCTCAAGCCAGCTCAGCAAGTGCTGAGACCTGCAAGGCTGGGTCCTTCACAGATACTTCTCCCTGCACCTCCCTTCCTCCACTCCCTCTGTGAATTGCTTTGGTATTTCCGCCCGCTTGCCTTATCCTTTGAGAGAAGTGCTGCATCTGCCCTCCAGGGTGGGCGTTCTCCACTTCCCTCCAAGGCACAGTCAAGGCTGGCAGCCAACCCTGAAGTTAGTGTCATTTGGGAAAAGCACTGCCCTCACCTTGTAAATAAAGAAGGTACACACCAACCCAGAAGCCCTTCTTTATCAACCTATTCTGCTCCTCAAGCACCAGCATGGCTCATAAAAAATAAATGAAATAAGCGTTCTTCCTGGATCATCGTCATAAAAACCATTACATACTCCAGGAACATAGCTCTTTGTAAGTAAGCACAGGAAGCATTGTTTCTAGACACTAGATATATTGATTCACAAGTAGAAAGTGGCTTAAGTTAAAAAAAAAATCTCTCCTTCTCATAAGGTTTTACTTATAGAAATTCAACTGCTCCTTTTCATTGCCTTAGGAGGTTGCAGGGGAGGAGTTAATTGGCGTAATTTTTCAAAATGGGAACAGAGAGCAGAGGGCTGAGCTAACCTCCTCCAGGCTGTGTGGAGAATCAATGGAATCTTTTTGGGCTGCAGATTGGCCTCTGCCCCTTGGCTACTGCTCCCGTCAACTCCAGAAGGCAGGAGTGAGCAGGCAGTCAATGCACCCACCTCAGTGGCTGCCTTCTTGGCCTTCTCTTCTGCATTTCGACGCCCCTGCACTGCCTCTTCGACTTCCTTCTGCATCCTGGCAAGATCAACCTCCAGTTTCTTCTTCTGGCCAAGGAGACTTGCATTCTAAGGAAAAGCAGCTGTCTTGTTAGGCAAGTTGAGACCAGTGATGCAAACACAAGCTAGTCTGTTTGGGACAGGCAAAGGGAGAAGGCTTGGGCCCAGACTGTTTTATTCTAGCCAGCCGTGTGGCTAGAGGCAATATTTCCAACCCCAGAAGGCCACTTTAGAGAAGCCCCTTGCCATCAAAGGCATACTTCAATGGAAGAGACTTCAACCACTCAGTATCAAAGAGATGGTAGCCTGAATCAGAAAGGAGAAATGGATCCAGAGAACCTACAAGCCCCAAACATGTATTTGGTTTTCACCTTACTGAACAAGGTTTTTCTGCCTTTTGTTCTTTGATAGGATAGAACAAATGTCCCAGAGCAGAAGTCAGGGTTAACAGCAGACCTTTGGGGAGTAGGGGGTTGGGGGAATCAAAATCAGTTTCTAGTACAATGCTCCAGGAGAAAACAACCTTCCTCTTTATCTACCTCCCTCTCCTCTGAGACTTAGGTGAGGAGGTGGGAAGCGTAGTTCAGCTGTGCTGCATCCCCCACCCCACTGCACTCCAGGGTTCTTTGTTCTGTGGCTGGTGCTGTCCTAATTTTTCCCTTCCTGAGGAATGACAAGAGGCTGGACCTCCTTCTGCTGCTCTTTGGTCCATGTTTGAAGCACAGATTTTCTGAGGATGTGAACCCTTGGCATACAGAGTGTGTATAAAAGGCATGAGCTTTCTATTTTTTATTTCTCTTCATTGTCCTTTCACGTTCCTCTAGCTCATGTCTCTCTCAGGGGCAGGACCGAGACTTAGAAACAGAGAGAGATTCCTGCCTCACAGGTTCCCTTCTGTTTCTCTGATGGCAGAAGCGTCTTCACCAAGGCTGCCGTGCTCTGCCCTTAATGGAGAGCCAGGCTCTGGGTGCCACCAGGCTTCTCTCCGCCAAGGGTGTGGCCTGAGGGCTTAAGTGTATTTTCCTGGAGCATATTCTGGATGCTCAATGCACTTAACTCCATAGAAACTACTCCTTTGTAAAGGCATATCCAGCCATAAATGAATTTTTTGTACATAGAATTACTCAAATCTGCTAGGGAGATAACAGTTATAAACTTTTCAAGCTGAATGACTCCTTAATTGGTTCTTTGTGGGGAAAACCTGAGTTGAGGGTATTTTTGCAGAAAGGTAATCTAGGCTGTCATGGGTTTGAAAAAGGACACATGTAATAAGCCAAGGATAAGTGCGGCCTCATATGTTTGTTCTAGGCTAGAGGTCTGAGAATGACCTCTGACATTTGTTCTGAGAATTCAGAAGGGCCCAAGAAGGTTCCACAAAGTTTCATTATTTACCAAAAGACTGGTACTGTTCTAGTAACTGCAAGGCATCCCCACAGGGTTGAGGCAGGGGAGGGGTCCTTGTGAGTGACAGGTTACCACTGAGGATCCTGGGCAAGAAAGGCCATCCCTGGACCAGCGGCATCTCCTGAGAACTCGCCCGAGTCCCTGGTGCCACAGCAGGGATTCTGACTCAGTGGGGCAGGTGGAGCCTGAGAGTTTGTGTCTTTGTGGTAGTTGCTTCTACACACCTATAGTTTCAGAAGCTCTGCCATAGAGACCAGGTCTCTACACCTAACATTTTCCCCCAGTCCATCTCCTCCTCTCTGTGTCTGGTTGATGGCCTCATGCCTCCCTGGGCCGATGGTTTTTCACCCCACGGGGACCTGCTGCTGCCTTATCAGTTATAACAGGCATGGCAAATGATTTGTTCCCAATAGCTGATGAACAATTTACTTTTTAATAATTTGATATTCTACTATATAAGAATCCTGCTCATCATATTTAGATCAGCTTTCTTGAGAGAAAAAGAACATGGTGTGAGTGAGCCTGCTGGGAATCACACACGACCTCCAACCTATTCGTTCTACACCACATGGTTTCCAAATAGGACTGTGTCCTGCACGTGACACAGAAGTCAGACTGCAGGCACAAGCTAATTGCGATGCCTTCCAGCTGGCACATCTCTGGCTTCTACTTCTTTTTTTCTCAGTGGGGACACAATTGGCATTCTGGGAGGGGCAATCCTTTGTGAGGCAGGGTTATCCCCGCACCTCCCAGGAGTTTTAGCATCTCTGGACCTTTCCCACTAAATGTCAGTGGCATGTCCCAGTCACTGTGGCAACCAAAATGACCCCACAGACATTTCTAAACACCCCAGAGCATGGTGGTTCTGCCCCTAGTTGTTTTAATTCATCCCTCATAACAATCATGACAGTAAACTTCCTAAAATACTGAGCTAATAACTTCACATTCAGCTACTTAAAATTCTTCAGCAGACCCCTGCTAGCTGCAAGACAGAATTCACAATCCATCAGTCTCACATTCAAGGTCTCTGGTGTCCTGGCTCTTGCTTAGCCTCATTGACACTGATCTGTCCTGCCCTGACCCCGTGCTCTAGTGAGGAGATATATTTTAGGAAAAAAAAGGTTGTAGAGACCTGGTCTCTATGGCAGAGTTCCTGAAACTTTAGGTGTGCAAGAGAAACTAACACAAAAGTGAAATTTCTCAGGTCTCACCCAGACCTATGGAAGCAGGCCTCTCCCCAGGCCCCCGCCCTTGACTCCTCTTTGCCTGGGTGACTACTTACATGTCCTTCATGAGTCAGATTCAGTGTGTCCTGCATCTGTCTAAGTCTAGGATGGTCAGAGAAGGCTTTCTGCGAGGATGTGCTTGCTCTATCATGAAACCCACAACGGTGCATTACAGTTTGTTTGCTTAGGGTCTTCACACTTTTAGGCAATAGAGACATTTTATGTCTATACCACGTATACCTGTCCAAGTTATGGTAGGTGCCCTAAAAATGTATGAGGGACCCAATTACTATACACATTTGTCCTAGCCACTACGAATTTTCCTGATTTCATGAGAATGGCAAAGATTCTACGGGCTCTTGCTTGGAGTCACTTAGGTAACCTTCCAGCAGCAGCCAGAGTCCCAACAGCACACTGGCAGCAACTCAGAATTGTTCAGTATCTTCTGGCTCTAAAGCAGGAGGGATTTTTTCAGTCCTAAACTGCTGGGGGAACATGTATGTGCCTTAGAGGGAACAGGAGAAGCAGCGAGTGGTTCTGGGACACTAGGAAATGTTTATCTTCGTCTCTCTCCTCAGCATCCTGGCTTAAGTGCCCCGACAGTCCATTCTTACAGAAGAAGGCTCAGTGTTATGGGTCAAAGTGTGAGCCTAACCAAAAAAAATATGTTGAAGTCCTAACCCCCCCAAACTTCAGAATGTTTCCTTATTTAGAAAAGGACCTTTGTGGATGTAATCAAGTTGAAATAAAGTCATCATGGTGTGCACTAATACAAAATGACTGATGTCCTTTTTTTTTTAAAGAGAAAATTGGGACAGAGACAGGTGCTCACAGAGAATAGATGGCGTTGAGGCACTTGGGGAGAATGGCACATGGAGGCGGAGGACTGCAGTGATGCATCTATACGCTGAGGAACCCCAGAGATTGCCAACGAATGACCAGAATCTAGGAAAGGGTGAGAAAGGAGGCACCTAGGAGACTCAGAGGGTGTGTGGCCCTGCCAACACCTTGGTTTCAGTCTTCTAGCCTTCAGAAGCTCGAGAGAATGAAGTTCTGTTGTTTTAAGCCACCCGGTCTGGGTTACTCCGTTGCAGCAGCCCTGGGAAACAAGTGCACTCGGGAACAGATGGAGCCTGACCACCGCTCTGGAGCCAAAGGCTCTCCCTATGCCTCACAGGCACACCCAATGCCAAACACGGCAGCTCTGTGTGACCCACTGACCCGTGTGGGGAAACTACTGCCTTCAACCAGCTGACTGGTGATGGGGAGAGCTTATGGGCCCCACCTGGGTATGGAAAAGATTGATTCTTTCTGTGGCCTCCAGGAGCTCTTCCTCTGCCAGCCTGCGCCCACGTTCTGTCTGCTCTTGCAAGGACCTCAGTTCCTCCAGTTCAGACTGGAGAAGAGAGTTGCGTCTCTCAGCCAAAGCCACCTGCTCCTTCAGCTCACTGTTCCGGTGTGTGCTGTCATCCAGCTGCACCTGAAGGTCCTGCGAGAGAAAACACGGCCGAAGGCACAGATCTCCCTGATGTCAATGGGACAGGCGCCTGTGCATGCATGTTCTGGACAAAGCTCTACCAAGTTCAATGTAGGCATGTTCCTGCTCCATTGAAGGATTTGATTCATTGTCCCCTCTTTTATTGCTCAATACAATCTGTCACTTGGTTTGCCTCCATAAGTGGAGGCATTCCCCACCCCTATACTGGCATTTGAAACTACCTTGACTTGAACCTGAAGCTGGCCCAGGGACTTGGTTGCCTCTGACACCCGCCGGTTGGCACAGCTAAGCTGGAGTTCCACCTCGTTGAGGTCCCCCTCCACGTTCTTCCTCAGCCGGGTGGCCTCCACTCTGCTCCTGGTCTCCGAATCCAGGCTGGACTGCAGGGAGTCAATAGCACACTGCTGGCTCCTCCTAATTTTAGAATAACATTCAGGGGAGGAAATCATGCACCCAAATTAAGAAAGGTTACCTGCTGTGTACATAACAGTTTAGGAAACAGAAATGCATTAAAATTCAATAAAAAGTCTGGGTAATTAACAAAATGAGTCTAAAGGGTTTTCATTTTTAAAACACAGAGGTTGAAGGACTAGGTTAGTGAGCATATTTCCATCATAACAAACTACGATTCCCAGGCCAGCCTCTAGGAAGCATCCAGGAAAGCTCGAGAAGCTCCCTGGGGTTCCTGTGGAGCAGACTTAGCCTCATCTCAGACCCCCTAAAGGACAGTGTAGGGCAAAGAGCTGTATTTTCTAGAGTGGCTAAGGGTGAAGGAAAGGATGCTCTTTCAGAGAGCCACAATATTTATTTATTTTAATTAGATTTTATGGTATATGCTATTACAGTTGTCCCAATTTTCCCCCTTTGCTGCCCTCTTCCAGCCCCACCCTTACTCCCTCAGGCAATGCCCTCTCCGTTGCCCATGGCCATGGGTCATGCATACATGTTCTTTGGCTGCTCGGTTCCCTATGCTGTACTTTACCTCCCCATGACTGTTCTGTAACTACCAATATGTACTTCTTTAATCCCTTCACTCACAGCTAGTACCTCTCCTCTGCCAAACCCATGTCCCTGGTCACCACATGGTAAGGTCAGCCTTTCACTCCTATCTTGAGGTCCTGGGCCTTTGTTGAGTTCCCAGATCAGAATCCTATAGGTACACCAATATATAAAATTAATAGAGACTGGTACGGGCTAAATGTGTCCATCCTGCTCTCTACACCCAAATTCTTATGTTGAAACCCTAACCCCCAATACCTCACAATGAGACTGTATTTGGAAACAGGACCTTTAGAAGAGGTGATTAAGGTAAAATTAGGCTTTGAGGGTGGGCCCTGACCCAATCTGACTGGTATCCTTATAAAAAGAGGACATTTGGACACAGAGAGGCACCAGGGATGCACAGACACAGAAGGACCCTTTGAGGACCCAGCACGAGAGTGGCCTTCTGCAAGCCAAGGAGAGAGACTTCAGGAAAAACCAATTTTGCTTATACTTTGACCTTGGACTTCCCACTTTCAGGACTATGTGAAAATAAATTTCTGTTGTTTAAGCCGCCCAGACTACGTATTTTTTTTACGGCAGCCATAGCCCATTACTCCTACAAGGACCTGCACCCTCAACATCACCACAAGCATTTCTCTGTCTTCCACTGCGGAAACTCACTTTTGCCTCTGCTGACTCTCCTTACGTGGGAACACTAAAGCATCCCTGGTCTGGTGTCAAATCCCTCTACACAGAGATCCATTCTACTTAAGCAGACAAGCTGAATGCTTCAAACTGTCCTTTTTCCACAGTTGTTTATGAAACTTCGTGAGTGCCTCTAGACACGTAAAAAGTGCTGTGTTTTAAGAGGCTTGGATATGATACAGACCTAGAGAATGGCTGCTAGACAATCAATACAATTCATGCGGGGGTCAAGGTATCTTCAAAGTAAAAGCTCCCCCAAGCGCATTTGTAAAGAAAAACGAAGGGCCAGGGCAATATGGTAAGAAATTCCTTTTTTTTCCTCCTAAAATATAAAATACAATTTGAGAAAAGAAACCCAATGTGAAAAATAATAATGAAAACTTAAAACTTGAAAAACTATAGACTCGATTCAACAGGCCCTTTTTTCCCCTCTTACAAAACTGCTCATTTATGTCAGAGAAATATTAAGATGATCCTTAATTCCAATACATGGGATTCAGTTTTAAAATGATTAACAAGGTGTTCTGCTAAGTGCCCTGAGTTTTTTGAAGACATGCTAAAATACTCTAGTTAGAAATGAGAAGAGATTTAAACATTCTTCTGGCAGACACTCAAACAACAAAGGAAATTAAGTCAGGTGGTGCATCCAACTTAAGACCATGTGGCAGAATTTGATGTTACTGAGTTCAGAGGAGTGGCCTATATACAAGGAAAAGATGATGAAACGTTAATTACTACATACCTGAGGCTACAGGACAGGGGTGGGCACACTGTGGGTTACGGGCCAAATCTGGTCATGCCCATTTGATTTCCAATGTCTATGGCTCCTTTCAAGCTGCAGCTGCAGAGCTGAGCAGTTGTGACAGAGTCTATGGCCTGCACAACCACAGATATTTACTGTCTGACCTTATACAGAAAAAGTTGGCCTAATCCTTCTACAGGTGCTCAAACCAAAGCAAACAAATGCACTTTGATGGAATTTCAGTGCCTCATTCCCAGAAGCCCCTTCCACAGCACCTTTCTGTTATGTCTGAGAGCACAGAATACAGGCCTAGGCCAGTGGGAAGACCCTCATGCATTTCAGCCTATCTTTGAATAACCTGGGTTGCGGAAAATAGAGTTCATCCCCGGAGTTTCAGGAAGTACCTGACCAACTTGTTTTAACTCAGTCTGGGACCCTGTGGTGAGACTGGACTGCCCTGGCAGTGAGGACCACCAGTTGGCCTTTAAGCTGGCCACTGACAGTGGTCCTCATTTCCTGTGTCTGGGATGGAAAGGATCAAAGCCAGTCACCAATGCTCCTCCTTTTCATCAATGACTACATTGTCATCTCCCTGCCTCTAGCTACGCTAACTATAACATCTGTAGATATTTTTTTAAATGGCCCTACATGCATATCCAGCTGCTCATACTTTTCACCACCAACAGGCCCCCAGGCCCAGCTCACTCAGTCCTCATGGAATGAATGAATGAGCAAGCTCAGCAGGCTCAGCAGGCTCAGCAGGCTCAGCAGCAGACGATGCGTTGAATTGAGTTATCAAGGTTTCGTCTTTGCCTCTGAGTCTCTGTCCTGCTTATGTGGTCCCTTTGGCTTCCTGGGTCCTGTCTCACAGGAACCTCCTTCAGTTCCTGTGGAGCTGCCTAAGCTTCATGGGGACATAGGACCTTGAACCTCATCTTGCCCTCAGGCAATATTTCCCTTGAGTTCTATAATTTACCTGGCTTATCCTTGATTGCTTGAGGAATCCTATACTTTACTCAAATTTTCCCAACATTCTACTCAGTTTCCTTAATATCCCTTCCTCTCCTAGCCCCGAAATCGGATTAAACCAAAGTTCTGTGATGCAATCTGTACTCACACACAGGACTCCACACAGAAAGAGCCTGGGAGGCTATTTGTGATGTGTTTGTAAACTATGCTCATCTTTTCTTTCCGGATGTACCTACTATAGTGATTATGAACCAATAACTATTTAAAATTCATGAACAGCCCACCCTTCCCTCCAGCCCACCTATTCCTTTTTCAGCCCCTTCACGGCTCCTGTCTAGTCTTCTGTGGCCCTGGCTGTTTGGTTCTCTGGCTTTTTTTTCCACTAAAATGATTATCATTGGTGAATGGCTCCCTGACATTCAGATGTACCTGATGAGGCTCTCTGAGGATTCATTTTTCCTTAGCTAGGTTTATTAATAGGCACAGGTTTGACATTACCTGAAATGAGTTTTTTTTTAACTGTACAAGAGGACATTCATTTTTGTTCCTCATGGAAGGAAGTAGGGCAACTATTAAGGCCCCATGTTTTCGCCCTTCATCAAAAAATTCTTTGAGACACTGACTCGGCAGAGCCTCTTTATTCCACCAGAAGCCGTCACCACAGTCGGTCCCAGAGCGGGGAGTGCCAATGAGGGGGAGCAAAGACAGCTCAAAGCCACAGAGGGCCAAATCTGGCTGGACGCCCTCATTAAAAACATGGCCCCCCGGGGGAGTTTTGTCTGAAAATGGGCTATGGGAAAGGGGTCAGCTCAATTGCACACGTTAACAGATTTTTTAAAAAATGTTTGATAAATGCACTGGGAGCAAGTTACCAGTTGAAACTTAGATTCAAATGATTTTCCTTGCTGACATAAGACATCAACTTAAGGGAACAGATCAGATAGATAATATAATCACAGTTAATTCCATGTGTTTGTAGTTGTGCCTTTGATCTATGGAGTGTGAAGTGCTTTGCCAACATCAGCTTACCAAGCTTCCTTACCACCTTCTGTGGCACGTGGGGGTTACTTTTATCCCCTCACTCCACTGAGAAGCTAAGAAGTGAAATGTCTGAAGTCATCAGCTCCGAGTGATGAAGTGAAGACAAGACCCGCCACCCAGAAATCCTGTCTGTTCTGCGTCCTGACTGTTCGGTCTCGGCTGCTTCAGTGGGGCCTCAATAAGCAGCTTAGCCCTTGGCTCGCTCCTCTCAAACAGATGGCTACAGAGACAGGCAGGGGGCATGTGAAAACTTGACTCTGACCTGACAGTCATTTTCATGTGCGGCATCAAATTTTTCATTCTTCTTCTCCACTGTTTAGCATTTTCAGTTTCTTCAGTATCCAGGAAAGAGACCTTTTTTATGAAGACCCAGAGAGTATATGCAGTAATTGTATATATAATTAAGCTTTTCTGTGCGAGTTTTTTTGAGTTTTGGATGGGAATAGAAGCTACTGAAATGTAAACAAAATTATAAAAACTGGCAGTAATTGTGTAGAGACATTCCTTGATAGTAACAGTGGTGAGCTTTCTAGAAATATTCTAGTGTACGGTTAGACTGGCTAAGTGTCTTTGAGAATGTTCCAACAAAGGTCTTAAAGTAGCCAAATGCAGCGAGTGCTGACAAAGGCAACTGTTGCTTGTCTAAATAATCTTAAATACCTAAATTTGTCTATTTCCTCATCTTTCTCTGAAAGCTTTCTTTCAAGTTCCGCTTTGGTTTCCAGGAGTTCAAGCTGGAAGCGAAGAATCTTGCTTTCATTACGTTCCAGAGCTCCCTGAAATACATAAATAAAAAGCACTAAATTAAGTCTTGGAGAGAAATTTCCTTTTCTTCTCAAAACATATGTCATAGTTCAAAATCAGGTCCCTGAAGTTTGGGACAGGATGAAACAAGTGATTCCTTGTGTTTGTTATGTTGTGATAGGCAGTTAGACAGACATGAGCAGAACAAGGTCGATGGGCCAGGTACAGAAGGTCCGTGGGGCCCGGAGTCCCCGGTGCCCAGCAACAGGAAAACAGGGGCCTTGCCCCCAGGGTCCCCTCTCCTCCCCTAGCAAATCGCTGGTTATGCAGTTTGAACCCCCTCACCTTTCACAGCACTGGTCATGCAGTTCAGACTCTCCCCTGTCACGTTGCTAGTCATGCGGGTTAGAGTCCCTCAGAGGGGATGCGAACAAGGGGACCAGAGAACAGCCCTTAAACATTAAGCCCCCCCCCCCCCGATGATGAGGTTCTGACTCACATCAATACATCTAGGCCTCAGCTCCAGGCCCAGAAAAGCAGCAAAGCCAGACCAGACAAGGGACCCCAACACTGGCATCTGGACCGGCAGCATTGACTAATGACTTCCTGCCCTGAAACCGGTCAGTCAGTGAGGGCCACAACCCTGAAAGGACACAGCTGGAAAGCTGATGAATATTCTGTTGGGACCCTTCCCTGAGACCTCCACGTAAATACCCTCAAAAAGGAGGACCCAGTAGGGCTCTCTCGGTGGAGCACACCTGTGCCTTGCCTCACTCCTTTCCCAGATGGGTTTTCCTTCCTTCTCTCTTTCTCCTAAGCTCCCAGGGCCCTTCTTTTTCTTCTGCAACTCGTTTCCTGAAGCCCATTTCTTCTACGGCTCACTGCTTCTAACCCCTGTGACTTCCCAAACTTCCTCTTATCGTTTGTGTTGGCTTTGAATTCTTTCTTAGCCAGAATCCAAGTCCTGAGGTTGTTGAACTGAGGTCCGATATCACCCCGCCGGTCTAAGCCCCGGTGTCATTTCACCTCCAGCAATGTCACTTAATAGCTTTGACCTTCTTAAGGTTTTTAGCTGTGGTTCAAGAACTAGAGTTCTAAAGCATTTTTAAATGAGAAAAGTTCAATCTTGCCTGTGACTACTTAAACTTTTAAAATTATTACTCTCGACTTTTTGTGATGCATTCCATCTTTGGAATAAATCAGTACAAGTATCAAAGCTAGAACAAGGATTCTATCTGAAATCTTCTTTAATTTTGGATGTCACCGAGGAATACAGAAAAAGCTGAAAGCGTTCAGAGAGCCAGAAACAGAATAGTGCGAACAGAATGGTGCCCAAATACTGTCATAAGAAGCGCAGGGAGGGAATTCAGGATGCATTTGACGCGTAACACTCAGTGTGGGCCACTATCACCATAATTATTACTACCGCTTCAAATGGGTTCCTCTGACAGGCAGGGAGATCTCCTGCCCTCTTGAATATTTAAAGATAAACAAAACAATTACCACCAGGGTTATTCTAAAGGTGACTCATGTTTAAAAATGCAGGTTTAATTAAATTGTTAAAGCCTGTTCTAAAAATAAAATTTGTGCAGAAGAAGAAACAAGCACTTGGAGGATGCCGAGGAGGACGCCTGTAAAGAGCGCAGGGGCGAAGACAAGCTCTCAGTCAGTTTGCGGTTGGCAGACAGTCCCGAGGGCAGGAGTGCTTTTTAGAGTGGGCTCTTCTGGGGAGCGATTCGCACGTACCGCTGAAAGTAAAGCTGAGTAGCAATTTCAGAGCAGAAATAAGAAAGGTGTTGGAGATTTTAATATAGCTGAAGGTCTTGATGCTGTTCCCTGAACACTACTTTCAATATAAAAGAAAATAAATCAAAAACAAATGCCTGGATAGCAATTTCCTCCTGGGGAATGCTGCCCTTTCTTTCCTTGGGGGAAACTGTCACCTCTCACCCCTCAGACCGCACTGAGATAGTGAATCTTTGGAGAAGGTGACCTGGGATAATTTGAGTTCTCTGACTTCAAAAATAATCTGATAAAGTTTCTCATAAAGGCTCACCCAGGAAAATAACCCAATTTTATAAATACATGTTCAAGTTGATGAAGTATTTATGGATGTGGCTGAAGACAAGGTTGGAGAAAATGAGAATAGAAGAGGATGCCATCTAGTGGCACAAGATGGTATGAGCGCTATGGCCCTACCAGCCTCACCTTTGATGTTCGTGCTGGTGGATTTAAAACATACAAAGATGTCTACTTGTCATACAGGACTCAAATTAAACCTAATCCTACCTCTCTTTGGATTGTCACAGTGCTTGAAATTTCTACCACAGAAGTTACTTCTTTGGCTTAAGGTAGTAGCTTTAGAAAGTCCCTAGCTTGGATGCCCAGAGAACAAACCAAAGGGAGCAAGTGAAGGCAGCAAGGTTTACCAAGTTGACGAGGGCCAGTCTTGCTAGGGAACGCCACACTGGGAATTGTTGGTATTTTGCACATAATGTACATGACTTTGGAAAACAGTTATGCGTCAAAAGGCAAGAGGAGAGCTGTGTGAAGAGCTGTCCACTGGATATCTGTACATGCAGAGGAGACAGGAGCACAGCTTCTGTTGGGCAGGCCTCTTACAGAAACGTAGCCATGAGGTGAATTTAACAGACACCGCTGGGCACAACATGGTCCTCTGAGGTCTAACGTTTCATTATCACACTTCCAAAAGGCCCCTGCCTAAGACCGATTGCCGTGTGGTCTACAACTCATTATCTCTGTTGGAGGCTGAGTGGGTGAGGCCGTGTGTTAACAGGACTGGGTGATGGTTCAGAGGGTGGGCTGAGAAAATGAAACTCAGCTGTGAGTAAAGAGGCTTCGCAGGGCTGACTACCTAACGTCCGTTTCCTTTTTAGTTCACCCTCTTTGATGAGAGATCTCCTCAGCAGTCCTTTTCCATCACCCCCAGGGGTAAAATCGGAGTTGTCCTGGACTTTTAATCCATACCTCTGAAAACATTCCTGGCAAGCAATATGCACACAACGAGCTTTCAGAAACAAACTGTCCAAAGTTTTCTGCGGGAAAAATGTTTTGACTGATTCTGTTTAGAGAAGAAGACGTATGAGGACATTTTTAACAATCAACAAACGTTCATGGGACCTCTTCTATGCCTGGGACAGTGCTATAGGCCAGGGCTTCTCAAACGTCCCCGTGAACCTGCACCACCAAGGGACCTGGTTAAAACGCAGATTCCGATTCAGTGAAACCAGGGGAAGGCCTGACCATCTAGGTTTCCAAAAACCTCCCTGGCGATGCCCATTTTGAGTGGTGAGGGTCGAGGCTCTGAGAATAAATTGGTGAACAACGCAGACGTGGTTTCTTGATTTCTGTTTTCATTACAACCAGGAGAGCTGAACCACTAGGACTGATCTTGCTCTCTGAGCCTCAGTTTCCTCATTTGACAAGTTAGACAATAGTTTGCTAGAGTAAAAACATGAAATAAGGCACATTAAGCCCCTGGTACAAAGCCTAGCATGTCGTCAGCACATGAGTAAGTGCCCCGCGTGACTGCTGGTGCTACAGGAGTGCAGACCTGCTTTGTCACAATGATGAAAACCTTTGCTCCCTGAACGTAATACCTCTGCTTCTTCCAGCGCCGCCTGGACTTCAGCCTTCTCTTGTTCAATCTGTTTGTTGACCTTTTCCATTTCACTTAACTTCTTGTCTCCTTCTCTCAGTTGATTTGTCAGATTAGAAATCTCTTCTGAAAGGGGGAGAAAAGCAAAGTTAGTGAGAGGATCTGGTCTCAGACCCATGACACCAGACGGCACGGACTGTTCCCAGAGGTCCTGTGGGACCACAGGCGTGCCGTCCTTGGGAACTTGGTGGCAAGGCTGCCCCTGGCACATAAGGGACGTTTGTTTGAGTTAGAAAAAGGCATCCCTTCTTCAATGTATTCTTTTGTCATCTGCCAGAAGGTTGCCTATAGCAGCTGGTGAGCATAGTGCTTCTTCGAGGATTGTGTACAGCTTCCCAAGGCGCTCCTATGTGCTGGAGCCAGGCCAGATTCCTCCTGGCCGGGCTCTGAAATGCAGACCTGGAATCCTCACATTTCCCAGGTAAGTGCTTCGATGTCAGCACCGGTGACTGCTGTTTTGTCAGCTGCTGCTTGATACCAGGATTGGTTTCTAAAGCAAAAGCCAGCTCATTGTATGTCCGAAGCCAATGCAATGAGCTCAGATAAACCAAAGAATCTGAAGGAGCTCAAGCTCTTGAGAGTCGGTGGCTAGCTTCTCACAGAGACAAGCCTTTGACAGAGTAAGGCATCCAAACCACCTGATGTTGGTATTGTCCATTCTGCCTCTTTGTGAAGGATTCTGCCACTGCCTAAGGCAGGGGTGTCAAACTCACGTTCACTGGGGGCCACATCAGCCTCACAGCTGCCTTCAAAGGACCGAATGTAACCTTAGGACTGTATAAATGTAACTACTCCTTAACAGTTAAGTGAGAGCTCCATGCTGTTGCCAGGTAGAAACAAGGTGCTGGGCTGGGTAAAACAAGGTGGAGGGCCAGATTTGTCCTACAGGCCTTGTGTTTGCCACCTGTGACCTAAGAGGTGTGGAGTGGGGCCAAGTGTCTGGGCATCACCCACAGACTGGCATCAGTAGGAGGAGACGGCTTGCCTCTCCTCTGGTTCTGGGATCTGAGATCCCAGGCTGTGCTGTGATGTGACAAGAATTTTAAAAAGTTACAGAAACAAACCCACTGGACAGCATTTCTCATGTGAATAATAAACCCTTCCCTAATAAGCTCTCCCCAGAAGAAATATTTACAAGAGAAAGCCCAGGGTAATAGATCTCTACTGACCACACCTTAGAATCACTTGCAGATCTTTATAAATAGGCTTCTGCCCGAGCTTCTGCCCAAGCCCCATCCAGACCAGTACGGTCCCCGGAGGAGCAGCACTGGCCTCACCTGGGAACTTGCCAGCAATGCGAATTCTCAGACCTCTCCCAGACCTAGTGAATCACAAGCTCTCTAGATGGGGCCACCCAACTGTTTGAGCAAACCCTCCAGTTGCCACAGATAAGCTGAAGTTTTCCCACCTCTGTTCCTGCAACTCTCACATGCCCAGTCAGGGACTGGATCATGGGTACAGGTCAACACAGAAAGGGAGCTTTATTTATCCCTCCAACGGTAATAAACTTGCTCCCAAGGCACCTCGGGTTTTGATGCACATAACGGTTAGTGCTGGTGTAATCTGGCAGCCGCTTTCAAGGGCTGTTTGGCACATCTCAAAATTTGAAAATTCATTCCTTTAACCTAGCAATTTCATGTCTACAACTCTATCCTACTGAAATATTTTTTTTTACATGTCCGCAAATATATGGGCAGGGATGTATAATATAAAATTCTGTATAATTGTGAAAAATATCTAAAATAAATAAAACGTACTTAAATAAGCATTAGCCATCCTTATAAAACACTGTGTATCTACTGACGATCACGTGGTAGGTGTCCATGCGAAGACTCACGAGCGCGTGGGAAGGTGGCCCAGGCAAGGACTGGGGTGATGCGCTAGAGTCAGGCCGGCTGGGCTCAAGTCTCACGTCTGCTACTTATCAACCTTGAATTTGGACAAGTTCTTAACCTTCTGTGACTCCACATAATCTGCATTTCACAGATAAAAGAAAACTGACACATAAGACTGTCCTGAGCATTAAACAATAATTGTATATAAAACAGTGCCTGGCACCTAGTATGGGCTATAGAACTAATTGTTACATTAGAAAGCATACGGATAAACAAAATATAAAAAGTGTAGAATAATGTGTAATTTGAGTAAAAAACACTCGCATGGGTATACATACAGAAAATCTTGGTAAGGCCAGGGATATAAAGTAATTCTTAATTGTAGCCTCCTTTGCAGAATAGAATTGGGATTAAAGATAGAAAAGTGGTCTAATTTTTAGAATAAAAATACTATCTGTAGTAAAGCAAATGTTAAGTATGATTAAATGGAGGAGTTAAAACCCGAGTGAGACCACACCAATGCTGGAGCGTTTGCCCAGGAGGACAGTCTTGCCCTGGAAGCCAGGGCTCTGCCGGAGCGCCTTGCCCCCCGCGCTGGCTCCAAGCCCCGTGCAGAGTACCTAGGAGGTTGCTGTTCTCTTTCCGCAGGGTCTCCTGGCTCATGGTGCTCTCCTCATAGGCCTGCCTGAGCTTCAGGAGTTCGGCACTGAGCGCCCGGGTCTCCTTCTGAGAGGCATCCAGCATCTCCTGGGACTCTGTGTGCTTCTGCCTCCAGTCATCCAGGCACTTGTCAAAGTGTCGCTGCTTCTGGTCCATCGAGGCTGCCACAGACTGGGCCTTGCCAAGGTCCGCCAGGGCGTCCCCCAGCTCCAGCTGCAGTCGGTGCCTGGCCCTCTCCAGGGAGGCGGTTCTGGCATTGGCCACACCCACGGCCTCAGCAGCTTCCTGCAACCTGATTGCTAGCTTCTTCCTGAGAAACAGGGACCCAAAAGGCCACGTGAAGACACAGTCCTACAGAACTCACCCAGTCTGTACTTGATTAAACACAGTGCTTGGGGACAGAAGAGCGTGGCCGCTGAGGCTGGCTTAATAGAATGAAGCAAAAGCAGTTTGTGTCTGAAAACGACCTCCTTGTGCTTATAGAACCCAAATGTCTACTGACCATCCTGTGGCTCCTGTGACCATCTGTCCTTTATTTTCCCCTACCCCTTCCCAACCTGGACTTGGAACTGAGGGTCTCCAAACCCCTGTATTTGCTCACCTTAAACTCTAACTGAGCAAGGAAGCATACAGACTTTATTGATGAAAGAAATGGGAGAAAGAGAAAGATTGTACTGGGTACCCCACCAACAGCAAGCAACTATCAAAATCCTTTAGCAATCCTTAGTTGCTAAAGAGTTCCTCAGCTATGTTGCTTTCAAAGAACATTTGTTGGCTCTCTCCTGTCTAAATTATCTCTTTTCTTTAAATGTCTTTTCCACCTCAGCTCCTCTGCCCAACTTTGCTCACCCCAATCCATCCTATTGTTAAGCTCATTTAACAGGTGCCACTACTCTCAGGCAGTACCTTGGCCTCTATTTGCATCTCCTGGGGTGAAATGGTTTATTAAGGTACCTCTTCCACTCCACCATGATACAATGCTTGAGGGCTTCCTAATGGATAAAACATGTCCCCTTGCTAACATCTCCTTCCGGGACACTGGCAGTCCCGTTCTTATGCTTCTTAGATGAAAGATACTGTAAGTACCAAAGTTTTTCTCATCTACTGTTATTAAACAGAAAAAGGTCCTCAGGACTTCACATGTGCCACACCACTGGCCCAAGAGAGCAATGTGGCCAGAAAACCCCTTTCTGTGGGACTGCTGTGAAAACCGGTCTGTGCTCAGTGTCCAGGAAGGAGCTGGGCTGCACCAGCTTTTCTTTGCTCACTGGCTTCCTAAACTTGGTCACTTCCTGTCTCCGCTGCACTTTTCTTCACTGGTAAGAGGAGCTTCTAATGTACCACATAGTGACCACGGTTAACAGCACTGTGTTGTATAATGGAAAGTTGCTACGAGAGTAGAGCTTTAATGTTCTCACCATAACAGCAACAATAATAACAAGTGGTGATTAGCGAGGAAGAAGATGTATTAACTAACATTACTGTGGCCAAGATTTTGCAATATATACATGTAACTTCGTACATCAAACTTACACATGTTAGATGTCAATTGTATCTCAATAAAGCTGAGAAAAAGAGGATGTTTTATCCCACCTAAAACAGAGATCACATAAAATAATTACATGTATTTTACCTACTTTACCAATGCTCGATGGGTACCAGAAAATAGGAATTTTACTTTGGGCGACCAACCCTGCTGGTGCCCAGAACTGAGGGGTTTCAGCAGAACACAGCACACTCAGAGCCAGAATCAGGCTTGTCCAGGACAACTGTGACAAGGCGGTCACCCTTGTTTCACTGACAATGTTCGGCATTGAACACTGACTACCATTTTGCTCCTCAACTTGCCAACTGAAGTGCCTTCTTAGTTGTCTAGAATATGCATGGAGATGTGGAAGACTGGGAGGCCTAATCCTTATTGTTGTCTGATTTGGAACCAGAAGCAGTAAACCGGGTTTCATGTGAGCTAGATTCTGCTAAAGTAACTCATCATGTGAACCCAAGCCTGGAAACCAAGAGAGAAACCTCAACTTTCCAATGAAAAAAACATAGAATCCTACATTTGTGTATGTGTTTGACTCTACAGCCCTGAGGTGATTTAGAGAGAAAGCATAATACAGACAATGCTATATTGAACTGAAGTTCAACTAAGTTTAAAGCAAAAATAGTTTTCAGGTATGACCATATTACAATATTTTTCTTCAGTTGTCATGTGCGACAGAGCAATTTTTTAGTTCCAACAAATCCATGTGGTCATAAAATAGTCTATATACTTACCCTCTTTTCTACTCACCCATGTCCCCTACCCCCCAAGAAAACCCTTATAAAACAGAATGACTGGTAGGTGTCACTTTCACCCAAATTCTTCATATTAGAAGAAAAAAAATCTTTCTTCAGAAGCAAATGCCATATTTTTGACATGAAGAGCTGTTTTAGTTGAAAGCCCCGCTTTTCTGTGGTCCAGAGTTTGTAAAACACCAGGCATTTTCTGCCTCTGCCATCCCAAAGCCCTGTTTCGGTTGCTGTGGCTGTGGAGATGGGTCACTTGGTACTCGTTCTGGATCAGAACCCAGCAGCTGTTCAACAACTACACAGTGATGGATCGTGAAGAGTTAGTTGGGTGAAGAACTGAAAAACGATATTTTTGGCTGAAGCTGAAAAGAAATGTATCAATCTGCCCTGGATTTTTGCCAGGCTACCGAGTCAGGGGCACATTGTTCTGAGTAAGCCTTTAATGCTTATAAGCTGGGGTTGTTTGACATTTTCTCTCAAAGACACATAGTCTCTTGATCTTTGAGGAAAATGCTTCAGTGCTACACCCTGGTACCAAGTCTGGATTCATTTGGGCCCCAAACTTCTGTAGTTCCTGAGAAGAACTTCTAAAGCCTTTATGTAGTATTGGCTATAAAACTGATATTCTAACCCTAGAGGTAGCCTGAGGGTGACTTGTTTTCAAAGAAACCTTTACCCCATAAGGCATAGCGACAGATCCTAACATGTTTCTGACTTCTCCCTATCATCTCCACAGACCAGTTTGTAGTCTACAGATGGTGAACCAGAGACACAGTGACTTTAATGTATAGAGACCTGCACAGATATGAACTCAATTGCCTTGGTAAATTAAATATAGAATTTTAAGTGCTAGCCTATTTTCAAACCATAACTCAGTCACATCTTCTATGAAGACATCCCTTGTGGCCTAGAAAGAGCATCCTTACTCCCTCCAGGTCCTCTCTGTAGCATTTACTATTTGGTATTTATAGTTTTTATTGTTTAGCCCCCCCTAGAGCATGTACTTCTTGCCAGTGGTGGCTTTTTCACCTTTGGTCTTTGGTTTGTCCATGCACTTGGCCTTAAGGACAGAGTCCCTATTCTCCTGCTCCTTTTTGTAACTAACTCCAGGTTCAAGGTCACCTTGCTCTACTCACTTGGCATCCTCCAAGTCTTCAGTGCTCTGGATGGCATCATCTTCATACTTCATTCTCCACTGCAGCACTTCAGCACTGCCTTTGGACACAGCCCGACGCAGCTCAGCCTTGGCCTCCTGCTCTTCTTCATATTGCTCTCGGAGCAGGTCACAGTCATGCTTGGCTGACCGCAGGGACTGGGCTAGGGCACTCTGCGACTAGATGGGACACAATACATATTGGAAAAAGACACCACCATAATTAACAACCAAAGGATTGGAGGTGACATCATTTTTTTTAGATAAGGTTAATAACATCCTGCCACAAGTTGAAGCTGAACCTGAACCTGGTAAGATAATACCGGGAAGAGACTTTGGGACAATAAGAAAAAGACTAGAGTTTCTAATTGCTGCTGTTAAAACAGGAGAGAGAGTTCTATTTGGGGAAATGCCAGCCTGACTTCAACAATAGACAAGGCCTGGAATTCTGGGAAAATTGTGGAAGGCAAAGGTAGCTAGAACATTATCATCTAGGCAATAAGATTTAGCAATATAAAAGATTCAGATCTTGTGTGGACTACAAAGGACCACTGAATTTAGTCTAGCCTTTTCATTCCATTGGTGAGGAAAACAAAATCTTTTATTTCACAAGTGAATCTCTGACAACATATCTCATCACTTTAAAACTGCACCATCCAAAAGAAATTTCTGTAGTGAGGAAAATATTCCACATGTACACTGTCCAATGTGGAAAACCACTAGCCACATGTAGCTCCTGAACATCCAAAAGGTCCCAAGTACAATGTATGGGCCAAACTGCATTTTATTAATATTCATTTTTAATATTAAATTTTAATTAATATCACCTTAAACTTAGAGAACAACCATCATTCAAACCACCGGAAACCTGAATGGAAGTCCTACAACTAGGGCTCTAAAGAAGAAGCCACACCAAGACTGGTCAGAGGAGCAGAGATGAGGAACAGGCTAGTCCCATACCAACATATTGCAAGTGAAAATTGGGAAATATATCTCAGCTAAAGAGGTCCCACTGAGAGGCAAGGGGCCCCAGCCTCACACCAGGCCCCCCAGCCCAGCGTTCCGGTGCCAAAAAGAGAAGTCCTCGTAACTGCAGGCTTTGAAAACCAGCAGGGATTGTGGTTGAGTGAACCTGAGGGCTTTTGGAGTTCCAGGCAGTTCCTCTAAAAGAGCCCACATATAGGCTTACCCTGATTCACTCACTCTGAGCTCCAGCACTGGGACAGCAACTCAAAAGGCACCAGGCACATACAGAAAGGAACAGAATTGTCTGGCACCAGGGCAAGAGCTGGAGGTGCAGCTTTCTGCCAGACAAAAGTGTTGACAGAGGCCATTATTCATTTTCTGAGTTCAACCCCAACAAAATCAGCAGGCAGCCACCCTGTCTGATTTTCCATCAACCTGGCTATCACTGTTCACCTCACCCTGCTGATTTTCTGACATCCTGCATCACCCAACTTGTGAACCCACCTAACTTGTGGGTACACCCAAGCTCTTTCCAGTGGCTTTTCTATATGAATGGCCTGTCTTGACTCATACTTCAGACATTCCTAAAACCTCTCGAACAAGAAAAAACTGGCCTCAGCATGCCCTGTACCTCTCACTAAGTGGACCCAGGCCCAACACTATCAGCAGCTGGCCTTGGGTTACAGCTTGGCCTCACCTGGGCACCGCCAAGCCCAGCACTAGGAGTAGCCACCTGAAAACTGCTTTTTAGCTTATTCCAGGTGGCCCTAGGCAGAACATAGGTGATTGCTGACCTTGGTCGACAACTTCCAGTAGGCTCCAGAGCCAGTGTACCTGGTAGACAGCTTCAGACCATGCTGAAGCACCACCCACCCACCTCCACAAGCAACACACTCAAGGAACAAACTCAGTAGGCACCAGAGCCCTGCTGAAGTAAGTCCTGCTGTGTGGGGTGGGCCCCTGCACAGCTGATCCTCCAAAGTGGGTTGTGGTTGCAGCCAGTCTTTGCAGCTGATCAACCTGGGAGTAAATCCCTCCCACTGAGGTGCCAACAGCAATCAAGGCAAACTACAACAGGAGGGTGTACACAGCCCACATGGTGGATAAGGTGAAGGGGCACACCTAGAGTGCCCAGCTCAGGTGATTGTGGAGGCTGTGACACTTGACCCTGTAGAACATCTACTATATGAGGCCACTCTACCAAGCCTGGGAGATGTAGCAGCTCCACCTAATACATAGAAACAAGCACAGGGAGGCTGCCAAATGAGGAAATAAAAAAACATGACCCAAATGAAAGATCAGCACAAAACTCCAGAAAAAGAACAAAATGGAGACAAGCAATCTATCAGCTACAGAGTTCAAAACACTGCTTATTAGGATGCTCAGTGAACTTAGTGAGAACCTCAATAGCATAAAAAAGATTCAGTCGGATTTGAAGGATACAATAACTGAAATGAAGAACAATTTACAGGGTATCAACAGTAGAGTAGATGAAACCAGGAATCAAATCAGCAATTTGGAAGATAAGCAAGCAAAACCCACCCAATTAGAACAGCAAAAAGACCTGGCTGGTGTAGCTCAATGGATTGAGTGTGGGCCTGCGAACCAGACAATCGCGGTTCGATTCCCAGTCAGGGCACATGCCCAGGTTGCAGGCAGGTTCCCTGCAGGCCAGTTCCCAGCAGGGGATGCACAAATGCAACCATACATTGATGTTTCTCTCCCTCTCTTCTGCCCTTCCCCTCTAAAGATAAATAAATAAAATCTTTTAAAAAAGGAAGTTACTTTAATCTTTAAAAAAAGGAAGTTACTTTAAAGATATACAGTAAACATTAAAAAAAAAACAGCAAAAAGAAAAAAGAATCCCCAAAATGAAGACAATGTAAGGAGACAATGTAAGGAGCCTCTGGGACAACTTCAAAGATACCAACATTCATATCATGGGGGTGCAGGGAGATAAGGTAGAGCATGAAATTGAAAACCTACTGGAAAAAAACAATGACAGAAAATTTCCCTAACCTGGTGAAGGAAATGGATATACAAGTCCAGGAAGCACAGAGAATCCTAAACAAGATGAACCCAAAGAGGATCACACCAAGGTACATCATAATTAAAATGTCAAAGAATAAAGACAAAGAGAGAATTTTAGAAGCAGCAAGCAAAAATTAGTTACTTATGAGGGAGCTCTCATAATACCATCAGCTGGTTTCTCAACAGAAACTTTGCAGGCCAGAAGGGATTGGGAAGAAATATTCAAAGTGATAAAAACCAAGGGCTTACAAGATTTCTCTACCCAGAAAAGCTATCATTTTGAATCCAAGGACATATACAGAGCTTCCCAGGCAAGAAAAAGCTAAAGGTGTTCACCACCAAACTAGTACTATATGAAATATTAAGAGGTCTTCTTTAAGAAGAAAAAGAAAAAGATAAAAAGTATGAACAATAGCCCTGACCAGTGTGGTTCAGTTGCTTGGGCATTGACCTGCAAAGTGAAAGGTTCCCAGTTTGATTCCTGGTCAGGGCACATGCCTGGTTGTGAGTCTGACACCAGCCGAGGTTTGTGCAAGAGACAACAGATCAATGTTTCTCTCAGTCTCTTTCTCCCTCCTTTCCCCACTCTCTAAAAATAAGTAAAATCTTTAAAAAATATGAACAATGAAAGGGCAGTAGATACACATCTATCAATAACTGAATCTAAAAAACAAAATAAATGAACAGAACAGAAACAGAGTCATAGATACAGAGAATATTTTGATGGTTGCCAGATGGGAGTGGATTGGGGGGTGAAAAATGTGAAGGGATTAAGAAGTACAAACTGGTTGTTTCATAAAACAAGTCATGGGGATATAAAGTACAGCATAGGGAATATAGTCACTAATCCTTTAATAACTATGTATGGTATCAGATGGGTACAAGAGTCATCAGATGATCACTTAATAAGTTATATAATGTCTATTATTGAGGTATGCACCTGAAACTAATATATATTGTATGTCAACTGTAATTAAAAATAAAAATGATTAACAAAATTTAAATTTAGAGAGTCACCTATAGTGTAGTAGTAGCTACTATTATGTGTCCAGTAGCTACTGGACAGCAGAGGTGAGTTTAGTGAACATTTCACCACTTGCATGGTGGTCTGGTGAACCCAGAAGCATAGTTCCTAGGAGATAACCTAGTCTAGTGAGAAAAACAGGGGATCTCTACTAGTCCTCGTGTGTCCTTTATGCAAACTTTAAAAATGCACTGTTAGGCAGATGCAGCTGAGACCACAAGGCTTAATTAATGGCAGCCTCCACCAGACACCCATGGTTGGTGAATGAGGAGCCAAAATATGCAATGACCCTGAGAAAGGTACATACTTTGCAACCTGATAAACTTGGCTTCAAATTGGGATACTTCCTCTTATTTAATATATATTTATCGAGCACCTGTTCTAGACATTAGTGTTTCAGAAGTCTCACAGACAAAGTCTTTGCTCTAAGAAGCCAAAAAGGAGTAAGAGGATACACAAAGCAAACATGTAAACAAATTAATAATAATATAGCTAACAGCAGTAAGACAATAAAACTGACTAATGTGATCTAGAATAGTTAGCTCCTTCTCATCATCCCCAAAGACCTTGGAGAGGGGCCTCCGAGCAATGGAAATGGCAGCTACAAAAGGCCTAGGGCAGGAATGATGGCAGCTATTTAAGAGGCAGAGAGGAGCCAGGGGGACTGCAGGGAAGTAAACGAGGAAAGCAGATGTATGAGGTGAGATCACGGAAGGAGGCTGGAGCACGAGCAAAGGGGCCTTGTAGGCCAATTGGAAGGTACTGGGAAGGCAGCCAGAATGACATTCTAATATATAAATCAAGTCATTTCACCACCTGAGTAAATTCCTTCACAGTCAACTAGTAGCTATATGACCTTGGACAAGTTATTTGTCATCTGAGTTTGGTTTCTTCATGTATAAAGATATAATTCTACCTGCTTTATGTGACACATGAAGATTGAGGTAACATGAGAAAAGCATAATGTCTGATGCACAAACCATAGCAGTAATTTAACAACTTGTGTATAATATTAAAAAAAAGGAGAGTGAAGGAAATAAAATATTTAAAGACAGAAATCTCAAGATTCAACAACATTCACCCCTGAGAGCCAATGTCTTTACGGTTGAGATTATGTACAAGTAAGGCAATTTGGGGTCTTAGTATCAAGAAGACTTGAATATCAACTAAAAATTAGCTTGAAATGCCAGGGCTCAAAGAACTCATTTCTCACATTAGTCACTATGCTTTCACCTTAAAGAATTGCTTTCACTGAGGTCACTTACTAGCAACATTATATATTATCGTAGGAAGAAATTACTAATATCTATAATTTATTGACAACTTCAAAATAATATTGAGCTAAGTTAGCTCCATTTATTTTATTTTGGTCTTTTATTAAATTCCACTTCTTAGTGCAATTCAAAATCAAAGATCCATAAAGAAACTTGCTGACTTTCTGTGCAAGAAGTAATGCAAAATGGAAACACATACTTCGCTTGCTCTAAATCTGACAAACCAGAGATGCAATGTGAATCACTGAGGAAACTCCTTCAGTGATCAGTGTCCTTCCCAGCACATACAAGGGCCGACATGTTTTTCTCCCTGAACTTCTAGGGCACTTTCTCCTTTTCTTTAATATGAGAAGACATGCAGGCTGACACACCAAAGAAAAATGCATGGTCAAGCTACCAGTGAGAAATAGCAGATGTATTACTTTGATCTCCTCTTCCAGTTGCTCTTTCAATCCTTCAATTTGCTGAACGAAGGTGCTCTTCTCCTTGGAAAGCTGGTTTATCAGAGCCTCCTTTTCTTCCAGCCTCTTTAGGAACTCATCTACACAAAGATTTCAAAAGTAAGTTAACCATGGTGTTCCTCATATACTGCCTCCCCAACTTGTTGAATTTAAGAGCAACCAGAATGATTCCTACCACATATAACTCACATTGAGAGTCTAGTTATTAGCAAAATGATGACAATGATTCTTTCCAGGACTCACAAGAGAACCCTAATTTAAAATATATATAAAATTTTAGTAGTAAGTATGAGTCAATAACAGATATTAGCTACCACTTACTGACAATTTTTTATTCAGTAGGCATTTTATGTATATTATCTACTTTAACTCTTCATAATTCCTTGATAACATAGATATTATTACCCATTTTTCAAAGAAAAAAACAGGGCAGCTTACTTAAATGCAGTTGAGACACATGCATAGCCAGTAATTAGTGGAAGTACATCCAAATTGAGTTTTTAACCCTGCAGAACATCCTTTCTTCTATGCCGTGCCCCTTGTTTATTATGTGTAGCTCTACCGATTTGTGACTACACAATCTTTTTAGATAATTACACTTGTTTGCATCATTTGTAAAATGCGAATAACAATAAAAGATTGTTAATGAAAATTAAATAAGTGTAAATGTATTTTCCAGACTAACTGCTAAATATTAGAAATAGTCATTAAACAGTAGAGAATGTAACATAAGAGGGGGGAATTCTATTACGCTCTAGTCTACACTCCCTGATTAGCTTATTTTGTCAATAATAGGACAGAAATACTGTTGTTATTAGAAGTGGTCCTAAAAGCTGAGCTAATCCTGGGCAAAGGCAGTTGCTTCCTCAGTGCAATTAGTGCAACAACAAAGTTCCAGATATCTGTGAGCCAACCCCTCTTACTACAAACAAATTCTAAAACTCTTAACTTTGGAAGGAAGCACCTGTGAAGGATGAAGTAGGAACTCTGAAAACTTTTAGTCTCAGGGACACTTTACATGGTTAAAAATTATTGTGGGCCCCAATGAGATTTTGTTAATGTGAGTTTTATGTCAGTAGATAGTGTATCAGAATTTAAAATATATATTAGTTGGTTTTGAAATAATAATAAATAATCCTGAGTTAACATGTCAATGTAACAACATTTTTAGAAGAAAATATATTCTCCAAACCCCCCCAAAAGAAAGAAAAAAGTGACATTATTTTACATTAAAAAAATTCTCTGACTTAATAAAAGACACCTGGAATCTCATATCCACTTCTGAATTCAATCTATTGCAATATACTGTTTTTTGTTGCAGTATATAAAGAAAATCCAGCCTGTCACAGATACAGAATTGGAAAAGAGGGATGTACAGCCATAGTCTTTTCACATAATTGTGACCATTATTTGCTATTACATCAAAACCCAACAAACATAAATTTCTTATGGGGTTAGTTGCAGTATGAAATAAACCAAATCAATCTTATTTTACTATTATACTAAATTCATTGTCCATGTTAAATGTTCACTTGATCTTTTGCCCACACATTATTCTATAACATCATGCAGTGGTGATCTGAAAAAATCTGTGTTCACAGAATTATGCAGACCTTCCAATTTGGCATATTTCATTACATAATATAAAAAAATCATTTTCCACTGTCACCCCTGGTGTCATCAGAAAAGTCTTTAAAGACTTGAAAGCCATGAAGCTCATGATGACACATACATTTTCCAAAACCTAAGTTTTGCCCAAAAGCTCCAATTTTATTACAACAAATATTGTCAGTTACTCCCTTGACTCGACAGGCTCACTTTATCTTTGAGAAATATTTGCTAAATATCTAAGTCTGAATTCGCACAGTAGATTTGCCAATCATTCTTTCAAGGAAATTTGATGCTCCCTGAAAAAACTGCTAGTTCAACTCAGAACTTAATCTACATGCCGCCCTTCAATATGAAACAGAAATGTTTTATGCATACTTCCGGTTGTAGCACACAGAACACTAAGGAGATGTATATTCAGGGTCAAAATGGAAGAAAATCATTAACCTCAAAGCCCCCTGAGAAGGCTTTGACAATCACTGGGAGTCTGTGGACCAAACTTTGAGACAATCTCTGGGTGAAAACAACATACTTTAAAGGATTCTGAAGAAATGCCAATCCACGAGGGGTTGAGACTAATGTATCACATAGGTTGCAGACCCAGAAGTCATTAACATGTCTTAATTGACCACATTTACTATTGGTCTCCCCCAGGCATGAAAAAAATACTTTGATGGTAGTAGCAAAGAAGCACCAGAAAAAATCTGGAACAAAGACCCAGTGAGGAGAGAGGGTTTTGCACAGGCATATACAGTACTTCCAATTCACATGAAAGCCAAATGTAAAGATGAGTATGAAAGGAAGAAAAAGGTTCTGCATCCTAAGCAGAATTAGCATCTCAGACCTACATTCATCTCACATACCCGCCAATTTTCTTATCAAAAAGTGAGTAGAAAATTAATGGCAGTAATTAGGGGGAAGTAGGCAATGCCTATCAAAACAAATTTTATACAAAACTTCCTTTGGAGCCAGATACACAGGGATTCTCCAGCCTTGTCTCTGGACTGTGGAGTCCACACCAGAGACTACATCCTAAATGGCACAGAAGATCAAGTTCAGAGTTTTGTAGCAGGGCCACATGCCATATGCTCTGTCGTCAGCATAGGAAGAATCCTATTCAGTGTCCCTGCTGGAACCTAAAACACCTTTCTCCTCTAGATTTCCAGGTGTGTAGTTTTGACTCCAGATTTAGCATCTAGAATCAGAGGTATCCACTGGCAAAGGATGTCACACAGTCTAAATGGTTTCCATTTTTGATCTAACGTGAGTGCCTCTGGGCATCAGGCACATATTGTTTATTTTCATTGGCCTAGAAATTCTATCTCTGGAAATATATTACTAAAATAATTATAGTTACAGACAAACTTTTAGTCACATGCTGTTCATAGAAGAGAAACAAGTTACAGGGAAAGGTTAAGTAAACTGCAGTCCCTCTACTTGGTGGATTAAAAGAACCCATAACAGTCCTGGCTGGGCAGCTGAGTTGCTTAGAAAGTCATCCCAGTATGCCAAGGTTGCAAGTTTGTAGGTCAGAGCACATACAAGAGTCCACAGATGACTGCATAAATAAGCAGAACAACAAATCGATGTCTCTCTATCTCACACAAATCAATAAATATTTATTTCTTCCTTTAAAAATGTTTAAAAAAATAAAAGCCATTATAAATGGCTAAGATACAAAAAAACAAGCTTATAACAAACTGAAAAAGAAAAAACCCAATTAGATTGTGTGAGAAAAAAGGGGCCACACACCAAACCTGACAAGCTCAGGGGAGGTTTGTAGGGTGGCTCCTACAAACTCAGGGACTGAAAGTAACCACATAGGTTGATCTGAACATGAGAATTTCTAATTAAGAGTGAGTTGGGCTGGTAGCTGTGTCCTAGGTCTATAGCTTCCTTGCCAAAGGTCACTATTTACCTGAAGTGAGCCTGTGCATTGTCTTTTTGTTCCTAAGATAACATACCTTTGAAATGTCAGAGTAATCGCCTTTCCCTGACCCTTCAAGGCACAACCACTAAAGCGCCAGACCACAGAAGTCCTCAGCCATCTCTGCCTGCTGTAAATGTTAATTATCATACCCACCAATGTAAAAGAACCGTGTGTCTATTATGCCTTTTCTCCAACCCTCACTTTGATTTCTCCTGCCCTCTTAATCTATAGCCAATGGATCCCAAGTAACCCTCCTTACATCTCCTTTTATTCTAATGTATAAAATGAGCTGTAAAACAGCCTTTCTCCGGAGCATTTTCTCAGTCTGTTGAGATGTTGGTTCCTGGAAATTGTTGGTATTTTGGTCATATAAACTCATAAAATTCTCTATAGGTTTAGACATTTCTTACACCAACAATTGACCCATGTAAAAGATTAGATTAAATACAAAAATGTACACACACATCTCTCGATAGTGGTTGATAGTAAACTGTGGGACATTTTTTCTATTTTTAATTTATCAAACATTTGTGGGGCAGAAAAAAGGAGCTGGTATTGCTGTAGATGATTGACACATATCAATGAACAAAACAGACACCCCCCTTCCCTCACAAAGCTTACAGTGTGGCAGATGGAGACATTCAAATAATCATATTTATTATTATGTCAACTGTGTAGTTTGTTTTAAGGTATGAAATACTATGAAAAAGAAGTACATGGGAAAAGCAGGTTGAGTGTGCTCAAATGTTACCTTCCCAATAAGGCATATCCTAACTTCCCCCAGGTATCTGACTCTCATCTTCAAGTCTCACAGAAAAGAATAGGGGATTTCAGACAGAAGGAATAGCTAGGGCAAGACTCTGGGTGGGAATGTACTTGGTGCATTCAAAGCAACAGCAAAGACGTCAAGGTGGTCAAGGCCAAATGAGAGAAGGAAGAGTAGCAGCAGACGTCAGCGAGATAATCAGGGGCCCAGTTATGGCCCTTGTAGCCCATTGTACAGACTATGGCTTTTACTGAGTTAAAAAAAAGTGTGGATTCATTAGTGAACATGAGAAAAAATGACTATTTTAATGAAGTAGACCTTATAAAACATGTCTTGTAGGTGGACAGCCACTACCATCTTTTGAACTTAAATGCTTCAGCCAACTGCTTATTGCTTTTCCCTTTCATGGAAGAGAGCTAGGCAGGGCCTCCCAAAGTAGCTCAGAGGTGTCCCTTCCTAGATGAGGGCATGGATCTTCATGCCCTAGCATGAAGAGGATCTAGGGGATCCTCTTCCCCTAGAATCTTCAAATGCCCACTCAAGGCTCTGCAGTTGGTTCATCATCTCAACTGTCTCCACTGCCCCCCACTTCACTCTGCTGTGATTGACATTCAGTCACAAGTGAAGCAGTATGTTTACTTACTGTTCTCACTTTGTAGCTTTGTCTTCTGTGCTGTCAGGGCATTTGCCAATTGAGTCACTTCCTCTAGTTTTACATTTGCTTCATTCAAGCGCTCTTTATACAGACTACAGAGCTTCTCAGCATTGGCCTAGAAGTTGAGAAAGAAGGGTTGGACATGCTCATGTAGTCCCATGCTGACCCTGGCCAAGTGGCTCAGCTGGAACATCATCCTGTACATTAAAAGGTTGAGAACTCAATCCCATCAGGGTGTATACCTAAATTCTGTGTTGATCCCCTATCAGGGTATATATGGGAGGCAACAGATCAATGTTTATCTCTCACATTGATGTTTCTCTTTTTCTCTCGCCCTTCTTCTCTCTCTAAAATTAATAAACATACCCTTAGGTGAGGATGTAAAAAAAAGAATCCATGCTGAATTAGTTGCATTGAAAGTGGGGAGAGAAAAGGAGAGGAGAGAGAGGGTAGGGTAGGGGAGGGGAGGTTTTCTGGGGCCCTTGTGTTATCTTCTGCCCTGAAGACCACAACCAGCATTGGGAAGCCACACCTAATTTAATCAAGCACAATAAACTCAGGGTCTGAGCTTCTAAGAAGCCCAAACTTCTCAGACTATAGGTCTCAATAGATAAACCCAACTCTCTGGGTATCGGACCCTCTCCAGAATTCTTTGTTATTCTGGAAGGGAATATATCAAATACTAATGAAGTACAGAATCATTTCTCAAAATTATATTATTGAGTTGGCCAAAAGTTTGTTACATTTTTTCCATAAAATAAGACACACTTTTTTTTTCATTTCACCAATAACTTTATTGATTTGGATATTTTGAGTATATCAGTTATCTCCTGCTATTGGTTCCTAGTGGGTAAAAAGCCAGTGGTGCTGCTAAATATCTTCCAATGCATAAGACAGCCCACGGAAAAGAATTACTTGGTCAAAATGTCAATAGTACCAAGAAATTTGCAAACCACTGATGTTCAGTCAGTCACAGCAACTCCTCCATATACTGCACAAATCTTTTTTCATGTTTCAGTTGTGTTTTTACCTTTCTTGAAATAATAAAGCATAAACATGCCAAAAATATATTTTCTTCCACCTTCAATACTAAAATGGCTGCACAAAAACTCACCAATTTTGATGTTTTTAAATGCATGCTGATATGACAACTGTCACAATACAATCTAACCACATTGTTTCAGGTGAAGTTAAAGACAACTACTGTATTTTGCTATGTGTAATGTGTACTTTTTTTGCCCAAATTTTTGAGGGAAAAATAAGGATGCGCATTGTACATCAGTAGCACTAATTCCATATCTATATAAATGTTTTTAATTCTTTATTTATGCTTATGCATTAGAAGTGTAGCTCTAGAAAGCAATAACAATATCTGTATGCAGAATATAATAATAGGAAAAACAAGCATCAAAATATAAATAAAAATTATATTAAAAAAAATTTTAAGATTTTTTTATGAAAGTTTGGGCCAAAAACATGGGTGTGCATTATACATGGCAAAATATGGTAAGTGCTACTAGAGACTTCATACAGAAAAAACATAATGGACTTTTTGGCCAACCCAATATATATTTAACAATCTTTCTCTCCCACTAGAATTTAAGTGCCATCAGAAGGTTCTATTTGATCACAGACATACCTCCAGTATCTAGAATAGTTCCAAGCACATACTGAAAGCACAAAAAACAAAGGGGTAGGTGTAGAAGAATTGGGGGAGTGAAGGGGAGAGGGAATGGAGGGAAAAGGAAGGACAGCCAGAGGCTGACCAGGCAGGATGGGAGCAAATAGATAGATGGAAGTGGCGATTTCTTAATAACAAAAACTTGAATGGTCAAAGCATCTGCACCCTCCTCATCATGAAGGCTGCAGGTGCAGGATAACTCTATTGGGTTAATACTTCAATTCCCAACTGCAACTTCTCAGAATTGGTTTTTCATGCTTGGAAAAAGGGATTATGTCCTTCTACTTTTGCAATTCTACCTGGTTTCAGTAAGCAGTCTAACACTGAATTCTTGCTATACTATGGAAAATGATGTTAGTGACTTTGGAACCCAATATTCTCAGGGACAAGATCTGCCAAATGTAAGATGGTGTTATGCTCTTTACCTAGCTTTAATTTGTATTCTTATCATTATTATGGTCAAACCTGGTAAAATGACATTGGTGGTTCTACAGATCCATAGTTCCATCAATTTTACATAGCTGTTTCTGTATTTTGCTCTTTACATGTATTAAATACCAATCCGTACAACCACCCCATGGACTTTTGACTCTACAAAGAAAGAGTGCTATGGACATGGCAGAATAAGAAGACATCACACCAAAGGCATTTGAGAAAATGGTGAATCTCGCAGTAAATCTAATAGTCTTAATGTTAACCTAATTTTTATGACATAGCAATGGCCAAGAGCCAGGAACACTTAAAAGATGATACCAGGTTTGGTCCTCAGGGAGACTCTGAATCAGTTAATGTCCTGGAGCTCTCCAGCTGGAGTCTACACTGTATTGAATACTGTTCTATTTGAGCTCCTACTCCTGACTATTCTAAGCTTCCTTTGAAAGACTACTTGATTATATCTCCTTATATCCCCAAGACCAGATGTACTACTTGACACAAACTAGGCACTTTATAAATGTCAGAGACACTCAAATTATTGCAGACTTTTTAGCGAGAGTTTGGCCAATCATACCCACTAGAGTTTATTTAGAGGTCAAAGTCAAGCTCTCCTTAGAAACCCTAACCCCCAATTTATTTTTTAACTTGGTCAGGATATTATCCACAAGTTAGCAAACAAGTGAAGACCCAACTCAGGTGTACACCTATTTGGAAGCTAACGAGGAAAGTCATATAGTTTTAGCTCACAGATGTCCCACAGCACACCCTGGCTTGGTGGTAGTTGTGAAACTGCACCTGGCAGATATTCCATGACAGCTTGTCATACGATGCCATAAGCATCACACTGACTAGAGCACTGATGTTAAAGGCCAGGATCATTTGATTACCCAAACTCTCCAATGCTATTGGATAAAAACTATACTAGTGATAAATGTAACAGTGTGTAGATGGTCTGGGTATGTCGAATATGTTTCGAATATGGCATGTGAAATATGTTTCTTCTCATTTATGAAAATTGGCACACATTGTTTTTCCCTCATGATATTCCTCAAGAGTTCAGGTTGACTCTGTTTTATAAATGAGAAAAAAGGGTTAGAGAGGCTAAACACCTTGCCCAAATCACACAGCTAGTAAAAGTTATAATTAGGATTTGAAATGATAACTGCCTGTGCAGGTAACACCAGATTCCATTTGTTACATAAGTTAGTAAAAACAAAGGACACTGATGTCCTATTTGGCTCAAGTGTCATGAATCCCAAGTCCTAAAGGAAACTAGATAAAATATGATGACTGTTAATCATTTTTGTTTTCCATTGTCTCCAGTAATAAATGACCCATTAACTGGGCCAGGAGGGACATATCCATGTATGAGACATGACACTTCTCTTTATGGTCCTAAATATGCTATTCCAGACAGGTGTTTGCTGGGGCTGAAAGAACAGAAATCTGTATAAGACAACTTAGTCAATGATGTGTGGAAATGGCAAGCAGAGGAGCCAGAGTATCCCCAGTTTTCAGGAGACACCTGTGTGGTAGAGCCCAGCTGGGCTGTGCAAGTCTGCAGAGAAGGCAGCCACCTGGGCAGACAGAAAAGGCACTGGCTTTAGGTGTAGTTTCAATGGCAGTCATCTGTGGACACTGCTAACCATTATTACAGCATTTTAACTTACAAAGTATTTTAATATACAGGATTGTCAAAGGTAATGAGACTGGTGTACTGTCAAAGGAACTCCACATTTAAGCATAAGGATAGACACTTAAGTTTGACAAGGAGAGAAGAGGTTAATGGAAAAATGCACATTCATCTTATATCTGGTTCTTAAAATGCATAAAACTGCTGCCTCCCAGAAAAGCAGAAACCAATAGGAATTCAAAATAATCAAAGTAATTGTGAGATTGCCCATAACTTCTAAATTTCCCTGGGCCTCTCTGTGAGCATAATATGCTTTTGAAAATGCTTCCATTTCCAATGTACCATTGGGTATTGGCATTTCTGGCATTACAATTCAGGAAAGATGAAGTAAACAATTCAAGGAAAAGTTCAGCATAATGTATATGCCTGTGAAAGTGAACAGAATGCATTTATCCAACCAACAAATATTTAAGGCAGCAGCAGGATGTGGTGACCCACAGACACGCATGAGATTCACAGTTGAGGCCCATGTACTACATATAACTGTGTGACCTCAGACAAATTACTGAACCTATGAGCCAAAGAATTCCCAAAATTCTGTGTAATTTTCACATGTGTAGAAGTGAATGCTAGAAATGGAGCGCACAGATTATGCAAAGCACTCAGTAAACACGAGTAAAATAAGACCTAGCTTCTATCTTAGCTATGCTTTCTATTTAAGCAAAATTGAAAGGCTATAAATGCAGCAATACAAGAAGGGCCCTAAAAGTGCTAGAAGAATTCAGAAACAGATAAATTTTAATGTGGGAAGTTGAAGTTGATCATTCTAGGGAGCAGGTCAGTTTGGAAAAGGCAAAAATTCTCAAATCACTTTTAAGTAGAGATATGATGTGGTAAAGCCAAATCTGGAAATATGAATATGGATACTTTATAGAATGAATTAGAAAAAAGACCAGAAGCAAAAAAGATAATTTAGGAAAACCCCCACAATAGTCCAGTTGAAAGGTAATGAAAGTACTACATGTTCGTGGGAGTGGACTGGAAAGCTATAAACCTGTGTGGGATGGACCTGCTGCAAGAATTGACTGGAAAGCAAAGAAAAGGAGAGCAAACAAGTGATCAAACACAGGCGTAGAGCCTTGGATGATGGGCAGAATCAAGGTGCCAGTGGCAGAAATGTTCAGAGGAAACACAAGCTGCAGGAGAAGATGATAAGTTTGGTTTTAGAAATACTGGTATGAGAAAAAGAAATCACTACTCATCTTTGAAAGAACAATTTAAGAGAAGGCTTTTTAAGAAAAGTCGAGTCTTGGCTGGTGTTGGCTCACTTGGTTGGAGTATTGCCCTGTAAGTCAAAAGCTCGTGGGTTTGATTCCCAGTCAGGATGTATGATGCTTAGGTTGCAGGTTTGGGGAACATACAAGAGGGAACTGATCAATGTTCCTCTCTCACACTGATGCTTCTCTCTCTTTCCTTCCCTTCCCCTATCTCAAAAAAGAAGATGAAAAAAAGTTGAAGAAATAGAAGACATTGCTTGTGTAAAAGGAGTGAGGAAGTAGGGAGGTATATTCCTACCTGAGGAAGCTAGTCTCCAAAGTGGGCCCCTTAGTGAATCACACCCTCTGGTATTCATACCCTTGTGTAGTCCTCTGTCTCTGTGATGTGTAACTTACGGGAGTCACATTCACTGCACTCTAAGTTTACCTTAGAAGAATCTTTGCAGCTTCTGCCCTGGTATCTTGGAATACATACTTGGTCTCAGTGTCTTGAATTGCCATGTAAGAAGTCCACATCCCCTGTGGCTGCTACGCTGTGAGGAAGCCCAGGCTTGCCCTGTGGAGGGGGTGTATGGAAAGAGACCCACCCCCAGCTGTTCTAGCTATCCTAGCCCAGGAGCCAGATGCTTGAGTGAATAAAAAGTCAGATAACTATAGTCTCCATCCCCATCTAAGCTTATCAATCACCAGAACCAGGAAAGGTGATAATAAATTGTTGTTTTAAGCTACAAGGTTCAGGAATGATTTGTTATACAGCAATAGGTAAATAGAATACTAGTCTTTGGTCAAGGAGAAACATTAAGGCAGATATAAACAGCCTTTGCTTTCTTCTCAAAATTCAATCACTAGTACCTAAAGAAAAGTCTTTTTTATTTTAGTTTTTAAAAACGAGTGAATAATAATTATGTCAAAGAATATTTTATTTTTGGGGATGAGAAGGAAAGAAATGGATGAGTGAAAAGAAAAATATAACATAGGGGAAAAAGAAGTTTTACTAAATAGTCTCCATCTTATCAGTTAGGGTCTTATTTATTGGAAAAAAAAGATTAAAAAGGCAGGGTTAGAATCTGAGGAAGGATTTTGTTTTAAAAATAAAACAAAGTTTAAGAATAAAGAACTGAGAAGCAATGAGATTCTAAAGGAAGTTGGAAAGTATAAAATTCATGCCTAATTAATGTGGATTTATGGCGAACCCATCAACAGTTTCATGATTGCGTGACTTCCTCTGGAACCGTGTAGAAGCAGAGCGTCCCCGAGGACAAACAACAGACACAGGAGAGCACAGAGAGAGTAAGGCCCTCTAGGACCTCACTTGATCTGAGGAAGGCCAATGACGCCTGCACGGCACGGAGAGAGCATGCTTCCACTGCTGAGTGAAAGACAGAATGAAATGCAGAGCACACAAGACAGAGCGAGAGAGAGGACCCATCCCCACTAGACTTATATTGTACAGTAACTGGGGGTGGGGTGGCAGGAGCAATGAAGAGAAGAGCAAGGGTGGGCAGTGGGAGTCAGGGTGACTGTGTTTCTTTTTACTGAATGTGGTCTTTGAAGGGGATTCATGCTAAACATTTTAGGAGCCACTCAATATTTCTAAAGAAATTCTATTGTACATTTTTCTGCCCATGGTCCATGAAGATCAAGCTTCACTGTTGGTTTGCCTCTTTCCCAGTGCCTTTACAAATTTTTCTCACGAGGAAAATTTCCTCTGTTTGACCTAAAACAAGCCTCCTCTCAACTGCCAGAAGGTAGGGTGGTCGTTACCTGTGATCTGATGCTAGTCATTTGAGATGAGAGCTTGCAATGGATACATTAGCAGATTCAGTGAAGAAAAAAGCAGTCCTAAAACTTCCTTTCAGTGCTGGCTGGTTAAAGAGATGACAGAGGACATGAGAGAGAAAAAGTTTTCTTCTCTCGGTGAAGCTGTTTATGTCCACATTCATTCAGAGAGAATCAAGAAGTATCTGAGTCACCCTTAAAGGGTGCTCCCAACACAAAGCCATTCTTTAAGAGAGTCACACTCCTGCCCTGAGCTAGTGGCTCAGTTGGTTGGAGCATCATACCGTGCACCTAAGGGTTGGGGGTTTGATTCCTGCTCAGGGCACATACCTAGGTTGTGGGTTCAATCTCCAGTCAGGTTATATACAGGAGGCAATTGATTGATGTTTCTCTCTCATATCAATGTCTCTTTCTCCCTCTCTCTCCAACCCTCTCTAAAATCAGTAAACATACCCTTGGGTAAAGATTAAAAGAAAGGAGAAATGCACTGCTCAAATAGCTAGTGGCTTCACTTTTCCAGCCTACTAACTTATGGCATCATCACAAGAAAGAGCCACAAAGAACCTGGACTGAATTTCAATAAAACTGGAAGTCATTGCAAGGCTACATTCAGGTGATGGCCATGTGAACCTTAATTGAGAGTGACCCCTGAGGTTAGATCTGATCTAGTCAATCTGAAGAACTATAGCTTCCATTAGCAAATACCTCAAGTCACGAAGCTGATTAATTTTTACTCTTTAGCTAATTCTATGTTCAAATTTCCCAAGGAGGGCTTGGGAATATTTATTACCTTAGTTCGGGTCATCTGCTCAACATGGATGAGGTGGTCATTCACTTGTAGCTGCAAGTCACTGTTGTCCTTTTCCAACTTCTGTTTGACCTGTTGTAGATTTTCTACCTGGCCCTGGAGTTCAGCCAGGCTGTGTGCATGTCTCTTCTTCAGGGAGGCAGACGTTGCCTCAAAGTGCAGTGTGGCCTGTTCCAGGTCTCCGTGAAGCTTTTGCAATTTTGTTTCTTGCTTCTTAGTTTTCTCCAGCTGAGCCGAAGTGGCCCCTCCTGCCTCCCGCAGCCTCTCATTCAAGTCTTCCAGTTCTCGGGTGAGGTCAGCTCTCTCCCTCTCCACCTTGGCTCGAGTGGTCCTTTCAGTTTCCAGTTCCCCTTTCAAATGCTGTATTTGAGGCTGTAGCAATAAATAATTTTGACCTTAACTAAGACCTTGTGGTAGAGTTTATATTTAAGAGCTTTACTGGTGTATGTGTAAACATATACACACAGTTTTAAATTTTGGTATATATATTTTAATTTCTCACAGCCAAGGAAAGTAACATAACACTTTTTGTTCCCATTTAATAGTTAGAGAAGATTGCATACCCCAAAACTAACTGACTTGCTCCAAGTCAGTAGCAAGACCAGAATATAAGTTGGCTTTTCCTCCATATCTCCCAGACCTTGGTGATGAGCAACTCCATTAAGTGAAATACATGAAGAGGAAATCTTAGTAAAGAGCACTCTACAAAGAAATAGAGAACACCTTCACATAATAATAAAAAATAATTTTAAAGGTGGCTTATAAAAAATTAACATAAATTTTATATGTAATACCTCACTCATTCCAGAGTAATACCACACTCTGGAATTCATTTACCTGAAAGATCAAACATTGGAAACTCAGGCAAAATTGATCAATATAGTGAATATCTCTGAGTTTAAGCAACTTACTCATAAACAATATCAGTTTAAGTTCATATACAATTTTGGAAAAGTTGGTTATTTGGTTTCTTAATCTGCAGGCCATTTTAAATAGCAGGAGATCTGAGGTAATAAAATAGAATTGATGGAGGAGGGGGGACTACTAAAGAGCAATAATCCGATACCACTAGAGGCAGAGTTATTACACAAAGAAATGTGTGGTAAGAATGCTGAGAGTCCCAAATTCTTTCATTGTGGGGGCAAATAGCTCTACATATCTTGATGACATCATCATATTACAGTACATTGAAGCCATTGAGGTTCATTAACATCACCTTAAATAATTAGGCATAAGTGAGGGTAGAGTGAAAAATTAAGTCTATTTTAGAATGTTTTCCTTTCCATTAAATAAAAGTACCATAGCTTAAAGAAAGCTGATTTCTAGATCATACCAAATACATAGGCTATCAGATCTGTGGGTAAGTCACAACACAGTAGGTGCTAAAAGAATGTATGATTTCATATCCAAGTAAACGTGATCTCCTTCCAACTGGTCATCTTGGAACACCTTTACTGCAAACAATGCTGCCATCAGATGAAACATTTGCAAAGTATTTCTTCAGAAATAATCTTCAGAGAATTTTTAAAAATCATCAAGGTAGGAAAATTTGTCTTTTGAATAAATGTAAATTTTTAAATTTTGGATAAAGTTAAGTATCATTTGAAGACAAGCCTGGTGAAAATGATAGATAATTACTTGAGGACTAATGTTGTGTCTGAAAGCATGTCCATGTAGCAGTGAGATTTTTTAAAAATTTGGCTCAAAATATCACAGAAGAAGTTATTAGAAAGGGGTTCTAAAATTATTTTGAGTAGTGGTTAATTACTGACATAAATATTTAGCTCCAAAGGAAAAACATCCATCTGTATTCATAAGTGAGGGTTTATAAGTACACATATATTATTGTACAACATAGTCATATGGTATAAAACAATCACATGGTCTAAAACTTATGAATAGCTGCCCATTATCAAATGTTTTGAGGTTATATATGGCTACAAAACACATTTGCAGCACACTTGACTTCTAATCACAAGGACCAACCATCCTAAAAATTAAATCGATAACACTGAATGCTCACCATGGGTCAGACACAGTGCTTACCATTGGCATAGGTATCATTGCACTTAATAATATTAGCTCAAAGGTTGTCAGGATGATTAACAAGTAAAAAATATATGTCCAGAGTTTTAGCACAATGCCTGGCTCATGGCAAGCATCTAACAAATTAGCGATTTGTTTTTATTATTCTCATAAGAAAATTTAAGCTTAAAAAAGTGATTTTGCCTGGATTCACATATCTGTGGAATGCCCTCATTTACTTTTTAACTACTGCTCTTTCCTGCCTCTGTCTGTAGCTGGCTACCGGTGTGGACACCGTGGCAGAGCATTTGTGATCGAAGCACCCAAGAGTCGTCCCCCATTCATCTAAATACAGGTCCTCACAGGTGATCGGTAAGTGATACCTGAAGCTCGGTAACCGCCTTCCGCAGCTGAGCCACCTGGCCTTTCTCATTCTCCACCTTTGAACGCATCTGACTCATTTCTAATTCTTTCCTGCTTGGAAAAACGTACCAAATGAAATTCTTCAGCATAATAACGTTTTGTTTACATATTTTAAGAATTATTATAACACATGAATTCATCATTCTTATTGTAAAAATTCAACTATTACATCTACATCTGATGTATTTTTTTGGCTATTACACATCCAATCTCTGTTCCTTCCCTAGAAGTAAACACCATTATCAATTTGGTGTGAATCTACCCAAACATTTTTTTAAGTATTAACATATGTTTGTGTTTATATATTAGTAGAAATCTTTTTTTTTACTGATAGGTTTAATATTGTGTATGTTTGTATTTATAGTTGTATAACTTCTTTTTAACCCAATAATACTTTGGAGATTTTTTCATGTTGTCTCACACATAGATTGCTTCATTAAAAAATTAACTGTGATATACTAATCCATGATTTAGAAACTCGGTGGTTTTATTTATTAATTTCCCTATTAATAAGCACTTAGGTTTTCCTAATACGTATTTTGCTTTTACAAGTAACACTTCATACACACGCCTGTGTGTACAACTGAGTGTTTCTCGAGTGCATAGTGAACAAGTGCTGGGTCAGTGCAAATATGTGCTTAAAAACATACAGCCCTGACCTCTAACAGCAGTGTGCGATTATTATTTCTCTACATTTATGCTTCTGATCTGAGGGACTAGATTAGTATGCCATTGTTTTATTTTAAATGTTCTTGTTTTAAATGTTTATTAGTGCTGACAGCATTTGTCAACTACAAGGACTGAAAAATGGGCAATAAATCAAGTGAACTGCTTACTGTATCCTTTACCCATTTTTCTGTTAGGTTATTCATGTAATCATTCAATTATAGACTTCTTTAATATTCTCAGTGTTTATTTTTGATATCTGTTGGAAATATTTCTCCCACTTCTGATTTTCACAATTATATTTTTGTTGGCTTTTGTCACGTTCAGAAATATGACACAGTGAAATGTATCTAGATATTCCTTTTTATGTCCTTTTGTGACTTAGTCAAGATTTGACCTTCCAATTTCCTAAGACTTACCACCTATATATTGCTTTTTAAGGGTTTTTGTTGTCTTTATTTAACATGAGATCTGCCCTCTTAACAGATACTCACATGCACAGCACTGGTAACTGTAGGCACAGTGTCAGATGGCTGCCCTCTAGACCCGAATCATCGAGCATAGCTGAAACTTTGCACCCACCAAACAGCAGCTGCACTTTCCCTCTCTCCTGCCCCTGGCAACCACCATCTTCCTCTATGTATTGATGAGTTTGACTGTTGTAGATGCTTCATGTAAGTGGAATCATGTGCTATTTGCCCTTCTGTGACTAGCTTGCTCCACTTAGCATACTATCCTTCAGATTTGTCCATGGTGTAGGACATGGGAAGATTTCCTTCTGTTTAAAGGCTGGGTAATATTTCACTATGTGTGTACACAACACTTTCTTCATGCATTCAGCCATCTATGGGCATTTAGATTGGTTCTATATCTTGCTTTGCTCACGTGAATAATGCTACATTTTCTAATGGCTTTATAGCTTTATTTTTACATTTAATTCTTAAATACAATTGGATTTTGTGTATGTGAATAATGTGAGGTAAGAAATTAACTTGTACCTCAGAAAATGAATAATAATCTCAGCTCCATTTATTAAGTAGTCTATCTTGTTATCAATATTTTGAAATGCCGTCTTTATCATGGACTAAACTTCCACGTACAGTTGCTTTTATAGAAAAGGTTTTACCATGATGTTATACCTTCCCATAAATGTGGGTTTCTAAAATTCCAGAGCTCTTTGACCTATAAGGACATGGAGTATCATTTTCACTCTGCTGAGCTTAAACACAATCTTCAAAATGAAAGGCTAAGAAATCTCTATCATCGTTTTGCTTTTCACTGTCCCATTATATTCATAAGGTTATTCATTTCATCTTTTCCAAGCACTTACCAAGCTTAGTAACTTAGTAGAATATGAATCACACCTGAACACAAGCTTGTGTAACGGACACTCATGTCCACAAACAGGAAACCAGGAAGCTCACAGGTGCTCCGCTGATGCCCTTCTTTCCAACTGTGGGACCCGAGGACCAACGCCCTCCCAGCTTTAACTCGGCCTTACCTTGTTCTTGGACCTCACTGTTTCCCCTCTCATTTGGTATATTCCAAATTAACTTGAAGATCCCTAATGGTTAGTAGAAAGTCTAGCTAAACAGAGAAAGACATAAGGGAAAAGGTGAGAGAATCCATTTCACTCAGTTGAGAAACTAGGGCCGCTCTCCTGCCCTGAGTTGCTTGGGGCATCCACATGAACTGAGGTTCCCCTAGTTTGGATTGTGTTAAGTTTTGGTTTAGATTTTAAGGTTTAATGTTAATATAGCAAAGAACGGCTATATGAATAATAGAGTATATCTGGCAAACAAGTATTTTTTTAAGTAATTAGAGAATATATAGGACTTCACATTAGGGTTAATTGTTTATTTTGACTTAATTTTACTTTTGTGCCATTGGTCTCATCATAAGTAAAAGAACTGAGCCATTTTTATTTATTTATTTTTAGCCTCAAATTCCAATAATTCACATTTCATATACTTCAGGCCTTTCACTCACATCTGCTCATCAGATGCCATTTCAGTTGTATTCTTCTAGATTATACATGCACTCTTCTTTTATAATAAAATGTAGCAAATACATTGTATGTATGTGTATGTATATATATATATATATATATATATATATATATATATATATATATGACTGGTACCACACCAAAGTGCTCAGAACATGCTAGTTTTGTCTGAATTAAAGTTGCCAACAATGATATTGAGGTTCATTTAACAGGACAGGTAACAGTTATAATATAACTATTTTTCATTGTTATAGTGGATAAGATATATATCCACTTTCTAGGCTTGTTATCATCCCCTTCAGGTTTTGAGAGATCTGGCTGGGGAGTTGTGAGGATAAATGATATGAGAACGCTGCCCCTTCCACCCTAAGTTCTCCCAGAACCGTGTGTGGGCACAGAGGTGGCTTACTTCCTCAGCTTTTCTGCAAGCTGCAGCTGGCTGCTCTCCAGGTGCGCCACTCTCTCCTGGTTCAGCTTTAAATCGCTCTCCAGTTTGCACTTTTCCCTTTCACAGTTCATCCTTGCTTTTCTCTCCTGCTCAAGGGCACCCTCAAGCTGACAAAAGGAGATAATTATTTAGCTAAACAAATTGGTAAAGTTTATACTTCACTAGATGTGTTCATTAATTACTTACCTTCTGGAAAAATAAAAAAAAATAGAAGCACAGATTCTGTAAATGATGCCCAGCTATTTAATATTTATTAAATAAATATTGCATCCATGAATAGGATAACAAAAAAAATCTAGCAATCACAGTGATGGAAGAAAACTTTGGAGATTAAGGAATACACATTCTATTCTAAGGAAGGAACCAATGATGAATGGCTAGTGAGACCTTGTTTGGTCACTGTCCAGCGATGGGAAGCTCACTTCTTAATATGGCAGCTCATTTATGGGTGGGTATGTTCATTTATTCAGAATGCCTCTTCATAAAAAGCAAAGATATTCTTTGTAAATTCTTCCCAGAAGTCTAAGCTCTGGTCCCGGAAGCAATTCCAAGCAAACCTGTCTTGACCACTGTCCTAAATCTCCCAATTTGGTACTGACCCTTTCACACATGTCTCACATGGCATGATTCGTGTACATCCTTCACGCCCTGGGTGTTCTCTTCTCGTCCATAACATTATGCCATAGTCTGGTACCACACCAAAGTGCTCAGAACATGCTAGTTTTGTCTGAATTAAAGTTACCAACAATGATATTGAGGTTCATTTAACAGGACAGGTAACAGTTATAATATAACTATTTTTCATTGTTATGTTTATTTTTTAGTAATTGAAATTATTTCCTGCAAGGAGAAAACATATAAAACTTAAATGAGTGGAAGAGAGAGAATTCCTAGAAGCTTTATGCACCAAACTGAAAGTAGATGAACTCCAGAGGAAAAAAAGTACGTGACAGTAATCAGTCCTCACATAGATGCTTCGTGAGATGCATAGTCAGTGGAAATAGGAAGAGAAGTGAGACAACTAGTAGGTAATAGAAGAAACTAATAGAGAGGCTGGAGGAAAAAGCAGATGATAATAATAACAATAACAATAACAATAATAATAATAATAATAATAATAATAATAATAAACCCACCCCCCCCTTACCAGAAGTTTTATAAAGGCTAAGCTGTGGGGACTAATAAGAGAATGAATGCATATACTTTGTCAGCTGGGGATGGGAAAGAAAGAACAATGACACTATCCATTGAGGCTGGTCTGAAATAGAGTAACTTATATCATAGGAGGTTTAGAGGCAGAACACAGTACCATCTTTAGAATATTACAAGTACTTTCCAATATGTATGTAGAACACAGCTTGTGACTTACTTCTCTTTCAGCTAGAAATGAACCTCAGGTCACATTGAAGACATAACAAGGCCTTTAAATCAATCTTTCAACACTAGTGTCAAATAGAGTACCCACATATCTGTGGGGCAAAATACCAGCTTCTGTGGCAGAAAGTCAGCCACCTGGAGTGATAACGCTTTATGATTCATTCCGCTGTTCCCAGACTGCCCAGGGTTGTATGAAATTTGCATTTAAAAACTGACAGATTACATGCTGGGGTCACTCTATACTTTACTGGTTCAATGTACAGTAAGAAAAATAAAACACTACTTCTAATAAGGAGGGAAACAAATCATGTTACTAAATTTTCCTGAAACTGTCAAGATAAATTAACTAAATAAAAGTTATAGATTTGTACATATGTAGACAGCCAGCTAACCAGCTAGACATAGCCCTTCTTACCTCATTTACTTGCTGTTCCAATTTCAAGTTGGCTTTGCTCAGGTCACCGAGTTTCTCCTCCTCCGCGTGCAGGTCATCGAGGGTTTGCTGGTGGGCCTCCTGCACAACCTTCACTTCTCTGTTATGTTTGCTGATATCCTCACTTAGAGACTCCACTTCCTCAGTCAAGTTCTTGACCTGTGGGGAGAAGAAAGCAACAGCTTCGTTAGAGCTACCTCCAGAAGGCTGTGCGTAACTCTAAGCTGCTGTCACAAAGAACCAAATCTAGCCCAATTCCTGATATGCTTTTAAAAACTGTGAACCCACTTTTTCTTCCACAGACACAAAATGATGTTACCTGTCATGGTCTGGGTATTCTGGTCAATCAATTATTATCAATGTAGCTCAATGGATGGCCTGGTTTTAGCGTCACATTATTGTACAATAAGAACACCAGTTGTGGTAGACCCTCCTTTTGAGTATTCAGGGGGCACGGGTTAATCTGTTGTGCCTGAATATCACCCAAAAAATGGAAGTTAAAGAAGAGGTCCAGCTGATGAGATACACAAAAATGAAAGCTGGCAGTCTCAAGCCCGAGTGCTTCTGTGAAAGTGCACCAATGGCACAGAGTTGCTATTTAATCATTGGCCCAAATTAGAGTCATTCTGGAGACTAGTTATTTTTTAGAATCTGATATAGACTCTCCAGTTAACTTCAACACATACACAGAGGTGCAAGTTGAAACCTCCAACTGAAAAGGACAAAACAGCAAAGTCCATAACTGGAATTCAGGCGCATCCCAAGGTCAAACTACAACCCAATGACGGAGCTGGAGGTTCAGACACATCCCAAATCACCTACCAGAAAACTGCATCATGCTCACTTTCCTTCCAGAAAAAGGACACTTAGTGGCCCCAGGAAACCGTTCCACTCTTTCTATTAGACTTCAGATATAATAAAATTAGAACAAATGAAGATGTTTCACTCTGCTGATTTAGTGGGGTTGCACAAATCACATTGGAAATTTGAATTGGGACAGCAGTTCACCAGACCCTTCATTTTATGCCATTTCTGACTACTAGTGCTTCTCAAGTCTGCAGATCTCTGTGTTAGTTAATTTAAACAGAACAAGTCTGCCACCAAAGCCTGGTTGGGAGCGGCATTCAGGCATCTAGGCCTTCCTAACATTGTAGAAAAAGTACCTTCTGCTCTGTGGCACGCTTCTCCTTCTCTGACTTCGCCAACATTGTTTCCAGGTCATCGATTTCTTTCTTCAACTCAGAACATTCATCTTCCAGTTTCCGCCCCCTGGCAGTCAGCTCAGAATTTATCTCCTCTTCTTCCTCCACCCGTGCAGACAGTGCCTTGACTCTGGCCTCCAGCTGGATTTTGGATTTAATCAGCGACTCGCACTGCTCTTCAGCATTTGCCAGGGTCTCTTGCTCCTGCCATGATGAGGAGAAAATTGTTGCCAACAGCTGGAAGTAATTTATCAGCTAGGCGAAAATGCTGCTTAACACTAGCAAAGAGATAATTGCCTGCCCTCTGCCCAGCACTTTCACCTACCTTCTTTCCTAAGCAGCCGAAATAATATTCCCAGTTTCCCTGATTCTATTGTGCAGAAGTAGAAGAGTTGCTTGTGTTTGGAAGTGCTTTCGATCTTTCAAGCCATTCACTAGATTAGATTACCTCTTCTAAAGCACTTAATAGAATTCTGGTGGCCTGGAGGAGTGAACATGCCTCCAGAAGCCTGGGGAGTGCTGCTTAAATCACAGCGTCTGGAAGTATCCGCTCGGCACAGGCTTTGAGGTTGATACCTGCTCAGAATACAGGCTTTTAAGAAGCGATCCTCAGACAACAGAATATTTATAATAGTTATAAGAGCCCTGATGTACTTATTTAATATATAGGTATCTTCCAATAAAAAAATCCCTGAGCTATAGATATATTCACAGGCTGAAATCGGAATTCATAAGATTACATGCAAGTCAATGCCTAAATTCCACTATTTTCATCTAAAATCTTTTCCTCAGTGATTCTGCCAGCAGTAAATTCTGAAAGCTATACACATACATCATAAAATACTCTTTTTTCCCTTTCATCCTTTCAAATGTACTTTTCAGCTCTCACTATGGGTCAAGTGAAAATGAAGGAGCTGATTGCTTTTTGCTACAAAATCACTTTTTATCACTCTGAACCCCTCTAATTTATCTCTGTTAGAGGCTAAGTAAAACCTCCCCTTTGTGAGCAAATTCTTAATTACTGTAGGGCTCATGGTAAAATAACTTCACACACATCTCCATCTTCCATGTCTAGACCTTATTCATCCTCTGCAATATGTTAATTAGAGGCACTTTATTAACCATGTATCTATTTGTCTGGCTTAGGTAATTTCAGCTATTAAATCAAGAGCAGATAAAGGCAAAAATCCAGGCTATTTGTTTCTGGCTAATTACTGAAAAGAATGGCCCAAAAATGGGGCTCAAAGAAACACAGCTGGGGGATGTTGAATAGCAAATCCCCAATATCACTGAGGGCCCAAAGAGAAGGGTTAGATTAAAAACAAATAATAAGGTAACAGCAAGAAGGGTCCATGCATATCAGAGAATCTTCCGATGTTTGAGAAGGGCACAAAGGATTTTCATGCACCCCTGGGTAACAAGCATTTGCTCTGTCCTATTCAGAGCATGTAAAGGACCTGCCTCTTCAATTGGAATGAAGAGTCCAATTCCCCATCATCAGCCCCTGTATTAAACATGATGACAGGACTTGGGGCCCAGCTGAGCAATAGTGTAGCAGTTGAGCAGTAGAAATATCCTGTCCCCAGTGGCAATTCTTTTCTCACGTACTCACAAAGTTAATTGGAATGGGCTCTGAGTTCTGCTGGTATTCAGAGCGAGTGATTTTAAAAGATTCCTCATTTCCTTCATCCCTACTGTGTTGTGTCCCTTGAAAATAAGTGATGATAAAATATTTCATAGCTCTGTCAAGGTTTTTAATCACAGTTACAATGTGAACTCATCTCACACTTCCTGGGTTTGCTCTGGAATTGGCTTCTGCGTGTTTCCCATGCTCACCATGCTGATCTTTTATCATGTTTCCCAGGCTTTGAACCACCACCCCCTACACAAGTTGGGTCCATCTCTACTTCCCCTGTCAGCCTACGTAGCACCGGCCACCCTCTAGATCAGTAGGAAGAGTCGTGAAAACTGGGAGGCCAGGTCTCAGCCAAAGCTCTCTCTCCCAGAAGCCACATAACGTAAGACATTACAAACTGTGATTCTCACAGTATGGATCTCAAAGTAGGTTTCAAGGAGGGGTGGCAGGAATTTGTGTTTTTTAACAAGCTTTCAGGCTGACATATTCTAAACATTCTATATATTCTAAATTCTAGAATCACTGTTACTTAAATATGTGTGAGAAATGTGGTGTGAGTGTAAATTAGGGACAATACGGCCTACTGAAACACTGATGGATAGCACAGGTCCAAAATAAAAGGATAACTTGGGTGAGTCTAAAATTACTAAATTTTCTGTTTTCAGTACATTCAGAAACCAGGGAAAACGTTTATTTATATCATTACATTTGAGCCCAGTATCTTCTAACCTAGCACTGTTCTAAGTGAGGTGAAGAACATAACGAAGGTGGGTGAATCCTAGTGCTCCCTGTGGGCTGTTTGGGGCTGACAATCATCTAGGGAGAAGGAATAGGAAAGGAAGGGAGTAATGGCACCATTGATGGCCAATTGGAGACGGAAGCTCCAATGCCAGGGCAAGGATCTGGAGCCTACAATGCACATGTTGCAGAATCCAAAGCTTGTTCATCAGAGAAGCAACATCCTGTTTGTTTAAGACAATGGTCCTCAATTTTGACTGGATATCAGAATAACCAATACAGATTATTGAGATCCACACAGGGTCTGCTTAATAAAAATATCTGAGAGTGGGGTCTAGGCATCTTTCTCTTTATGTTAATGCTTCACAAATGATTGTGATGCAAATCCCAAGTTGAGAACTGTTGTATTTAAGAATGGAACTGATTAATAATGTTAATTTGGACTAGGAAATAAAGAAGTGAGGACAAAAATCAGGAAAACCAAGTAGGTGCATACTACAATAATTCGGAAGATCTAAAATCCTGTGTTTGATTTGTTAATGGGTCATGAGCTATATACAGAATTTAAATTAAGACCCAGAGCTTCCTGGCTGGATCCCATGATAGATGGCAGTGCTTTTATGTAATTAAAACCCATCTAATAGTTTGTCTCTTTTTCAAAGACATCCTGCCAGTAAAATCACTTCTCTATTGAAACAGTGTCTCTTTACATGTTTCCATTGTCTGTGTTTGATGAAATTCTATAATATTTGAAAAACGCATGCCTCTATTCTTTTCAAGTCAACACTATGTGCAAAACAGGGACTCTAATTAAAACTTGATTTGAAGAATGAATGGTGGGGCCACTCACAGCCTGCAGCTGAAGAACCAGGTCATTCTTCTCCCAGATGAGGGAGACTTGCTTTGCTTTCAGTTCCTCCCTCTGAGATTCTGATTTCTCCAAGGCCTTTTGCAGTTGCACGCACTCTTCCTTCAGTCCAGCTACCTCCTTCGCCATCCCAGTAGATTTAACAAGAGGCTTAATCTTGTAGAAGAGTCTCATCCAGAGCCAGTTCTGCACAGTCATAAAAGCTCTTATGTTCCACTGGATCAAAAGAAGTGCATCCCTAAATCAAGGAGGAAAAAGGAGAAACAAGTTAACCCAGACTATGACAGAGTTGTTTTCCAAATTAAAATTCTTAATAAGCACATCTTTTTAGGAGTCATTATATATTGTCATTCATCTTCGAAGCTCTTTTACATCTGGGCTCTCATTTAATTCTGGCAAAGCCCTTTGTGGGACTTCTGGGGCCAGTGATATTGTGGGCTAGATATCCTAAAAACGTTCCTGTCACAAATAGCCTTTAAATGCAAGCAGAGCCTGAGAAGTGTGAGAAATAAAGAAGGAGCTGAACACCTGACCAGTAAGTAAATGCATGTGCAGCTTGGCCATCTTCATGGAAGAAGGAAGCCGGTCTTAGTATTTTAGGGGTTTGTAGTTTTATATCCACTTGGATAAAGAGACAGGCTGAGACCTTCAAGGTCTCTTCACCCTTAATGAAGAGGAAGGTTAAAAATTCACTACCAGCACAGAGAAATGTCAAAGAGAAGTACATCTGATTTGGTCTGAACTCAGAGTGAAGAAAAAAAAAATCCTATTCTAAGAATTTTTTTAAATCATAGGCTACCACTCTGAAATGTCTGAGGTTTAAATTATACTACCTGATTGATGTAGAAATATGCAAGCAATTAGCATGATAATTTTTTTACACTGGTAATAAATACCATATGGATCCTTGGGGGAAGACAACACAAAATATTACTGAAGAAAACGCCCTAATGTCAAGCATCAGAGATTCTCTTAGATCCAGCTCTTGAAGATGAACTTACAATTCAAAATTATGAAATACATATTTTTAAAAAATCAACCACCAGTGAGGGTGAGCACCTACAATAAAAGGTTTGATTAAATCCCCAAGAATTTATATAATTGAACAACATTTTGGATAGCATAAAATAATTATTAAAATTATTAAAGGCATAAAGAAAAAAAAAACAAGAAAGAAATGAGCCACTATAATAAAAGGGCAGACGGATTTGAAAGAGGAACAAATAATATGTCTAAAATTGAAAAGCATAGTTATTGAAATCAAACACTCAGTGGAATAATTAAGCAGATGTATAGATCACTAGAAAAAAATGTGAATTAAGAAAAGAATAAACTCAAAGGAAATGGAAGGAAAGAATAAAGATGAGGTCAGAAATTAATTAACTAGAAAAAATGAAGAAATTTTTAAAAGATGATTTATTAAATAGGCTAAATAAATATCTGACATGAAAAATCAAAAAGAAAACACAAATAAATAATACTAGGAAAGGTGATATTCTAGAAATACAATCTAGGAATGTGCTCTAAAAACAATAATAGATATAATAGGGAATTAAAAATACACCTAGCAAATTGGAAAATTTAAAAGAAACATGATTTTTTTAAAAAAAAGATATATAAACTGATTCAAAAAGGAAGAAACATCAATAGGCCTGTAACTATTAAATAAATTGAATCAAAGTTATAAAATATATCATGAAAGAAATACCAGATCTTGATAGTTTTATAGGTAAATTTTACCAAATGTTCAAGGAATAAAATAAGCACAATAAATTGCTCAGGTTTTGAAATGATGAAACATTCCTTAACTCTTTTATTAGGTCAAGGTGACCTTGATCCAAATTCAGGTAACCCAGCAGGAGAAAAGACAATTATAGGAGAAACCTATTCATCAACACTGATGCAAAAATCCTCATGATAATACTATGTGTTATGAAAAAGAATATTTCATAAACAAAACAGGTTTAGCATTTTAAAAATCTATTAATATAATTTAATAAATTTATAGGTAAGTGGGAAAAAACATATGATTATTTCAATAGATTAAAAAAAGGATTTAACTATTTTCCTAGTAAAAATGGTTCGCAAAATAAGATGAAAGAAATGTCCTCCACAAAATGTCACATCTACAAAAACAAACAAACACACCCCCCAAAATTAAAAACCCTACAGAAAATATCATTTCAGGGAAATAATTGCTTCCCCCAAAGTCAGAAATATGGTAGCTTGCAAAAGTTTTTGAAGTCTGAAATACCACAAAATGATGAACATATAGAATAGGACTTCCATACATTTTTCTTTTTAAAAAAGGTTTTATTTATTAATTGAGAGAGGGACCAGGAGGGAGAATTAAGAGAAACATTGATGTAAGAGAAAAATTGCCTCTTACACACCCTGACCAAGGACTGAGCCAGCACCCCAGGCATGTGTCCTGACTGGGAATTGAACTGGTGACCCTCTGCTTTGGGGGATGATACCCAACCAACTGATCCGTACTGATCACACACTTCTGATGAATAGTAAGTTAGAAAGCATGTTGGCAATATCTCATGAAGTTGAATTGTATGCAGCTTAAAACCTAATAATTCATACCATGCAGAAATGCCACTCAAAGTGTGGGCCTCAGCCAGCTGCCATCCGCAGACTATTAGCATGGACCAGCATTTTGAGTAACAGTATCCTCAGAAAACTACTGCATATGTTCAAGGGGGCACATTTATAAAGATATCACTGCAGAACTGTTGATAATAGCAAAAAATCATAAATGACTGGAATTTACTTGAACTGGAAATGAATAAATTGTGGTATATTTGGGTAATAAATACAACATGGTAGTTAAAATAAAAAATCTAGCACTACTTTTATCAACATTAATAAAATTCAAAACTAGTACCATCTATTAAAAACAAACTTTAGTATAATACATACAGAATACTATTTATATGAAAACTAAAAACATGAAAATTGTGTCACCTTTTAAAGATATCTTCATGTCTACATGTCTTCATATCTTTACAAAACTTGAATAAAGAGAGAAATATGAAAGGGGCTTTCCTCTGTTAATTATTTTTTAAGGTTGTGAGCAATTACAGGAAAAAATGTTAACAATTGATATTCATTGGTAATAGATCCACAAGTACATATTACAATATTTTCAGTGTGTTTGAAATAGGTCATAATAGTTTTGTAAAAGTCATCCTATGATTTGGAAAGAATGGATAGTAAAGACTTTATTGTAGCAACAAAGAAAGTGAGCTATGGAGAAATTAAGAGTCTTACTCAATTTCATGCAATTGGACCCAGAAGCCATGTCCCCTGATCCCACATTCCCATAAACTTCCATACCACACTGAGACTGTACGAGGGTCATAGGAGACTCTTAAAAGATGTATCTCTAATACTGCTGACCTCACCATGTAACATTTGGGTTAACAGAAGGACTTAACAGGTTGTTAATTAAGTAAATTATACCAACACTATAGTTTACATGTCTCCAGAATGTATACTATGCTACAGAAAAAGCAAATGCAGCAACTGCAGAATCCCTTGCTCACAGTTCCACTATTTGGAGATTTTTCTAGATTGATTTCCATGAGTCCATTAAAGATTAGAAAAAACCTACACCTAAGTGTCCAAATGTGGTGATAAATGTTCCTAGTGAACCTGCCTGAAACAAATTAAGAGAGTTATGGTTACATGTCACCAAGAGGTGCATGTTTTCCTATCCGGGGGAGGTTGTACAGTGGATGAAATGCTTCCCCACAGAGATGGCCGTAGGGTGCCTATTGAACCCTTCCAGGTCTGCTGCTGTTACAGCTTGTGAATTATGCTACCCTCAGAGATCCAGGCTTCCCTGACTATAAGGAATCCCTCCAAAGGGAAGGCTACAAGAGATACAAGAAATATCTGAATTATGCTTATACTTGGTTGGATAAGGCAATACAAGACCTTTGTGCTGTGTTTCGTGTTCCACAATTTAAAAAATCGTGGAACTTTAAAAAACTTTAAAGTTCAGTCTGAGCCTAAGCAGAGGAGGCAGCTCTTTCCTGGACCTGGTATAAGGCAATGAGATAAAATCGCACTGACTGAGGCCCGTTGTCTCCCTAGCAGTACAGATGCAGGGGAGGGGTGGCATACATACTTCTCTTCCAGAATCCTCTGGAATTTGATTCGCATCAGTGTGCCCCTCATTCTGGCTTGGAACAATGTAAAGACTTTAGATAGCCTTTCACCCTTCATTGCTTCCAGTTGGCCTAAAAAGCCAGCTTTTAAAAACACCTAAAAGAGATAAGTCAGATGTTAGTTCCACTTACAATGTGTATTCAGTAAATGTCTGTTGAGTTACCTTAACAGCGACTGATGTATTCATTTTTTTCAGTTCCATTTCTTGAATTTTATTTCATGTCTAAAATGCATGTGTTTAGAATGACTGGTTTTTATAAACATTAAGTTTGCAAAAAAATTTATCTTATCCTGTGTTTATATTGGTTCCTTAAGAACTGTGTTTATATAAGGTTCCTCCCCTCACTTATTAATAATGGCTATGTTACCCAGGGAACTTTAAGTTATATAGGACCAGGCAGGCCATTCTCTAAAGTGCCAGGCAAGGTTCTACAAATTTTTCTGTAAATGGTGAGAATGTAAATACTTTAGGCTTTGTAGTCCACATAGATTCTCTATAGAATATTCTTCTTCTTTTTAAAAATCATCCCTTAAAAATGTAAGACCTTTTTTAGCAATTGAACCATATAAAAAAATAGACCATAGAAATGGCCCTTAGTCCATAGTTTGTTGACCCCTACTCAAGAGAAAGGCACTTCTATCCTAGGTATTAAAGAATTCACATAAAATTTTTGTGGCAAATCTTTAGTAATGGACAAGATGAGGTGAATGAAGTACCTAAGGCATAAATATTAAGGAGACCATCACTTTTGGTGTTGTACATGTCAGCACTTGTATAACCCTACCAGTGAGCTCCTCCTTAAATTTTGTGACCTAAGAGGCTCCCTCACCTCATGTAGATGAGTAGTATACAGCAAATAATAATAATAATAATAATAATAATAATAATAAAATAACTAAACACACAAGGAAGCAAAGCACCAGAAGAGAAAATCAGCAGAAACAATGAACAGCAGAACCGGACTCTCAGGTACTCAAAACATGGGAATTATATAACATTTTACAATTACGTCCCACAGAGTTCTTTTCCTATGAGCTCTTACATCTAGGCCCTCCAGTTGTCTTTCAAAGAATATGGTCCTGACATGGGTATCACTAGGAGCAGCATGATGTTGACTATCAGATAAAACCAAATCTCTCAGTTAGAAGTTTCCCAAAATATGTGGATCATCTCAGATAAAGCAGAATTTAGTAAATCACATTTAATGAAGTTCACTTAGTATTAACTTTTTGGATAATGGAGTTGACCTTAAAGTTTTTCATTATTCATATAGTCTTCTAGAATTCCCTAAAACAGTCATTATGGATTCACCAGTTTAGACACAAACCAACAGTTATGCATACCATTGATTCATTCACCCTTTTCTAGCTCTGATATGTATACACAGTTGATTTGGTATATCTTGGCACAAACTGGCTTAGATTAATAACTATAAAAAATGTGAATGTAGCCCTGGCTGGTGTAGCTCAGTGGATTGAGCGCGGGCCTAGGAACCAAGCAACCACGGTTCGATTCCAAGTCAGGGCACATGCCTGGGTTGCAGGCCAGTTCTCTCCCTCTCTCCTTTCTTTCCCCTCTAAAGATAAATAAATAAAATCTTTAAAAAAAATGTGAATGTAGTCAAGACTGAGATTTAAGAAACCGAATTTTCTCCCAAGTAGCATGGAAATTTCCACTTTTTCCTGCTCTCTATTTGTATCATTTGTGGTCACAAGAGCTACAGAATGCCTCGAAGTTGAACTTTCATGGGTATTTTAAGATGCACGTCTCTCCTCCCACTCTTCTTCAGATGCACTCTTGGTAGTGTTCTGGTTACCTTGGTCATTCCCAAGTGGTACTGAGTATGGTCTATCTCCAAGGAGCCAAGTAATTCTTCAGCTGCTTTTCTGCTGCTTATAAACTTGTTCTTTGGAAAGGCCTTTGCGTTCAGAATGCAGTACCTAATTTAAAACAGGTAGAGAATAAATTCTGGGAGCAGGAGGACATATGACACAAATGAAGAATAATCTGGACAAGTAAGCTGAAAAGAAGTACAGACTTTCTATCTCCTACCAACATGTTCAATTTTCATGAAACTCCTGGCAATAAGTCACAAGGGTATAAGCAATAACCCCTTACTTTGGTACAATAGTTAGTATTTTTCATCATATTTAAAAGACAAGCTCATTTGACTCTCTGTTCAATTAGGGAGAGAAGGAGAGTATGGGAAGACAAAAAGAGAAAGGGGCAGGTTTACATGTCTCTATTGTACAGATAAAAAAAATGAAAAGCAGAGACAAATTCCAAGAAATCTTCACCCTAATGGTAAGTTGGTAGAGACCCAGAAAAATGCCTTTTAATTCTGAGACAGGTACCCTGTCTACACTGCCATAATTTGCTTAAGTTTGCTTGATGACCTATAATTTACACTTTTAGAATTTGGGAAACAGACCTCAAAGATGCCTCTCCTGCTTCCTGCTACACACCCTGCTGGCTTCCTTCCTTTCACACGTTTGCTGGGGAAGAAATAGTCTGCCTGGATGGCAGCTACAATTAAGTATACACAACGTTTCAGAGATTCAATTCAGCCTCCATATCTTTCTGCTGTATATATTTCTTCTATATGTGGCGCTATTATCCATTAGTAGAGATATGAGGATATTGCAGCTACATGGATGTGGGATTTAAAGGGAAATAATAATGAAACCCTGTCATCATCTATCTCCCCACCACCAAAACACAGTGATCTGTAGTCTGGAGGACCTCAACCGAACAAACAACACATGGCTGAGCTCTCGGAATGAGAGGGAAACAGAATAGACTGCCTCAGGCTTTTTGGATCCTGGGGTGTACGTTTACCTTTGTTTAAAGTCAGCATACGGCAGTCGGTTTGGAAAACCTTCACGGCATATCCTAGCCCCTTCCAAGACACCATTACAGCGCAGCTGCTGCAGAACTAAGTAAGGGTCCATTACACCTGCAGAAAAAGGAGCCAAGTTGAGTCTGTATCTAAAAACATTATACCCAAGACTTTGTCCTAATTGCTGCATCTTAGGTACAAAGAGTTTTGTGTTCTCTGTAGGATAGGTAATGAATAGCTCACCCACTCCTGGACTGATGGTACTTACAGTACCCATCCTGTCTTGTGAGAGTCTCCAAATAGGATTTACCTAAAATTCCTTTAACATGGAAAGAACCCTTTAGCTTGCAGTTAGGCAAGATTTTATAAGCAAATAGTCCTGGAAGATGAAAAAGAATACATTTTCACTAGAATGTAAATGGCTGTTCCCACATCTACTCACCAGCCAAAAAACAGCTAGAGAGAGAAATAAGAATTCAAAAGGAAACAGATCTCTCCAAGTAGGACAAAGGGATTACAAGAAGGGGGAATAAAAAAAAAGAAGAAAATGGCACAACAAAATCCCATTTCCCATTTTGACTTAGAAAGGACTTGGCTACATTCCAGCCTACATTCAGCATCTAAGTTTTATTCTATAGAATAAGCATATCACCTCATTCATCAAAAGAAGCACCTCGAGAGCTGCAGTCTCAGACAGAAAGTTTTGAAAAACCACCAAAGGAGCCACTGTATCTGGCTCTCAGCAAGTCTTCTGGAAGAAGCCAAGCAGCCCTCCTCCAAACACAAAGCCCTCCCATAGCATTATAAGAAAAATGGGGATGGGATGTCTGTCTATGCGCCAGGTCACAGTAAACAAATAAAAGCCATGTACCAATATTCCTGTCCTCCCATCCAGTTTGCAGACAGAAACAGATAATCCATGAGAAGTGGCAAAAGGTGCCTATGACACCTTAAAACAAGCACACTCACCTCTTTTAAGTGCAGGTGAAAAGCTGTTTTGAGTAGATCATGAAGATTTTCTTATAACTTTGTCTTATGACTTAAAAAAAGAAGAAAAAACAAAAAAAAAGCCCTGCTGAAATTAGAGCTGACTCAATGGGAGGCCACTCTAATAGGTAACAGAATGACTACAAAATCGAGACAGCTAATTAGATTCCTTGCTAGATGGAAGCAATGTCCCCAGATGCATTCAGGAACCCAGGAGATAGGAAACAATGAGGCAAAAACAGCCAGTGTGAATGAACATCAAGTGTTCACATTGCAAAAACTCAAACTGCGCATCATTGTTTAGCATCACACTTTCCAAAAATAGGTTACAGACTGTCAGGATTGGTGTCTTAATTACAGAAGGTTAATAAAAATGCAAAATACTACAGAACCTTAGAAATCAGAATGAGCAACATCTGGCTACATATTCCAAGGGCGATTAGTGCTCTGAAGACATAAGTGTTTGTCAAATACACAACTTTGAGGCTGACAGCCTCTGGCCTAACTCCATAGAATCCTGTAATTCTAAAGACAAGCCTGGGAATATCCAACCCCACAGTTTAAGAAAGGCAATCTATGTAGTTAATAACTGTAAAAACTTTGTTTTGGCAATTAATAACATTAAAAAAATAATTCATCACCACCCATCTTATTCCATCATCCTCCTACCACCATTTACTAATCAAAGAGGATCCAATATAATAAGCTAAGCCATGTGAACAATCTAAGTATCCATCTACAAATGAATGGGTTAAAAAGTTGTAGTATATATATTCAGTGGAATATTACTTAGCCATAAAAAGGAGGAAATCCTGCCATATGTGACAACATGCATGAAACTTGAGGGCACTGTGCTAAGTGAAATAAGTCAGACAAAGACAGACAAATACCATATGATTTCACTTATATGTGTAATCTTAAAAAAAGAAGAAAAATCCCAACCTCTTGGAAAAAGAGAGATCAGGTTTGTAATTACTATAGTGGGGGATGGGGAGATGAAAAATTGGATGAAGGTGGTTAAAAAGCACAAACTTCCAGTTGCAAGATAAATAATACTAGGGATGCACGTACGACATGATGACAATAGTAAACACTGCTTTTGGAGTGTGTGTGTGTGTGTGTGTGTGAGAGAGAGAGAGAGAGAGAGAGAGCAATTCCTAAGAGTTCTCATCACAAAGAAATTTTTTTTATATCTATATGAGATGATGGATATTAACTAAGCTTGTGGTAATCATTTCACATATAGATAAGTCAAATCATTATGCTATACACCTTAAGCTTCTATAGTACTGTATGTAAATAATATCTCAATAAAAGTAGAAAAAGTTTAGAAAGGTGTGGGGAGGCTCCACCCACAGCCCCCCCCCCCAGCCACCAAAGATGAGAATAAGTCTACCAAGACATGATCTGCTTAGGGAGGAAAGGTGGCTGATCTCTCAAAGGAGAAGGACCAGGAGCCCTTTTCTCAATGGGATTTTATTAGGTTCAATTTGCACAGGAATACAGGGTGCATACATAAAGCTCATCAATCATTGTCAGGCAGTAAGGATCAAACAATAGTTAACATACAGAGAACTACAAGCACTTATTCTGAGTCAGGGTCAGTTAGCTAAAGCGCTATAAAACTTTAGAAAACAACCTCATTTCCTCCTCGGACTCTTATCAGAAAATTGAGAGCATTCTTAGCAAAGCAGGTTTCACAAGATTTTATGTATTTTTTCTTAGGCCTGATCATCCCCTCAGGAAACTGTGCATTCCTGCCTAGATCTGCACCCACTTCCAGCATTGTTTCAGGCTTAGGTTTAGCAGGGGATGTAAGGCAGCCAAGAGATTGGAGACTTCTTGCAGACAGAATGAGGACTCAGGCTATGTCAAAGCTGAGGGCTAAGGGTCCATCACCCCCTTTTTCCATAGATCCCAAGTCCTTCCCTGATGGCCCCCTGTAACCATGCCTGTCTTAGGTCTTCCTTCCCTTGAGGAATCTTACCCATCACAGGCTAACCAGTCATGTACTGGGGGCCAAGCAGGGTGAAGTAAAGGGGTCAAAGGCTAGCCCCTGCAAGGGAGATAAGCTTTGTCTCCTCAGTGGCTTATGGTCCCAAGGTCTTTTTACTCAGCCTTAGACATTGGGGGGTTACGGCTTCTGAAACCAGGCAGGGAAGTTCCCAACAGAAACGTACCCATGACCCAGAAGTATACTATTAAGGAGAAAGACTAGAGGAAGTTCTTAATAATTAGAAATGAATTTAGAAACTGTCTTTATGGCCAATTTAGATGACTGAGACCAAATAATGTCCTTTATGCTTATATATCTATCTTAATCCCCAATTGATGATTCAATCCTTTTTATTCTGCTTTGCTCTTATAGACAATGACATAGAATCTCATCCACATATTACATGAAATTCAAAGAGGACTTTAAATTGTGACATCAAGCATTCTAAGGTTACCCAATTGAGCCTGCTTTGTGAAATCCTTCTGTATATCCACTTGAATCCCAATTCAAAGGCAACCTTGGGGAAGTTCTAAAGATCTCACTTTTAACTTACTTTAATTTTTCTATCTGAAAATCTACTCTTACGTAAAGGGGACCGGTAAATGTCTCTTAAAGAGACATTCAATATGGCTTGAATTAATCATATGCCCGGGTGTGGATTACAAAGAAGTCCAATTCTTACCTGGCATTTTGTTTACATTGGGATTTATGCATCTCACAAAATGGGGTGCTGTTGACTTCAGATTAATCATCAATTTATTTAGGTTTTCCTAAAATGGAGACCATAACAAACACAAAATTACTTTGGAAACCACTAAAAACATTCATTCCCTCACAAGTGTCTCCAAGTCCATCAACTTCATCTTAAATCCAACATGCATACACCAACAATAACTTAATAATTTCAAGATTCTTTTTTGCTTACCAAACATACATGATTTCTTTCTTATGCCAAGCAGTTCTTTATCTGACATAGTTCTATTATAAATCACCTCTACCTGTTTTGAATTTAATAGCAATAATTTATGGCTAGGCAATAAGTGGCTTGAAGAAAGAATCTGTTTCTCAAGTTTTCTGACTGGAAAATATTAATCTTTGGTCAGATTCTCTGGAAGCAAAATCTGAGAGAGAGAATGAGGGAAGCAGGGTAGGGCAGGGGTGGGGTGGCAGGGGGAGGAAAGCAATGGTATAGATTCTGCTTAGTCTGATCCCTGCAGGAATGCTGAGCACAAATGCACCAATTGCATCACAGTTAGTCCCACCTTGAGGCAAGAGAGGGGCCACAGTCTGGAGTTGAGGGTAGGGAGGCAGCTTAACTTCCCCATTTGGCCAAGGGCAATTATGGAAACTATGAGTTATGAACCAATATTTTCATTAAAGCCAACAGTGTCCTCTAAAGCCCAGTAATACCAAGATAAACATCAACTATTCCAACTCCAGATATTTTATTCTTATTTGAAGATGTAAAATTTCAAATAAGTAATAACCTATGCATATTGTAAGGCAGTTAATATACAGCTAGATGCAATTAAAAATTACTTTATACAGAGATGCAACTGTTCGGAATGAAGCTCCCTTCTTGCGTTTATTCTCCCCAAACTGTAGAGCTAAAAAGAGAAAAAAAATTAAAAAGCTTTTTTGTCACATTACCAAACCCTGCTGATGAAGGCATGTATTCATCAAAGTTCTAGAAACAATGTGGCAATATCTACAAAAGCTTTAAAAATGCTTATGTCTCAACACAAAAATGTCCATTTCTAGTGCTTTGCCTTAAGAAAATAATCAAGCAACTATGTAAAAACACTCATTGCAACTATTTTTAGTCATTACAAAAATAAGCAAAAAATAAAATCATCAATAAATGTCCATCAATAGTAAGTTGGTTAGTTAAATTATGAAAGAATAGTCATACATGAAATGATATGACTTTTTGAAATGATGGTATGGATTCATATAACTGGCATGGAAAGATTTGTAGGATTTATTTTAAGAGAAAAAGTTGATTACAAAACAGTTTGTATATTATGATCCTGAATGTATGCACATGTTTGTAATTGCAGTTGCATTGTGGGTGACTACATACATTAAAAATGTTGGGAGGCGTATATACCAAGTGTTAGGGGTTGTTAAGGAGCTTATGTGAGATTATAGGTAATTTTTATGTTCCTCTTTTTAATTTCTCTATACTGTTTATGTTTTTGGCAACACTCATACACTACTTTCATAATTTATAAAAAACAATCTATTTCCATTTTTTTGAAGCAAAGGAATTCATGCTAAGCCAGTTAATTGTTCTACAAACATCTGTGTAGAGCTAACTCACAAATATATACAACAACAAAATCCATAGGCAATCTGGGGGAAAAGGGCTAGATATCAGTACCGAAAACTAATAAAATATCCCCTCTGCCTGAGTAGCGCTGTTTGAGACGGATGTCATAAAGTTTGATCATGAATGTCCTACTGACATGACCCAGGCCCTCAAAAGGAATCACTGGACTTATTTGTACTTCAGTTTCTCTACACATAAAAAAGAAATATACTACCTTCCTTTTTAAAAAAAATTATAACTGATTTAAAATACTTGGATACCCCAGAAGAAAGTGTGGTTAATATAGGTAACTCGATGTTTAGATGAGGCAGAAACTTGGAGGTAAGTATCTTCAGGGGTTGTTTAAAGAATTATGAAAAAGGACATTCTGCACAATTCTTTCCCATTTCCAAAGAACACAGACCACACCCTGAAGAGTTAGAAGATGATTTCCTCTCTAATTCTTTGCCCAAACCACTCTCTGATTTCTTATGATCAGAGAATTACTCATCTGGGAGCCATAAGCGACATGACCACTATCTAAGAGACTCCTCAGAGCCACTCAAGAAGCTGTTAGAATCAGGCAAATGCATTGCCTGAAGATGATCAGGGTCCAAACACAATAGCTTCCATTTCTAACTCCTCCTGAGAGCAGCCAACAGGATTTCAGGCATGCTCCTGAGTTATGTCCTCACGTGCTGATACAGCCAGGAAGAGCTAAGTTTTCTCTCCTTTCCCTGACCGTGTTTATCTGGAGTCCTGAGTCATTCTACAGGAGCCAGGAGTTAACCTGAAGCTGGGTATAAGATAATAGAATGAGATCTTAGGAGGCTGAGTACACACCCCACTTACAGAAGAGCTGGTATTCTGTCCCACTGCATGAACATATCTGACCAAGGTGACCAGATTTTCCCATAATTCCAACTTTTTTAAAGAAAAAGGGAAACCAAATGTGTATGTGAAATCTTCTGATTATTTTTTAATCACAACCATGTTTGAAGGCCAGGTTCTGCTCAGGGGCTGCCTGAGCATCTGTGACTTTTGCTGTGAATCATTGGAGCTTCCCTCTGTAGCTAGCCTAGCATTATTTGTACTCTAGTTTCTCTACACATGAAAAGGAAATATACTACCTTCCTTTTTAAAAAAATTATAACTGATTTCTCTCACTCAGGACATTCTACACAATTCTTGATTTGTGCAGAATGTAAGGCCAACATTAGCAACTTAGACTCAGTATTTTCAAATCCTTTATATCATGGTGCAGAAGTCTGAACTGTATCCTAAACACATGAAGACTGTCCATCTCTCTGTTTTGTTCATTTATGGGAGAGATTGAGAGTGGAAGAGGCACCAGGCTAGGAAGTGAAAGTCCTGCTTCCTACCTTGGCTTTGCCACTTAGTAGATTTCTTAAACCAGGGATGCTATCTAACTCTTCTGTATTTGTTCTTGTAAGACAGGGAGAGGTTTCCTCTACATGTATCTGAAAGGGTCATGGCAAGGATTGAGTAAGATAATATATCTAAAAGTGCTTTGTAAATTACAAACTGCTAAACGTGATCAGTTATTAGTTGATCAATAAATATTTATGGAGTACCTGCTAAACAGGCATTTGCTACATGCTTGAGGCTACAGTTGAAAAAATCAGACATAATCCCTGTCATCATGAAGCTTTGAATAGCCCCCAAGTTACTATAAAAGCACTGGGAAGGAGAATTCCAAGATATTTCTGGAATATCTATGAAAGGGACTTGTTATTTCCCCCAAATCATTTATCAAAACATGGATTGCTGCTCTTTTTGCAGCTGGCTCCAGCAGGGAGGAAAAAAGGCAGGCCAGATAGATCTGGCTTTGAGCACCATTTTCCTGAGGGGAACTGCCAGCTTGAGGACAGAAAGGCCAATGTGAGGGGACCACTCACACCACAGGGACCAGACACAGATATCACCAGAAAGAAGCAAAAATTGGTATACATACTGAGGCAGCCATGGGTTCCATTCTGAGGCTGAAAAATGAGGGAAGATGGTCTGACTCACCACTGTTGGTATCGACGTAATTTTCAAAAAGGTTTGCCAAGAGTCTGTTAGATGACTTCCGAAATGTAGCCACCACTGTTTCATTAAGAAGGTCTTTGTTTTTGTCAAGCCAGCCACTGATGTTATAAGGCACCTTTGGAAAGATATGAAGGTCAAGGAACAAAAGAGGAGAATGTGTAAATTAACGTGGCAAGATGGCATTCTTTAAAAAAATATCACAAATTGTGTGGATCTTTTAACTTTAGTTTGATGTAACAGCACTGAATAATATTCCTGGTAATCCAGTGTGCTACCCAAAGAGATTCTCAGGCTTTACCACTTGCCTTGCAGAAGAAAGGAAGAGAAAGGGAGAGAAGAAAGGGAAGAGAGGAAGGGGAGGAAAGTTGGAGGGAGGGAGAGGGAGGAAGAAATGGATGGTATTTCCAGTAGAAACAATTCATATCTTCATAGGAAAGACTAGATGAAATAATGCAAGTGTCTTTGACACACAGTGAGCACTCAAAAAAAAAACCACTGGCAATTATAATGTTAGTTTGCTGTAAATATTATTATAATCGGTGTTCAAAGATATTATAGAAGAGAATTACAAGCATAACTCTACAGTTGACTGGTTGTTTTTAGATTGAAGTATCATTTTAGCCTTTATCAGTTCTCTTTCAGTTCCATCCAGAATTACTGACCAGAAATATAAAGGCAGAAAAAAAGGGGGCACATATATGCACACGCATCCCCAGTGGGGAAATGAGAAGAGGCAGTGAAGGTCATTAGAGACCTTTGTTGGCCATAGGTTGAAGACCGTTACTTCATAGTGACTGTTTCTTTATGAGAGAATAAAAAAACTTCAATAAAAAGATCAGTTGAAATCACTCACTCATACAATGTTAAGTTGAAAGGAAGGAAAAATAAGAAAAAACCCATTACTTTGATAGTCTCCATGACTCTGAAGCTGTCTTACTTTGAGTTGGGGCAACAGAGTCTATTTTGAGATTTTTGACCTCTGTGCACATGGAATACTATTATAGTACAGGTATTTCATTTCCTAAGTGCTAAAAGGCTGAACCAACATTTTTCTGACACTGAGGTTTATTTTGTTCATCTCTTCATTTAATCTAAACTTTTCTTATGTATTACCTAAGGACTTTGGCTGAGTGCATTTGGAACAGTCAGGGCTGAAGGTCTAAAGGTGGCTTACCACTCCTGCATAATGGACAAGTTCAAAGTGAGCTTCATATTTCTTCTTCTTATCAGGCCTGGGCCTCTGGAAATGAACTGACTTTCCAAAATGGTTGTCAAAAAGTTTGGTCTTGAAGGTCACATCTGCAGCCTGAGGAAACATACATTCCTCTTCAAGGATAAAAAAGATGCCCATTGGCTGTTGGAGATACATAGAAATAGCAGATGAAAACACCAGGAAATAATACTTGCTGTAAGAGGTTAGTGTAAATTCTTCCCCAGAAATGTAATCAGTTGACAAGGGGAAGGAATATTCACTACATACAAGTAGCCAATCATCCATTCAACTGATAGTTATTATTAAATACCTATCGGGACCAGGCACCAGTAGGAGCTGGCCACGAATCACATAGACAAAACGCCTTTCCCCATGGTGCTCACATTCTAGTGGAGCAAACAGACAAGACAAGTAAACAAAAGAAAAAAATAAGTGACTTAATTTCACATAAGTGCTTGGAAGATATGCAAAGTAAAGAGGCAGAGAATGACTGGGGGGCTGAGTGGGAGCAATTTTAGCAGAATGGGGTAGTAGGATAAAGCCCTGTGCCCTGAATGAGAGTGCAGTCCTGGGATGATCTGCACAGCATTCTGGGCAGAGCTCTCAGGCAGTGAGTGGCACATGTGGCAAGTATGTGGTCCTGCCAGAGTGGAGTGTGGACAGAGCAAAGCCTGTCCACACGGAGCATGTGGTTACAAGATAAAGTCAGAAAGGTAAGGAGTTTTGGATCCCAGAGGTCTTATGGACCATGGTAAGACATTTGGATTTTATTTGAAGTGTGATAGGAGGCATATGGTAATTTTTAATATGGAGTGATATGATTTGATTTATGCTTGAAAAGGGTTATATGTTTAGAAGGGGGTTGGTGAAGCAGAGCCCATGGGCCAAATCTTGGATGTGGCCTGTATTGTAAAGCCAGTGAGTTAATAATGGTTTTTACTTTTTTTTGTTGGTTTTTACATTTTTAAATAATTATAAAAACAAAAATAGGATATGTGTTAGAAAACCTGATGATCCCATTCAACAGACTCTCTCTCAAAAGGGCTGCATATTGTAGTAAATATTTTACATTTTGTGGGCCATATAGTTTTTTTGCACCTCTGCCAGCAACTCAACCCTTTCAGCCCTGAAGGAACAACTGACAATATGTAAATAAACTGAGTGTGGCAATGTCATTATGGAAAACAGTATGGAATTTTCTAAGAAAACTAAAAATGGACCTGCCTTATGACCCAGCAATTCCATTGCTGGGACTATATTCTAAGAACCCTGAAACACCAATCCAAAAGAACCTATGTACCCCAATGTTCATAGCAGCACAATTTACAATAGCCAAGAGCTGGAAGCAACCTAGGTGCCCATCAGTAAATGAATGGATCAAAAAATTATGGTACATATACACAATGGAATTCCATGCAGCAGAAAGAAAGAAGAAGCTCCTACCCTTTGCAACAGCTTGGATGGAACTGGAAAGCATTATGCTAGGTGAAATAAGCCAGGTGGTGAAAGACAAATACCATATGATCTCACCTTTAACAGGAAGCTGAACAACAAAACAAACAAGCAAGCAGGGTAGAAACAACGACTGAAATGGAGAATGGGGGACAGTGACCAGAGGGGAAAGGGGAGGGAATTTCAGGGGAAAAGGGGGAGGATTTACAGGAACTAGTATAAAGGACACATGGACAACAACTAAGGGGGGTGGAAATGGGAGGGAAGTGGCGGGCAAAGGGGGAGGTGGGCTGGGATGCGGGTAAAAGACAGAATACTGTAGTTGAAAAATAATTAAATAAAAAAAGAATACAGAATAAAAAAATAATAATAAATTAAAAAAAAACTATTTACAAAAGCAGGATTCAGCCTGGAATTGGCCCAGAGGGCTGCAGTTTATTGACCACTGGTCTAGACTAGTGATATAGTGTTGGAGGCTGTGAGAAGTCATTGAAAATGTGATATAGATTGAAATTAGCACTGGGTTGCAGCCTGCTGGTGGATAGAACATGGGGTATGATAGACGGAAGAATGACCAGGTTTTTGGTTTGAGCAAATGGGTAATGGATGTGGCCATTAAACAATATAGGGTACATACAGAGAGAGAAAACCAGGTTTGGTGAGGGATCAAGGACTCTGATATTTACATATGGTTTTGTATATTTATATACTCATTTATCTGCGTCACAATTATTTTGGAAGGACCTTCATGAACAAACTACTGTACCAGGCACTTTGAGTTTAAAAGAAGGGATCAGACTGTGTTCTGGCCCTAGAGCATTTAGCGGAGGAGGCAATACATGCACATCATATGTAGACCATGAAGTTGTCAAAACAAAAGTACGGGTAAAACGTCATGAGAATTCCAAGGTACAACATGACTCCTTGGCCCAACAACACCAATTTCATAATTCTCTACCAACCCTTTGTACCTAAGAACCATAGAATCTCAGGTTTGAGAAAGACATTAGAGGTTTAGTTCAACCCACCTAAGAGCTCCTTGAATCCCTTTCACAATTTTCTTCTGAAAAGCAAATAAGCTTATGCTTGAATACTTCCATAGAAACAGAACACACCAAGTTTGAGTCAGTGCTTTGGATGGGTGATATATTAAAAGAAAATTTGTCTGTAGTTCAGAGTTCTTTGTTTTAAATCATTCCACTAGAACCAATATAAATTGGTCTGATTTTTCTCTTCAGTGGTGGATCATTAGATATCTGAAGATTGTGTTTTTATACATCTATCATTCTAATATGTGGACTATGGTTTTCTATTTCTTTTGTTTATTTTCAGAAACTTATAACCTGCATTTAATAGAATATATATTGGACAACATTCAACCAATAACTCTTCATCTCAAGCACCTGGGTGGGGAATGATGCAGTGAATGAACATGTGCAGTGTTCTAAGTGAGGACAAAATAGTCTAAGTGAAACCAACACCTGTGTTGCTCCTGGCAGCATTGACCTTGTGGGTTCTTGTGAAAGTGAGAAATGAGTAAGATGATGTGGAGGACAAAGGAGAACCTGATAAATTAAAGTGAATTTGCTGGTACACACTCATGGAGGCATGGACTCCATCTTGTACCATTTTCTCACCATGCCTATAGTCAACCCTCAATAAAAACTGGAATTTGTCATTTAAAAATTTAAACATCTTCTGGGATGGTGTCTGTCCACTAGAGGGTTTTGGCAAACTACCACGAGTGGTACCTCATCTCAGGCGGAGCTGCCTTCCATGCATGAGGACCACCATTTCCCTGGGACTTGAATGATGCCAATTTGGTAGTGAATGGAAGTTATACATAAGACAATTAGATGTCACAGCTCATAATGCAACACCTAAATCACTGAGGGAAAAACACTCTTTCTGTAGAGTATTCTCCATTTCTCCAGTACTTGGAAAGTACAAAGCTTCTAACAAATATGAAGCCCTTCAGCCCTGACTGGTGTGGCTCAGTGGGTTGGGCATCTCCCCACAAGCTGATAGGTGGCTGGTTGGATTCCAGGTCAGGGCACATGGCTGGGTTGTGGGTCAGGTCTCTGGCTGGGGTAGGATGGAGGCAACTGATCTATGTTTCTCAAGTACATCAATGTTTCTCTGCCTTTCTCCCTCCCTTCCCTCCTCTCATAAATAAACAAACAAATAAATAAATAAATCTTAAGAAATACATGAGGCTTCAGAAAATTAATTTCCAAATGCTGCCCCATAGCATGAGTTGTTTTGTATTGCATAGTAAATGGTCTAGCCAGTTGTCCTGGCTAGACCATTTACTGTGCAGTTGACTCAGAACACTGGTACTCTAACCTCTCCCTCTTCGAATATGACCAATTCTGCTTTCTTCTCATTTATGTCTGTCACTGTCTTAGTATTTCCACTCTGCTGTCCTGATCAAGGGCTTATTATTCACCTTCGTAAATGTCTTAATGTTAGCCTTTCCTTCCAGTGCAACCACTATACACAAATCCACTGGATTAAAATAAGCAACCCTGACTATTCTATTGCCCAGCACAGAACCCTCTTTGGCTTCCCACTGCCTAAAAATAAGGTAGAAATTCACTAAAGTCCTTTCAGAAGCTGACTTTTTTTTTTACTTCTACCTACTTCTATCTGTCTGTTCTAAGCTCTGGCTAGACTACCTAACATTTTGGAACATGTCCTTTGCTTTCCTGTCTCTAGCCTTTGCTCTTGCCAGTCACCTCACCTGCTAACTTCCTCTCTCCACCTGCTGAAATCATACCCATTAAGTCTAGATAAAACTTTACACCCCTTCCCTCCAGACCTTTTTAGATACCTGCAAGTAGAGGTGACCTCTGCTCTCCTGAGCTCTGTGGCTCTTTGTTGCTGCCTTACTATATTTATACTGACATATATTTTTACATTTATTAGACTTACAAATTTCCTACTTGACTGTATACTTCCTAAGGGCAAGTGCTATTTATAACAAATCCTTAACTTTTCTACAGCATTTAATTCAAAGATTTCTGCACAGTAGTGTGGTATTTGGCCTAAAATTAAGGCCTGACATTATGTGTCAGGGAAAACCAAGAGGGCTTCAAGTGACCTAATCACAAGTTCCCCTCCCTGTTGTACTTCTGTGGGTGAGGTCCCCTAGCCAACAGCCCTCCTGACCATGGGACCTGTCACAGTGCCTTCTTATCCTGGGCAATGGGCTTCAGTTCTCTGCCAGCCCATGAAATTATTCAAAGAAGTAAGTCGCATCCTCCAGTGGCAACCAAGGGTCACCTCCCCCAATTATTACTACAAAGCCTGCCTCCCACAGCCCCTGCTTATTCATTCTCTTCTCAAGAGCAAACGCCATGTGGCTCTGCATGGCCTGCAGTGCTCTCCTCCAGGCTGTGGATAAGCTGCTGTCAATCTCATCACTGGTCCAGGGTAGGGTGGTCCCGTTTAGCCAGCCCCATCACTCCAGGATGGGGACCTCCCCTCACCAGTGGGGTGACAAGGAAGTGATCGAAAACAAGTTGTTACTGAATCAGTTTACTTGTTTCTTTAATTAAAAACAAATAATAATAGTTTTGGTCTTAAGACATCTTTCCAATTTACTCTAAGTTCCTTAAGTGCTAGGATGATGCCTCTGTTTTACATTTCTCACAATTCTTAGCATAGTAAGTTCCAAGGTGAATAAAATATAAGTTCTCAGCAACTTTTTTTAATAAGATTTTATTCATCTACCTTTAGAGGGGAAGGGAAGGAGAGAGGGAGAGAAACAATGTATGGTTGTCTCTCGTGTGTCCCCTGTTGGGAACTGGCCTGCAACCTAGGCATGTGCCCTGACTGGGAATCGAACCTCAATCCTGTGGTTCGCAGGCCTGCACTCAATCCACTGAGCTACACCAGCCAGGTTGGCAACTTTTTAAACAATTACTTGACAGGTGAATACTCTGACATCCAGGTTTGAGCTTTGGGGCCTGGGATGCTTTGCTGTGGGCAATAGGCAGAAAGTAAGAGGTACGAACAAAAAAGCACAAAATATTTATGTGTATATAAAAGATAACTAGATATTAATATAATTCATTTTATAATAACAGCATCAAAATTAGCACATCCAAAGAACCCCACTTGGGAGGCAACAACACTTACTGTCAAGGTGCTGCCAGGATTTAAAATATTTTAGAAAATTCTTTAGGATATCTGACACCATTGTCTACTTGGAAATTTCCTGTTGTGTGTTGGTGTATCGTTTTACAGACATAATCAAAAGATGCTGAGGCCAAGTCAGGCAAATAGGCAAACAATGTGGTCGAGCTAGGTAATACAGTTTGGACGCAGAAACAGGTGAGATGATTAGTATTCAAAGTGATTTTCTCTCAAAGCGGGTAAAACTCTAAAATGTTATCCTAATCCCCATCCCATGAGAGACTTTTCCAAAAGGGCCAAATTATTGGAAGGTGGATGTCACCTCTCACAGAGACCACAATGAAGGGGCAACAAATTTTGAAATGTGTAATTTTCATTTGTTTGCTTAAAAATATTAGAATTAATCTCTTTATCAATTCCTATGTAAAACCATAAATATGTAATCACATGTAGATACTTTAACATATAAATGATTGATGCTCAAGTTCTAAACAAACTAGAATATTCCACGTAATGAATGAGCGTGAGCTAATCCTATAATACATTTGCCTACCGCACACACATGCAAAGAGGTCACTGTGTACCTGAAGACCAAATTAATGATTGAAGCTGGGGTTAAAGTACAGTTGTGTTGCTTGCCTTGGTATTTACCCAAAAGAACTGAAAACAGGTCAACCTAAAAAACCCGCACGTGGATAGTTACAGCAGCTTGGATATTCATAGCAGCTTTGCTTGCCAAAGCTTGGAAGCAACCAAGATTTCCTTCAGTAGGCAAATGGATAAATAAACTGCGGTATAACCAGACAATGAAATATTATTCAGTGCTAAAAATAAATGAGCTACCAAACCATGAAAAGACATGGAGGAACCTTAAATACATGTGACTAAGTAAAAGAAGCCAATTTGAAAAGGCTACATACTGAATGAATCCCAACTATATGACATTCTAAAAAAGGCAAAATTATGTTGATAATAAAATGATCAATGACCCTCAGAGGCTTTGGGGGGCAGTGAAAATACTATGTCTGATGCCATAATGGTGGATACATGTTGTCATACATGTGTCCAAAACCACAGAATGTACAGCACCAAGAGTGAACCCTAAGGTAATTATGGGCTTTGAGTGATACTGACATGTCTGTCAGTGTAGGTTCATCAGCTGTACCAAGTGTGCCACCCTGGTGGGGGATGTTGATGACCAGGAGGCTAAGCACATAGGGGGGAGCAGGCATATCTCTGCGCTTTGACATTTTCCTGTGAACTTAAAATTGCTTTAAAAATAAAATCTTAATTAAAAAATACATTAGAGTTAGTTTGACACAAACGTTTGTATGAGCAAACATGTAGAACTTTTATGTATGAACATCTACTTTATGTATATATTACACACACACAGATGCATGCTCTAGGACATTTTGTACATACTGATGTATTTTAGTTCCTTAGAATTCTGAAAACTTTCTATGATTTATTATATTTCAAAGAGTAAGTTTGATCATTAATATTTACTACATTTTTTTTCACATAGCTTGAGTCAACAAAATGAATCTTTTCAAAATATAAAATCATTTTAAGAAAGGTTTTGGTATTCCTCATTTGCCTGACATGAATACCTTTGAAATCACTCATAGAAATCTGAAGACTTAAATTTTCCTGCTATCATCTGGTCAGTTTTTGTTTTCTCACTTTATCATATTAGTAGGAAATTACATCCATGTTGCTAGTATGTTATTTGGAATAACCGATATTGACAGGCATGATATAATAGGTTTCAGATCAACTAAAAATCAGTAACATTCACAGATATACTAGCACCTGAATCAGGTCTATGTGCCATCTTCCTGCCTGAAAACAGTATTTTGCCATAACCAGAGTACGTTACTACCACAGAACAAGCGCCAGACGCTAAATCTGCCCCTCTGCAAAGTTCCAGTTCTTTTCTTTCATTTCTAAGCAGAAAACTACAGCTTCGATAATGCCAGCAAACATTAACTGGATCACAGTTGGGTTATTTTTTTTAAGCAATTCACAAGTTGGTCATTATCATTATTTTTTAATTAACCTGTTCTCCCCCAAGGAAGTACACTGGTTGTAAAAGAAAGAAAATCAATGTGATGTCCACTCTTGCTGGAAATAGTGGTTATGTTCAAAGAAGATTTAGTTTAATATAAAGCCTAATAAGTAAAATTGACAGGACACTGATTGATAAAAACTGAGGCCCACAAACACTGTCACCTTGGCCCTCACCTGACAGGGTTGTTGAGACTCAGAGATGACAGCACAGCTCAAGAACACATTCAGCAAGTTAAAAGTGCAAGGCCTTGACCCGGGCAGCCCTGTCTTCAGGCTTTACAACAACCCACAGCTACAGTGAGACACAGAGGCAGGTGGCTAGAAACATGTCGCCACACTGGCTCCCATGGACAAAGCCACAGAAAAGAGCCATCATGACTTCCTCCTGAAAAACCAGTTAATCTTTCCCAGAGCACGTGGAAATATTTCAGAGTCCGGAAACACCACTGAATTCAGAAACCATACACTGCGGCTAATTTACTAATAAGCCATGAAGTACTGTCATAAATTACTTAAACTGGTACTTGTCCAATTAAACGAACAAACTACACCCTGCAAGGTAGTGGCCTTGAGGATTTATGGCAGTTGTTTGTTTGCATGCTAATTTGCCAAATTTCATTAAGCTGCTCTGGGTCTACTCCTTCACCTTATGCTAATCAGCCAGGCCTGACGGTGCTTATGTGTTCAGCTCTGTTTTTCCACTCAAGAGCATGACCATTTTTAATCTCGACAAGTTTCCTCATGCAGTAAGAGTGGAGGCCATGAGCAAGCAGCAAATGCGTAGCACAGCCTATGTTAGAGATGATGGAGTAGGGTAAGTGACATGAGCATTTAGTTAAGATGTCACAAGCGCTGCACACGAAGACCATTAAGAAAAAATGTGCAGAGCTCTCCTGCCCCACCTCCGATCCTCTGCCAGGGCCCCAGTCCCAACATGGATCAACATGGCAAGCAGGAACAACTCTCCTTAAATGAAAATGGGCAAGGAGAAAAACATACATCACCTTCTCAACGAGATCTATGCAGGCTTGCAAATCCAGACCAAAGTCTATGGGCACCCAGTCCATGCCTTCTTTCCTATATTCCTCTTGTTCAAGAACAAACATGTGTTGATTGAAGAACTGTTGTAATTTTTCATTGGTAAAATTAATGCAAAGTTGCTCAAGGCTGTTATACTTCAAAGATGTAATTAGGTGGGAAGAAAAGATAACAATAAAATTGAGAAAATGGCCACTACCTGAGGTAATAGATACGTTAATTAACTTGACTATGGTGATTATTTCACTCTGTATATGTATACCAAATATTCAAATTATACACCTTAAATATACACATTTTTAAATTATAGAATGTAACTCAAAAAATAAAATAAAATTAAGGTCCACTTGGAAAAATGTGAAGAGAAAACCATTAGCACTATCATATGATGGCAAATAAACCCAGTAAGAAATAAATGCTCAATTAAATTTTTACTTCCTTCAGATATACTCACAAACTAAAGATCATGACAGTAAAATAACACAGTGATATTTGTTGGGAATCGCTTTGCCTGGTTTCAGGAATTGTAAGTGCCTCCTATAGATAAAGATGAGTGAGCAACCTCTGGAATGCGAGCCACAAAGAGACAAAGCTTGTCTCTGGTAGCAAACACTGCCTCTGCTTCATCTCCCTGCCCCCAAAGTATTGTCAGATGGTCAGAGACAGGTGAGACCCCTCAGAGGAGGGGCAACGTAAGCCAGACACGATCGCTTGGGAGGCCATGATGGAAGGACTAGGGGGGCTGCAACAGAAAGGGGGTGATGGACCTAGCTTTGATGAAGCCTGAGTTCCCATGTCCTCTGGGAGAAGTGCTTCCTGGCTCTAATCCATTTAAGCCTAAAATCCTATGATGGGGAAGGCGGTGCAGCTCTGTGCTGGGAATGGTGAGTTCCCCAGGTGATCTGGCAAAGGAAAGAATTCCTAACGATCCTGTGAAACTGCATTGCTGAGAATGCTTTTAGTTAAATGATAAAGGCCCAAGCAGAAAAAAAGTTTATGTTCCCAAAGTTCTATAGCCTTTAACCTGACAGACCCTGATTTAGACAAAGCCCTAATGATTCTTTGTATACTATCTACTGTTTACTGCCTGACAATGATTAATAAGTTGTACCTGAACTCCTATGCAAAAAAAAACAAAACAATAAAAGCCTGTCTAGGCAAGGGTTGGGGCACTCTCTCTCCCCTTGAGAGAGTTGCCCAGCCACTCCAATCTGCTCTCCCCTTAAGAGGGTGGCCAGACCGTTCTGAGGCTCTCCACCCTTGAGGGAATAGCTGAGCTGGCCCTTGTTCTCCACAGGACTCAGTAGTCCATGTGTCTCATGTCTCATCCATGATGCCACAGGCACTGCTGGTCAGTGCATGCGTCAGATAGTAAAATTCAAAGTCACAAAATATTCCTTTATCTCTATGTACCTTTATTTAAAGCTTAATTAATTTTGTAATACTATTATTATTTATTAATATTAATAATGGCTATTTTCAAAACAAAGTAGCTCTTAAGGTTTGGAAAGAACAAATCGCATCAAGCTTTGATGGCATTTTCTGACATTCAATTCACATTTTCTAATCTCCTTGTAAATATGCATTGACTTCATCTTATCAAATATACTTACATCAAGGATTTCAAAGCCAGTGATGTCAAGAATGCCAATGAAGTACTGCCTTGGCAGCCGGGCGTCCAGGGCCCTGTTGATACGTGCCACCAGCCACTTAAACATCCTTTCATATATTGACTTGGACAGGGCTCCAACAGCGTAGGTCACCTAGGAATCACATCAAAAGCACTCCTTCATCTGGCAGTGGTGTTCATTTTAATCCTAGCACTCTCTATCTGTAACTGCCTTCTAGTCAACCCAGATATATATATATGTTTCTTTTGTAGTTCTAGCATACCACTGAGATGATACATGAGAAGAAATACAATACAATAAGAAAAAAGGAAAAAAAAACAAGGAAGGGAGAAGAGGGAAAGGAGAGGGGAAGAAAGGGAGATGAAAGGAGGTGAATTACCCTGATGCTTTTTTAGCCAACACGCGTGTGAGAGAAATCATGTTCCCATTACCAAAAGACCGAATACCCTGGGGTGAGGTGGCAACGTGTTCAGAAGCCTTGCTACTCAAAGTGTGACCCTGCGACCTGCATCAGCACTACCTTGGAGCTGGTTAAAGATGCCAATTCCAGTTCCAGACCTATGAATCCGAAGCTCCAACACAATCCCCCACGGATTCCCATGTACCATTAAGTTTGAGAAGTACTGGTAGAGTAACTGAGGACTCTGGAATCCCTAGCCCTGTCCTACTGCTGTTGCTGCAGCTGCTAATGAATTGTGTCACCTTTGGCAAGTGACCTAACCTCTCTGGGCTGCATGCAGTATCTTCATCTGAATAATGCTCTTGACGGTTCTTTCTAACCTCAGCTTCCCAGGGCTGCTCTCAAGTCCCTGCAGGGAGAATGGCAATTTAGCACATCATTCTGACTCAGATTCTCCTACTGTAAAACTCAGGCTGGGTTCCCCTCCCTGGAGGTGTGTGACAAAGGCTCTCACATAACCTACTGGGGAGAGCTCCAGCCTCTGTGTCTGGAGGATGCTGTGCAAAGGCAGAGCCTACTTCCACATGCAAAGGTGCTGATGTAGTAGCAGGTTTCTAACAGACTCCAAGTAGGAGTGAATTTCAGCTGGGCATACTCCAAGCCTGGAAGCAGAATGTGCTGCAACCACTTAACATTTAAAATAGACCCATCACATCCATCCTTCAGCTGCCCAGGAAAGAGCACACAGCCGGAGCCAGTTGGTGTCTGGTGTGATTTAGGTCTGAGTCACCCACTCTCTGATCAGTTATATCTTGAGTCATTCTCACAGTAATCCATAGTCGGGATGGCGTCTGTTTTTTATTATTGGCGTCAAGAGAACACCCGAACATATAAAGCACTGAGAATGATTTTTATCCTCTGGAGCACCAAGGACATCACTCTCTTGTCTACAGCAGTTACTTTGGAACTTTAAAAAGAACATGACTAACTTGTTCACCTCCTTTTAATTCCACAAATCCTTGAGAAGTGCGGATGGGAGAAAAACTTGCCTCAGGGAATAGTGAAGAAATACTGGAGGAAAGCCTGAAGATGTACCCAGAGAAAGAAATGGAAGGTACGATGTCTGCTGAAAGAATTACCGAACCCCATAAACCAACACACAGCACACTAAGTAACCATTTTCTGTCCAATGACTTGAATTAGGCAGCTACACCCACATTCTTCTGCTTTTTAGGAAATAAATGGACTCATAGCTTAGCTCTTTTTAAAATAACCTCACAGAAGACTTACTCTGAGCTTACTAGGGGGGTAATGACGCATGATAGCTAGGATAAAAACAACAAAAATCAGGGAGTCAGCCATATTTTTAACCACTTTGATCCCTACCTTTCTCATCTGTGAGTAACAATAATATAATATGCATATCATAGGGTTGCTAGAGAGATTCAATGTGACGGGGAGTGTAAGTATATATAACACAAAATTTGGCACTTATTGGATACTGTTAATTCCCCCTTTCCACCTTTATCACTTCCTCCTCCTCCCTCCATTGTTTGCCAGCTGTGCTTCTAGGGTTCACTGTCTCTGGGTATAAATGGAGGTATAGACAGTATCAACTGTGCAGTCTTGCCATTCAATTGAATGACACATCTGCACTTAGCATAGCACCCATTGGTGATTACTCAATGGATACTGATTTTTATTATTGTTTTATCATTATTAATCTTTTTAAATTAAAATACTACCCTGGCTGGTGTGGCACAGTGAATTGAGTGCTGGCCTGTGAACCATAGGGTCACTGGTTCGATTCCTAGTCAGGGCACGTGCCTAGGTTGCAGGCCAGGTCCCCAGTAGGGGGTGAGTCAGAGGCAACCACACATTGATGTTTCCCTCTCTATCTTTCTCCCTTCCTACCTCTCTCTAAAAATAAATAAAATCTTTAAAAAATAGAATAAATTAAAGTAATATTTTTAAAAGGCATAGTTAGAATTCTTATTAGATCATAAAACACTAGACAAAAGAGCCCTAGTTTTTTTTTTAAATTAAATTTATTGGAGCAACATTGGCTAGTAAGATTATATAGGTTTCAAGTGTATGTTTCTATGATACATGATATAGCTATTGCACTGTGTGCTCCCCATTCAAAGTCAAATCATGTTACGTCACCATATATTTGACCTCCTTGACCCTTTACTACCCCCCCACCCTCGTTCCCTCTGTACTGTTGTCTGTGTCTATGAGTTTAGGTTTGTTTGTTGTTCTTCATTGGTGCTTTCAGTTCCATATCCTACGGAGGAGTGAAATCATACGGTTCTTAACTTTTTCCATCTAACTTATTTTGTTTAGCATGATATTCTCAAGGTCCATTCATGTTGTCACAAATGGCAATATTTCATATTTTCTTAGGGCTAAGTGGCATTCCATTGTATATATGCAGACAATCATGTGTAGTGGCTCTCAACTCAGGGTGGCACCTTCCTCTAAAGAAGAATGACCTTGGAAATCAGCAAATCTGACATTTGCTGAATGTCACAATGACTGAGTTTGCTACTGGTATCTCGCACCTGGAAGCAGGAATGGAAAACCTCCTACAGTGTGCAAGACACTCTCATGTATGAAGAACTGCCCCATTTAGATGCCAATCACTCCTCTACTGAAACACACAGAGAAATTCAATCTCTTCACTGGGGTGCTGAAAATATTTAACCAAGGTCCCAGAGTTAGTTAGCATTAGAGCTAGAACTACATTTTTCTACAGTGTTAACACTGCAAGAATTTTTGCCATCTTTTGCAATTGCCATCAACAGAGCATATACATACATCTCTATTCTTAGCAGTGGCAATTGTCTCTATAAAGTCAGTAAAATTCCTAAGAAAAGAAAAGCCTTACAGTGTGCTTTCTTACTCTGTCTCCAGGAGAGGGAGGAAGACAGAGGGGGAGAAGGAAGGGGAGGGAGAGGGGAGGGTAAGGATTTTCTTTTCATTTAATGTTGAATAATAATATAGAAGCTTGCTTCACTGGTTCTATTATAATAAAGCCTGGTGTGGTAACTCAGTCCCTGAGAACACAATATTAAATAGGCGAAGGTTTGATTCCAGTCCTTCCATGGCCTGATTAGTTTTTCACAGAGCAAGTCCTTGTTCTATAATCATAGCATGTCATGCAGGCATGTTGTGGTGAATGTCTTACAAAGCAAGAAACTGCCAAATACCTCTCAGCTCGCTACCAAGAAATAGTTCAGCTACTTGTCCTGCTAATCATGGTTCATGTTCAGCTCAGTATTTAGTTTATTTGGACACTTGTGGAGCACCTGCTGCTTGCAGGGCACTGTGCTGACTACTGAGGGTGTCACGATGAATTACACACACTCAGCGGCCTCAAGAAACCCAGGCTACCAGAGAGGACACAAACGTAGGCAGATTGTTTCAGTGTAGTTAGTATTGTGGCAGAGGTAGAATTATTGATTCCTAGAGTAAGCTAAACTAGGAAATTGATTTTGATTAGTTGGTGAAATGTTTTAACTAAAACAGTCACACCAGATGCCTTAATACATCAAACAAAATAGTTTATTGTAGTCAAAATAACTGTCTTCTATCACAAATTTGTTCATGTCTCTCTCATTTTTGGACTTCAGACGTAGAAAAACTAAATGTCACCTGAGTACTAATTGTGTGTCCTTTGGAATGTGACGAGTTTCCCTAACCCTAAGTTTCCTCAAATGGAAAAATATAATTACTCCTGCCCTCCCTACTTACCTCTGAATATTGTAAGAATGGAAGGGGATAATATCTCTGAACGTTTAATACGTATATGTGATCACACCATTTTCTCTTACCAGAAAGACCACATTTCTCAGCCCCCTGTAACTAAGGGGAAAATTTGACTAATTCTTACCAACAGAGTGCTAGTGAAAATGATATCACTTCTGACCCCAAGCAGCTCAGGTGGAGCACTCGCTCCACAAATCATCTGCATCCTTGTGCAGCAACCTGGAGGCTGTGTGTTGCAGACGGCCTCACTACAAAGAGGAAGAAGGCTGTCCCATGTGGGCTGGTCTTGGTGGGAGCAAGAAATAAATGTTCATTTTATTGTCACTGGGATTTTAGCATGTGTGTGTTACTGAAGCATGTATATTTCATACTGACTAACACACACTTCAGATGGAAGTTATCATTCTGAAATGCACTGGCATGCTCACATGAATTCACTACCCAGAAGCTCTGGGAATATCTGCTGTATTCTGGCAAAGCCTCAGAGCCCTTGTTAATTCTATCGTTAAATCTTTCTCCTAGATGCTGAACAAAACCTATATGACCTTCCATCTTTCATTTCTGTTCTTAATCCCCTCCCCTGAAATACTAACTTCAGCATATGTTCTGAAATCCTTTCCCAACTGTCACCATGGGTCTGTTACTCTGAAAAGTCAATATTTCAGACAGATGAAGGATGCCAATTTATGAATTATATTCATGTCAGAAACCAACAGCTTTGAAACTTCTTAGCTGGACAACGAAGATTTGATCACATGTAAAGGGCTTGCCTGCCTCTGCAGAGAAATTTGCTGCTCAAGGGAAAACTGCCAAAGGGGTATATTCCAGGCTACAAAGACTCTCAACACCAGAGCCTTTACTCTGATGTGCATCGCAACTGAAGTCGCTGGGAATGTTCATCACAGTCACTCTTTTTTTTGCTTTTTCACAGAAGCTTTTGTTGCAGACATCATCAAAAATTGAAAAATACACAAGCATAATATGTATACACTTACAACGAGATCAGAGAATCAAAATGCTCCACAAGTGTCACCTTACTTGCCCTGGCAGTGCTCAGTTGGTTGGAGCACGGTCCTGTGCACTAAAAGGTTGCAGGTTTGACTCTCAGTCAGGGCACACATTTAGTTTGCTGGTTCAGTCCCCACTCAGGGTATGCATGGGAGGCAACCAATCAATGTTTCTCACATTGAAATTCTCTCTCTCGCTTAAATCAATAAAAATATCCTCAGGTGAGGATTTCTTAAAAATCACCTTACCTGTTCTACATTTTGATGGCTAGTAACATACTCATTACCAACTTTGATTCTAGGATGGATCAAGCCCTTCACCAGCTCAGAGGAGTTAATGCCCATGAGGAAAGCGGCTTTGTCAGCACCTGTCAGAAGGAAGGAAGGAAGGAAGGAAGGAAGGAAGGAAGGAAGGAAGGAAGGAAGGAAGGAAGGAAGGAAGGAAGGAAGGAAAGAAGGAAGGGAAGGCGAGAGGGAGGAGAGAGGAAGAGGGGAAGGAAAAATACTGTTAAATTGTATTCTATTATAGTCAAATGCTATCCAGAGGATGAAAGAATAGTATGTTTAAGTTGATGTAGCAAGTTAGATTACAGTTTTCAAATAATTACCTGAACCCTAAATATTTAAGGCTCTATTTCTTGGAAATGCAAATCAAAACCACATGAAATGCCACTTCACAGCAACTAGAATGGCTACTAACAAACAAACAAACAAACAAAAACCCCAAAAGCAGAATAAGTGTTGGTGAAGGTGTGGAAAAATTGGAACTCTCACACACTACTGGTTAGAGAGTAAGACAGTATAGTTGCTGTTGAAATTAGTTTGGCAGCTACTCAAAAGGTAAACAGAATATATAAAGAATTCACATGACTCCACTCCAGGAAGACAAACAACCCAATTAAAAAATGGGCAAAAGACTTGAGCAGATACTTCTTCAAGGAGGACATACAGAGGGTCCAGAGACATATGAAAAGATGCTCAGCATCACTAGCCATTAGAGAGATGCAAATTAAAACCCAATGAGATACCACTTCACACCAGTCAGAATGGCCATCATAAACAAATCAACAAACAACTAGTGCTGGCAAAGTTGTAGACAAAAGGGAACCCTAGTGCACTGTTAGTGGGAATGCAGACTGGTGCAGCCACTATGGAAAACAGTATGGAAATTCCTCAGAAAACTAAAAATGCAACTGCCTTTTGACCTGGAAATTCCATTGCTGGGATTATAAACTAAGAACCCTGAAATACCAATCTGAAAGAACCTATGCACCCAAATATGTTCGTAGCTGCACAATTTACAATAGACAAGTGCTGGAAGCAACCTAAGTGCCCATCAATAAATGAGTGAAAAAAAAAACTGTGGTACATTTACACAATGCAATACTACACAGCAAGAAAGAAAGAACTCCTACCATTTGCGACAGCATGGATGGAACTGGAGAGCATTATGCTAATTGAAATAAGCCAGGTGGTAAAAGACAAATACCATATGACCTCACCTATAAGTGGAACCTAATCAACAAAACCAACAAGTAGGCAAAAATATAAGCAGAGACATTGAAATTGAGAGCAAATTGACAGTAACCAGAGGGGAGTTGGGGGAAATAATGGGGGGGGAAGGGGGAAGGGCTTTCAGGAACATGTATAAAGGACACGTGGACAAAACCAAGGGGAGGTAGGATCAGGGAAGAGAAGTGGGGATGCTTGGGGGGGATTTGTGGAAGGACAATGGAGACAACTGCACTTGAACAACAATTTTTTTTAATAGCTCAAAAATAAAAAACAATTCAGAGTTGCTTTAGACCCAGAAATCACACATCTAGGTTACATAGCCCATAGAAATGAAAACATATATTCACACACACACACAAATTATATGCAAATGTTTCTAGCAGCATTATTCATACTGGCCAAAAAAGTAGAAATGCCCAAATGTTCATCAGTGGATTAATGGATAAACAAAATGCTGTATATAAATACAAGGAAATATTTTTCAGCCATAAAAAGAAATGAAGTATTGATGAAGCTACAACATGGATGAAACTTGAAAATATTATGCTACGTGAAAGAAGACGGACACAAATACTCACATATCATATGATTCCATTTTCATGACCTGTCTAGGAAAGACCAATCCATATAGACAAAAAGAAGATTTGTTGTTGCCAGAGGATAGGGAGAGAAGGGCCTGGGGAGTAGCTACTCCAGGGTACGGGGTTTCTTTTTGGAGTAATGAAGTGTTCTGGAATTAGATGGTGGTGATGGTTATACAACCTATGTGTACATTAAACTTTACTAAACTTTATATTTAAAAAGGGGGGATTTTGTTGTGTGTAAATTATAGCTTAATTTTAAAAAGAATCTCTAAAAAGAAATGTTTATCTGAAGGACATGGAATATTTCATCTTTATTATTTGCCTACTTTTCCCTCCTATATATATACACTTATAGATTCTTTCAATGAAACAGGGACTTGTAATTTGATGATTCAAGAGAACCACTAATCAACGGAAGCCAGGGCAATTGCCCAGTACTGCATTGAAAACCATTCCTTTTCCAGCAGTGTCTGTTTGTGCCATAGTGCCCTCTGCTGCCCAACAAGAATACTTGCAACCCACACAATTGCGCTTGCATAAACCAGTTTCTATTTTCTAAGGACAGAAGTGGGGAAGAGTGCTACCAGAAGGAAAAGTAAATAGGCACGTATCACATCAGGTGTTTAAAAAAACCCTTAAAACAAGAATGCCACAGGTGAAATGTTATAAGCACATTTCAAATTGTATATTTCTTCAGTTATCAAACAAAAGGAATGTTTCACTCATCTGAAATCTCCCTGCTACGTCTCCCATTTTAAATGAATCCTGACATATACAATACTAGTATATCTAATGTAATCAGTCTATAAAATAATGTTTTATTGTCAATTTATAAAACAGTGTTTTATGATAGAAAAATGTAGTCTTTCCTCACTTTACTAAAAAGCACAAATTTTTCTGAGCAATAACCACAAATGGGGCAAGTAAAACACATGTGCACGCACACAATCAGAGAGCTGTACACCATCATTAACAGTATCCATGTCCTTTTTGTGGGCCTTTAAATTTTTCACAAGGACTTGAAAAAGCTTGAAATGTTTGATTTCCTTGTTAACTAAAATCAATACGTATTATACATACATTTCTACAAGCTACACACCCACTCTGTGTCAGCGATAATGGTCTAGGTACTCAGTTGCTATGAAACCTTTCAAAACACAAAGCCTGTTTGGGGAAATACATGGAAAACTCAAAACTCAGGCAGACGTGCCCACCTATGCTGAGATATTCCTGCTAAGAGCACCATGCTTGCACACAAAGGACTGATTACTTCAAGTTGTGAATCCAGCGCATCAGAGCCAGAGAGTTTTTAAACTAGGAGACACCATGTAACCCGACATGAAGATATTTGAAAAGAAAGCAAGAAGTGCAACGTGCCTGATGAATCTGAGTGGAGATGAACAGTAACCAACAATGTGAAAAATGAACAATTCCACAGTATCTGTCCAGGAAAAAGAAAAGAGACAGGAGTATAGTTTTCTAAGGTTTGGAAGCATTCAGGTGGACATTATAGGTAATAACAGTCTCAAATTCATACACCATTTTTCTAGTGTTAAGAACAGTTCTTTGAGTATATTTCTATCCATTAACAAAAACACCCCCAATTTTTCTGGATGGCATCCCACTGTAAGCTCTAACAGAAATAGCATCCACCACTACGGAAGTATTTCTCGCCCACTGCAGAAGCAGTGAGGCGTCCCCAGGGGACCAGCATGTCCAGCACCTGTCCCCCAGGTGTTCATTACACATCACACATGTTCTCCACCTTTTTTTTCTTGACAGAAAACAATAGTGCTCATCATGTCCTAAAAAATAAATGACTTCCTTCGCACTCAAAATTTATAGTTTTACGATCAAAATGAAAATAGTTAAATTTGTGAATAAAAGTCCATCTGACCTTCAGAAGACACTTTTGCAAACAAAGCAATCAATGTCTGTAAACATATTTTCCTCATGTGACCTGATGTGGTCCAGAAAGATGCTTTCTGAAATCCCCACCAAGAATCCCCATTCCTTCAGGATGCTGTGAACACACCCGCGGGTTGTGACTAGGCAGTATGATCTGAGCCAGGAGGGTAGCATGTAGGTAGAGCAGGGGTTCTCTTACACTGGTGTGCATCAGAATAGCCCGGAGAGCTACTGCAGAACCAGAAGACTAGCTCCCTGAAGGAGACTAGGGTGTGGGCTTGTTTTCATCATGTTCTCCAAGTGATTCTGCTACACATAAATGTGGGAGAGCAGAGTCCTTACTGCAATGGTCCTCGACCTTCTCTGAACATAGGGGTCACCTGGGGAGCTGTGGAAACAAACACTGCTGACTCACCCACCCCCAGATCCACTTTCTTTGGTCTGGGTGAGGCCTGAGCGTCAATTGGCAAACTCCCCAGGTGATTTCAATACAAAGCCAACTTTGACAAGTATACTCCAGAATACTTGGGTTTGTAAGTACGCACATTTTGAAGTCAAGAAGATGGAGAGAACAAAGTCTGACTTGACCTGAAAACAGGTAGGAGGCTGAGAAAAGCAAAAGATAATTGTTTCAAACTTCACAATTTTCTCCCAGTTTAATCTCATCCATGAACAACCAAATACACAGAAAAAAACCCAGTTTTGTCAGTCCACACCTGATTGAAAGAGGGGTGGTGATAATAACACTCAATAGTTTTTTATGAAGGGTTGGTATATGGTTTATGAGTTGTTCACATTCATTAATTTTTAAAAGATTTTAATTATGTTTAGAGAGAGGGGAAGAGAGGGAGAAAGAAAAGGAGAGAAACTTCAATGTGTGGTTGCTTCTCGCATACCCCCTTACTGGGGACCTGGCCCACAACCCAGGCACGTGCCCTGACTTGGAATTAAACTGGAGACCCTTTGCTTCACAGTCTGCTACTTAATCCACTGAGCCACACCAGCCAGGGCACATTTCTTTAATTTATTGAGCAAAGTTTACTAAGCATTTGCTATGTGCCAAGCCCTGGTTCTAGATCCGATAGTAAGAAGAGAGCTAAACAAGACAAACATCTCTGGCATCAAGGAATTTATAATTTATGAGAGTAAATAACACACAGGCAAAAATATCAAGTCAGTCAGCGAAAGAACTGCAGAAGAGATCAAGAAACCAGGTACAATGCAAGTGGAACTAGGAACAGGTCCTTTCCCAGTAAGTGGGAATGACTGAAGTGCCCATCAGTGGATGATTAGACAAACGAAACATGGCGTGCGCATAGAACAGAATATTACACTTCAAAAGGAATGAACTCCTGACACATACGACATGGCTGAATCCTAAAGTCTTAAAGACATTGTGCTAAGGGAAATGAGCCAGACAGAAAAAAGCCCACAAATATTGTATGATTCCGCTTACATCAAGTATCTAGAGTAGTCAAAATCAGAGAGACAGAAAGCAGAATAACGGGTGCCGGGAGCTCGGGGGAGGGGGACATGGGGAGTGGTCATTCAGCAGGGGCAGAGTTTCGGTTTGGGATGGCGGACCCTTTCTGGGGATGGACAGTGGTGGTGGCTGTGCACAGTGTGAAGACGCCTAATGCCGCTAACCTGTAAAAGGGCAATAAACTTAAAAGCAGTCAAAATAGGAAACTTTATGTCATGTGTATTTCATCACAATTAAAAACACGAGCTTTATTAAAAATTATTTGTTGAAGGATTTCAGTCAGTTTCCTTTTTTTGTTTCCGTTCTCAGGAATTTTAATATTAAACGAAATAATTACAACAACTATGCTTCCTTCTCTTCATAACTGTGATTTTTCACTTTAATGAGTATTCTAAACAAGTCATTCATTGAAAAGTGCCTCAAATCTTTTTGATAAGCAGGCAAGACTGTAGATTCTTTAAATGTGAATAAAAAAACAAAGAAATGAAGCCATCGTAGTCTCTGTCCAGTGAAAACTCTACCTTCGAAATTCTGAAACTCTTGGCTCACAGCTCCGTTACGTCACATACTACATTTATGCTGATTTGTCTGTCCCTTCCCTTCCGCTGTTCTCAGTAGTCTGTGTGCTGCAGGCAGGCGATGTCCCCGTCTACCCTGTGTTACCCAAGTTTAACAGGTTTATTGGCATCCTCAATAATTAAGAAGTGCTACTTATTCTGACATACAAGGATTCCACATCAGCATGGTGGCTAGGAGAACAATTTTGAGGAATGGCAACTGAGGGAGATTGTTGATTAATTTCAACATTTTTTTCAAAAACCAAGAGGGGAGGTCAACTGTTAGGAAAGGGGGATAGGCCTGGGGTCAAGGATCTAAAGTGTATGTCATGACTTCAAAACGATTCTTACTTTCTGTGCCATCTGCTTCCACTTTCTCTTCTCTGGGTTTCTGTTTAAATTTCATGTTTCCTAAGTGCATGATGGCCCCAGTGAGTTTGTAGGATCCATACTTCTCTTCAGGAAGGAAGCCCAAGATGTCCATGGCTTGCTGTACAGAGAGAAACAGATGGCCCTGTCCTCCTTTGCCTGATGGCTGTGGTAGCAGCTCACTCCCCCCACCCCGTGTGCCACAGTCTTCTACACTCCAAGGGCTGTGGGCTCCAGAAGGGAGTGAGACAGGTCACCACAGCCCTGCAGTGTAACAGCTTCCAATGCACAACGGCCCTGTTGGCACTTGGTCACCCACGTCCACTGATCCCTTTAAAAAAGAATTATGAAGACACCAGACTTGGCTTGTTTAATTTCCAGTAGTTTTAGAAAATTTCTTGATGACCTGTGTCCCTCCTCTCCCTTCCGGAAATCAGAATCGTTAACTGGCTATATAGGTGAGTTATTTTCTTTTTCATGGTTATGGCAAAAAAATAGTTCCATATCTGATCGGTTGCTTATTTCTGGGATTCCATATGTTCTCCCAACTTTATTGCAGAGCTGATACATTTCAGAGGCTGGTGAAAGGAAGTGTTAAAGGAAAAAAAAAAACACCCATTTCATCAAAGAACTGTATCCTAAGAAGCCACTGCACATGGTAAGGTGTGTACCAATTTCCATCTTCTGCTCTAGGAAGGTGGGAATTGGTAAAATCTTTCCAGTGGTGAATTTAGAATACACATAAACAGACTATAGAAATACAGTCCATATTTTATACTCTATTAAAATACTTACCTAGTAATTTCACTTTTAGGCATCTAGCATAACATGAATCTGATAAATGGAAAAAGAACTTACCTTCAAAGATATTCACCACAGCACAAAATAAAACAAACAAATGAAAAGCCTTGTGTCTAATAATAGGAGAATGGCTAAAAAATGACAGGACAAATGCCTGATAAAATATTACGTATCCACATAAATGGTCATGAAGAGCTTATAGCACTGAAAACATATATTATAACATTAACTGAAAAAGTAAACTTATATACCAAATATATACGTAGTATGATTATAATCTTTTGTTTAAAAATAAAAGATAGCAACCCCAGAAGAAAAAAAGAATAAAGACTATAAAGTCATATATATATGTGTATCTATATACACACATATATAAACACACATACATATAACATATGTATATATGACATAAAAAAAAACAGCAGTTGTCATTTAGTCAAAACATCTTCCTACTTTTCTACTTGTACCAAAGTTACTACAATATATAAACAATGTGCATTTTTGTAAGAAATAAGTAAACTTTGGACAGAAGCAGCCCTGGAGGGTCTCCTTCTACTCTTCATCTCCAGGAAAAGGAAGGTCACTTCCCCAGGACCCTTCAGAAGAATGGAGATCTAAGATGCTTTCTTTTATTTCTCATTGGTGTTGCCAGACTTTGATAGCGAATAAGCCTTACATCCGTGGCCAGTAATTGTGCAGCATCATCCGAGCTCTCCACAGCAACTACTCCATGACAGCAAATGTGAAAGTCAGAAGGATTTTCAGACACCAGGAGCATATCTGCAGTGGGAAAACCACCAGTTAAACAGTTTAAAGAAACCCATGGAGCTGTAGAAAATAACTGACCAATATTCACAGTTTACTCTTAGAGCTTATAATATGCTTATAATATACTCATAATCGAGCCAAAATAAACCTCTATTCAATACCCAAAGCTCTGCAATCAATTTTTGCCCTCTGCTAACTTGTCAGTCATGTGGTAACGCCTCCCAGGATCAGGCCAAATCTGCAAGCAGATTCAATGGCAGCAGCTTGAATTGGTGTGAAAGAAAACAGATAATGTGTTGGCACAACTTCGAAAACAAAAATTTGGCTTAGATGCGTGGTTGAGAGCTGAAGAACAAAAAAATGCTTTGTAAAATTATAAGTATAATGGGCTTGAACTTCAAAGGCTAGGAGGCAGCAGACCCTGAGGCCGGCACTCCAGGAGCACTAGCAGCATAATCCTATCACAGCACGTCCTCCTATTAGGAGGCTGAGTCTGTCTGTCAAGAAACCCCTACATCAGCTACTGTGTTCAGTGCTGCTCCTCTCACATGTCTAAGACTCCTGACATGATTCACTTAGTCAGGAAACACGATGCAGGCCAAAGTCAAGGCAGGCCATCAGAAGTACTTCAGCAACTGACTTGGCCAAATCACGTAACTCTCAATGCCACACACGCGCTCTCAAGGAATTTTCTTTGAGCTGATCTGATTTTTCTATTTATCACTCAGTGAAGTGAAGCTCTGTTACCTTGAACCCAAAATCTCAGAAAGAAAAAATTGGGCCACTGTGCAATTGTTCCTACCAGCTCTCTTTGGAAACAACCCAAATGTCTGTCAACAGTTAAACTCTTGCATATGGATTATTATTCAAAATAATTATGCTGAGTGAAATAAGCCAGACATAAAGAGTATAAACCATCTTATAAAATTCTAGGGCAAAATTTCTATTACATTATTTTATTTTTGTGAAAGCTAAAAGGAAATTTACTCACTGAAATCTCAGAGGATCTTGGGCATGCACATGAACCTTGTTAGAGAATTTTCTGTATGTCTCTTTTTCCCATACGAATTTCCCCAAACATTTAAAACCCACAGTTTTACTGTATAAACAGCCTAAACCATAGCAATCTATGATTATGTCATTTTACACTGGGGAAAATTCTCAAAAAATAGTGGTACAATAGAACAAAAAGGTCAGGAAAAAGTGAATTTTATCATAAAAACACTCACATAAATTGATCCCTCTCTAAACCAAGTGGAGATATAAGAGAGTCAGTGAGCTACAATTCTAGACTACAGGAGAGAAGTCTGGATCCATGATCAAGCTTTAGAAATCACAAATAGAAATGATCTTTAAAGCCATCAGTCTAGATGATCTATCACCACAAGACAGATCTAAGCACCAAGCCCCAGGACACTCATGGGAAAGATGAAAGAGAGGAAGCCACCCACAAAGAAATACCCAAAATTTAGAAAGGAAACAAATGAGGGAGGCATCCTGGAATCCAAGGAGAGAGATTTGCAAGGTGGAGAGACTAACCAGCTGTGTCAAATACTGTCACACTCTAAAAGTCAAGAATATTCCTATATACTCTATTGCAAGGTTCATTCATGGCTTTCCTAATGACTCTCAAATCCGTACGTATTTTCTGAGTGCCAGACCTAGATCTCCAACTTCTCATAAGACATTTCAATGCCAGGAGCCTGAAATAGCTCAAGTGGCTCCCTATGACAGTGAGTGTCAAACCCTATCCAGGCCAGACACCCGGGCATCATGACAACCTGCCCCTTCACCTCCTTCACAGCTCAAATGCAGACACCGTTTCCATGTCTTTCAAATCACAGCATTTACTTAATGTTGTTCCTCTGTCATGGCAGAGAGAAATGCTACGGAAGGAGGTAAAGATACAAAAATAAAATAGTCCTGCTCCTGCAGAATGCTGAGGACCACACAACTGAACAGTGCGGGAATGCTGCTTTGTTGTTAGGGTCGAAGGCATCTTTCAGTTGGCTGAGTCATTTTTTAAAAAAATCTATTTTTCCAAGATTATTTTGTCAAGAATTACCTTATAGATCATTCTAAATTGCGACCTTTATATACTTTTCATTTTAGTCTCATATTTACGTCATTTTTGATAATTTTCATCCCAGTCATAAAGATCAAAGGTGCTGTGTTTGGCATTGTTTTTTCTATGTTAAATATAGGAAAATAGTCTAGAAAGGCTTACATACTTGCTCATAATCAGTTAATGATAAATTGGATTTAGAACATAGTCTCTAATATTTCTGTTAGACTATGTCACTTACCTACTCAAACCTATGTGTAAAACTATTATGGGATTCCATTTCCTCCTTTGTCATAGACAGAAGGAGGGTCTTGTTCTGTCCAAGCAGCTCATTTGGATAAGCACTAAGTAAAAGAGACAGCAGGGAGGATGAGGGCGGGGTACCATGTGGGTGAGAAATACAGGGCCAGGGGGAGGAAGGAGTTACAATTCAGGGGAGGGCTGGTAGTGTTACTGAGCAAGGGTTTGCAGCCCCAACGCACATAGAAGCCAAGATTATAGCACTGGTTTTAGAGCAAAGAAAGGAGCATTGGGGGGAGGGAGAGGGGAGTGAGTGGAGGTAGAAGAGGGTATAAAGGTGATAAGTGGTAATGGGAAAAAAGTACAATAAAAAACTATTAAAAAGTCACATAATATAAAAGACTAGGAAAAAGTGGTACTAAGGATTCCAAAATTTCCACCAAAATGACAATTAAAAAAATCAAGTTAAACCAAAAAAGAAGCACTATTTGCAAGTCGACTGGCAAGAACACAGGAGGCAAAGTTCAAATCTGTTTTACTGATCTGGGTTTTGGGGTGGGCTTTTAAGGGTAGTAGCAACTTAAAAGTTCACAAGTGTTACTTGTGAGTGGTGAAAACTTTTGTTCCAGGTCTTGTTAAACAGAACAGGACCAGTCTGAGCTGTCTATGATTACCCATCCCCCATTTTTGTTGTTTATTCCTCAATCTTGGGGAATGGGGGATAACCACTCTAGTTACTGCCTACTGATAAGGGGGCATAGTAAGTCAGGAAAAATGCAAGACAACATAAGGAAGTGGAATAGTAGAACTATGCAAGCAAATATCACAACCCAAACAATAGCAACTCATAAGAATTTAGGTTTACACAGCCCTGGTCTGGACTCTTGAGCGGAAGCAGTCTGCTTTCAAGATAACCTTCTGTTCCTTGCCAGGTGACATCTCAGCTGCCCTGCTTCCTCTGAAAAGTAATTTAAGAGTAATCAAGGATTCAGGAGTGTAATTAGGGGCTGACAGTCAATAGGCCTTGGGTTTCCAGGCCTATTTGGCGTTGGGATGCTTGGGTTCTCCTCCTTCCTGCCTACTTGGGAATTGTAAAGAGGATGAGGGGGTTTGGGTTAGAGATGAGTAACAGGATTTCATAGGGTCCATTTAATTTAGCTGGCCAAGTCTTGAGAAGGAATAAATCTCCTGGGCTTACAAAAGGGGAACATCTGTAGGAAACATTAATAGGCATATTCATGTATGCAGATAAAGTAGTGCCTGGAGACTGAATACATTTTATGGTATCTAATTCTTCTGCAATATGATCATTTGCAAGATTGCAGTAATAGTCTTAAGAAAGAGTCTCCCATATAACATTTCAGAGAGGCTCAATTGGAGCTTGTTTCTAAGGGGCTACTCTTACCCTAAGTCAGGCAACTGAGAAGAGCATGTACAATGTAGACAGCCGTAGTTTGCTTCTTTTATACCACAAGTTCCACACCTTGGCAAGGCCAGTTTGTGCCTGGAGCCCACTGGGGAACTATCTGAGGTTCTTTCATCTTCAAATCACCCTTCATTTCTGTCCTCGGGAAACACTTTTCTTCTTTTACACACTTCATTATTTCCTCCTCTTTTCCATTCTGACCAACAGACACCTCTTCCTGTTTTATCACCACCTTATTTTTCTTCTCTTGCTTTACTTTCACTTTCTCTTCCTCCACCTCTGATTCATCCACCTTCTCTTCTTTTGTCACCATACTACCATTCATTTCCTGCTTCACCTCCAACATGTCTGCTTTCTCCTCCTTCACCTCAGGCCCATCCTCCACCTCCTGCTGCTGCCCACTGACCATCCAGCATACCTTCTTCCACTTCTCACCAGTCCAAAACTTCTTGCTTCACAGCATGAGATCCACTCACATTTCCTCTGCCCTTTGTCCACCTCCTTTTTCTCTATTCCTTATCTTCTCCATTCCTGTCAGTCCATTCCTGGCCTCTCCACTCTGAGCCTCCTCCCCACTGCTATGCCCCTGACTCCCTCCCTACCTGGCCAGAGACTTAGCCACGCCCCCTCAGCTCCACTCTGGAGACTGCCTCCAAGTGTCCCTTCATTTTCAGCAGCAAAAGCCATCAGCTTACAACCCTTGGCCACTGATTTGTGGAAAGTTCCTTCCCCCATCTTTGGAGGGCATCTGGACATGCTCCCCTCTAACGCCCCTCCTGTTTCCAATGTGCACATTGGGAAGGGTCTTGCCCATGTTGGCTGTTTCCTTCCAGTAAGTGCCCTACTGGGTCTTTATTCATCGTGGTTAAGTGCTGGGGAAGGTGTAGCTTGTTTTCTCATGGTAGGCTGTAAGCCTCAAACACGCTCTTGAGGAAGGTGGATCAGTTCTTCTTGGACCCTTGTTTGGAACCCTTTTATGAAATCATGTTATCTGGTGCAAACCACGTGCTTCTGCTGGGAGTGGGCTGGGGGGCGGCCAGGCAGATCCCAATTGCTGTTGCAGGCTGCCATCTGGAGCTGGGACATCGCTGTAGCCTGGGCTCAGCCCCAGGCTGGCCTTGGAGACACTAAGCTGTGCAGAAGCCTAGGACAGGGTCTAAGGTGGGGGATCCCAGTCGTGGTGCTGTCCCAGCCGGCCACTGCTTGCTGTGTCTCTACCTCATGGGCTTTTCTCAGCCTCTTCCTCCAGTCCTGGCTTCAGTATTCGTAGCAGCTGTGAAA